TTTAAAAATGCATAAATTACTTCCGAAATGTCCCTTTCCCTAATGGACAACTTTATAAAAGAAATGTAATTTGATAAGAATTCAATTGCTTTTCTCTGTTCATTGTTGAAATAATGTCTAGCATTAGTTATTGTTCATCTAGTAATTTTATTCTGTGTTCAGTTGTATATTACACACAACATATTGAAATATACACCAACATCCATTGCAAGGGTGTTAAATGTGTGATCAATAACTTGGGTGTAATATTCTGCTTTTTTCTTTTTTTATTAAAGTGAGACTTACTTATGGCCGCAGCCGACAGACACTTGGTAACAACAAGGGGAGGAGTACAGCCAGGGTAGAAAGGACTGGATGCGTATTCTGCGAAGCTCAGAGTGATGATGGCGAAGGAGGAGGGCTTCAGCACCATTATAGTGGTCCAGGAATAAAGGTAGGCCACGATGGGGCCGAACGCCTCCATCAGATACGAGTACTCCCCCCCCGATTTGGTGATCATGGTGCCAAGCTCAGCGTAGCACAGTGCTCCTGTGTAGCAACACAAAAATACACACAACCATAGAGACAGAGAGAAGAGGAGAGACCCAAACTCATAAGGATGTTTGTAATTCCCTACTTTAGAAAGTTCAACGGAAATTCTGAACTTTCTCCAACCAAAAGGTTCTTGGCTTAATAAACCCAGCTGCCTCAAAGCCAAATCTATGACAGTAACGCCTTCCCAATGGATAATAATACAACGCAAATGGGAAAAGTGATATAAGAATCCATGTGAAATATTCTCCAAGCAATTTCACATGTGGTTGTTTAAATGGAAAGTAAAAAATAATTAGTATTTAAAATATGATACATTTTAGATTTAAAAAATATATATTATTTCCTTGTAATTACTTCTAATTGTGCTTGTTCTCACGGTGTTCTTACTGTGCCAATTTTTGTAAATGATATCCGATCTATTTCTTTACTGGGTTTGTTATTTTGGCCTAAGAAGGAATGTTCCGGTCAGCATGATAGGTCATGTTTTAATGCTTTAACGGTTCAAAGTCAAATACGGACATACCAACCGCCACAATATTTTTTTACAGGGACCTTTATAGTTTGATTGAAACAAGTTTATTATCTCATGAAACATAAAGTACTGACCTCCAAAATTAGAAAATGACATGTGCACAAAACTACTTGTTTGCATGTTTTCAGTATGAGGATCTGTGAGCTCGTTTATATCCAGAGGATGAACTCAAAGTAGAGAGACTGAAATACGTTTATGTTTATTAGTATTAAATGACATTGGTCTCACCGAGTGTGGCTAAAACGCCACAAAAAGCCCAAATGAGAAGGCAGGGGCCCACTGCTCCAGAGAACAGCAGAACAGCCTTAGGAGAGATGAAAATGCCCGATCCGATCATCGTCCCCACAATCAGACAGATGCCACTTAGCAGGCCGACCTGAGCACAGAAACAACGGTAGACGTGTTACTTTCACTCTCACAGTGGAATGTCTAGAATTCTATCTTCAATGAAATTCAGTCAAAGGGAAATTTGACAGCTTGACACTGTGCGAATCAGTCGAACATCCGGAGGAAGGCACATCTAATCTCAACAGTCTGTTATCTCCCCACGCTGTCACACACTTAAAGGCCACGGTGACCCACCTAGTTAGATGAAGGACAACCAAAGCTACAAAGGGAGTGAATACTGAACACGTTACTGAGTGAAGAATGTTACAAACACTGCAGCACTACAGGCTTGAGAATCTCTCAGTATCTTGAATTATGTTTGTTATTTTAATGTTTATTAAGTTTTTCAATATTTTCATCTAATTTTTCTGTAGACTCTAATTTTAACATATTAAAACGCTTTACTAAGATGGTAAACTACAAAGCATGTCAGCATACTGACACTAGCATTTAGCTTATTGCCCTACTTTGCATGAGTTAAGCCTGCATAGCTGCTTAGTTCTTTAGACCTCCCTTATTTTATCTGAGCACACAAATATAATCAGTGACAACTATCATGTGACTCTTGTTTTTCAAGTTTTTAAGCACAAACACATGTCGTGGATTTGATCATGAGGCCTACTTTCTCATCTCAACTAACTAAGTATGCCAAATTCAATACTTTCAAAATTAGATTGGGTGGAGATTAGGTGGTGCAGTTTACAGGGCCTCCGCTGGGTGGATCACTGTGGAGTTAATATGAAGAGACGGTTGTTGCGGCACTCCCTGGTACTAAGTTCCAGCCCAAATTACTGTAACAAAGTATAGACCCACACACCAACACATGAACACACACATAACGGCTTGCAGACTCACATCTTTTTGAAGCACAGTAGCTTTCACAGGCTGCTTATCGTTAGTCTCAGATTCCGAGCAGCGGCCCTTGGAGCCGTTCTGCGACTCCTTCCTCATCATGATGCTGCCTTCATCCATTTCAGTCCACTGGTGCATGAAGGAACACAAGTGCATTAGCGTATGTTTAATGGTTAAGTTATCTAATATAATATAATTTATAGGGTGCTACAATAAGCTGTCTGTGTCACTGTGTGTAAATCGAAGATAGATAGATGGATAGATAGATACAAACACAGATACATGCATAAGAAACATATCATCAGCAGTATCTTCCTCTCATCTAGCTAAATAATGTTGCTCACACATACGAGAAAAACTCAGTTAAAATCCACCAAAGCCGGTGTCTTTATATTGTTAATCCTGTGATGTTTACTGATTTGTAAAATAAGTTGGTTTGGCTTGTTGTTTGTTTCTTTGTTTCTTTTGCTTTCCAGATTATCAATGAATCACGGTGGCACAGTGGTTCTAGAGATAATCTAGCCGCACTCAGCCAAACTTTATGCAGCATTAACTGTTTGTGGTGCAGCTCATAAAAGGGATGACGGGTTGACTCTTTTCGCTAAATTCACCCAATTGGTTTAGGGGATGTTGCTCTAAAAGAATCATCATGAATTTTTTAAAAGCCATGCCCCTCTTACATTGTCTGTGCAAAGAGACTGTAAATCAAAGATAGATAGATAGATACATACATACATACATACATACATACATACATACATACATACATACAGTACATACATACATGCATACATACATACATACATACATACATACATACATACATACATACATACAGTACATACATACATGCATACATACATACATACATACATACATACATACATAGCCGGTAAAGAATCATTTTTAACTTACAAATGCTCTGTCAATGCATAACATGGAAGACAATTTCTTCTTGTGTTTACTACACACAATTGAAGACTACAGTTGACCTTGAAGTTAATGAGTTACTTTTAATTTCACAATGGTTTTGTTAACAGACTACCACGTCAACACAATTTTCACTTACATATGAAGAAAACCACCTCAGCGCTCCATCAACCTCAAAAGTTTTAAGTCCAGGTACTGGGAACCCAAATGATACTGGTGGTTTAATGAAGGTGATAATGAATGTCTGATGGAAGTGAAAACCCGGTGCTCGCTGTGACTGACCGCACTCCTCCAGTGGGAGGGTCCCAGATCTTATTGGACAATGTGGACAGCCCTGGACATGAAGACCGGCCAGCAGAGTTGCTTGGTAGACATTTCCATTACAGTTGCTGAAACTGGAATACACTTTCTCCTCTTTTAGCTTGCCTAACCTGACTTCCTTCACAATGCCTCTTTGATAAAGAAATATGACACCCCTGCATGTGTGTGCTCGCATATTTGTGAATGTGTGTGTTGCATTCCCTTTTTCCTCTGCCTCTCCTCTCGTCTCTTCCCAACATTAGTATTCAGGAATGTTGGCAAATCTGTGAAAATTTTTTTTCTAGTGCCTGTTCTTTTGTGGTAGGTTTGTTAACATTAAGCAACAACGGTAGAAATGAATGAATTTTTACAATAATGTATGATATAATCTCATTGTTGAACATTGATGAACATGAACAACTGTAACAGTAAACATGTTAACAAATGTCTGACCAAAGGTTACTGATTTAGGGTTCAGGTTCTGTGTTTAGACAGTCATTTTCAAAAAGATGATGCGGCACATTTACGGAGAGTTAATTTACAATAATCTAGACTTTTCACTGCGTAATCTGCGGTTGATTTGTATGTTATGTATGTATGATTTGTATGCTACTGCTGTTGAGTTTTTTGTGAGGTCTGCGAGACGATTTTTAACAGCTGCTGCCGACAGAGGCCTCATCTGCTCATAATAATCTGCTAATATATTGGATTATGACCTCAGTAACCCTGAGAACAGTTAATTATATCCCTAAGGTTTCAGTCCCTTTCACTTGTTCTAATAATCTGAGAATGTACATTTTCAGCAATGATTTAGGATTTGAGCCTATATAGCTCATTTTCAGTGTTGCATATCAACAAACAAAAATATAAAAGATAGTCCCTCAAAATGTCAGAATAGTTTGTGACAAATCACACTTATAGGGTTTTATTATTTACTAAATGGGCATATTTGAAACAGGTTTGCAGAGAGCTTAGACTGTCTGTGTTCCACTATCTGTACAGTGTTACTCCATACAATGTATAACAGAAAAATATTTGATATGTGTATTATATTCCAAAATACAAGGATGTCCTACTGTATCCGTTTGCATTTTGTGCAATGCAATGATCGGTTTTACAAAATGACAAAACTCTGATTATCTAAATCAAGAACTTGTAAATTGTGATTTAGAATAATATAAATCACCAATCCCATAAATATAATATATATGTATAATATATAACATAAGGAAATGTATTGCATTATTCTAACCCGATTATGGGAGCAATTATTTAGTTATTCTTATATATTATTGTTTCATTTCTTAGTTTGATATAATATTAAGATAGCTTTTTCTGTTTTTGTAGTCAATTTAGTTGAATAATTTTTTGTCACTAAGTATGCGTAGTTGTGGTTACTTGTTTGGTTAATGGATAATACTGTCGGCACCTGGAGGTTATTTAAGGGCATAGCCAGGTGTAGGACCAGCATGCACCTGGGTGAGCAGCGAGTCAGCACAGCACAGGGTGAGCAGCCACAAGACAATTGTACGTGTTTGTTTCCTTCTTTGAAATAAAGTGACGCAAACAGAAGGAACAGATTGTCTGGACAACCTTGCTGCGTAAGAGAAACAAACCAGTGGGCGCATCAGTGTCCCTTTGAGACAGTGTTTTATCGGTCCCAAGGACAAATGGCCACTACGCCGATCATTTAATATTTAGGTTCAACGCCTAAGGAGGAACGCGTATTGGTCAAAGTCGAGCAGTCCTGAACAACGCTCGTCCAATCCTAGCGCTTGAATGCTACGCGGGGCGGGGCTTACAGAAACACATCACCGGGCCTGCTTCACAGGCGCATGCGCAACCTCCAGGCTTTCGTCATACGGAAGAAAACACGCTGCTTGCGTCCAGCAGCCTGCCGAGTAAAAGGGCGGAAATCTTTCATAAAGGGTTGACAATGGTTGAAAATTAAATTAAGCAAACACTGATCTTTTCGGGATGAACACCACGTTGAAGCACTGGAGGGAGGCGGCCACTCTCATTTTAGCCGCAGGTCACAAGCTCGGTGCGGACAGTTTAGCGTCAAGGACACCGCTGACAGCCGCTGCAGCTTCCCCGCTGACCGGCGGCCAAGGACGGTCACACCTGCCGCACAAGTCCTGCTTTGACTACGACGTTTTACTCCTTAAACGAAGCAGTAAAAGCGGATTCATGCCCAATGCGTGTGTGTTTCCCGGCGGCTTGGTGCACGCTTCGGACTTTTCGAGCGAATGGCTGGACGTTTTCAAGACTTTCAGCAAGTCCCCTAATTTCGGTTTGAGAAGTGTCACCCAGCCGGGAGACACGAGACCCCCGCTGTTCGCCACGGACCGACTGAAACTGGGCTCCCCCATCCCCGGAGAGGTGGCCTTCCGCATCTGCGCCCTGCGGGAGACGTTCGAGGAGTGCGGCGTGCTGCTGTTCGTGTCGAAACAGGAGGAGAAAGGTTTATTAAACAGCATAGAGAGCAGAGGAGCCCCTGAACCAGAAGGTCCACTACATAACAAAGCAAACGAGCTGTGCAGTCGTGACCTCAACAAGTGGAGGGATCTGGTCAACCAGAACCCCTCTAACTTCATCCAGATGTGCAGAGAGTTGGAGGTGTTGCCCAACATCTGGGCTTTACACGAGTGGGGCAACTGGCTGACCCCCGAGGGCCGATACGGCGTGAAAAGGTTTGACACCGCTTTCTTCATCTGCTGCCTGCAGGAGATCCCACCAGCACTCCAAGATGACAAAGAAATCGTGTCCGTTAAGGTGATTCGTAGAACATTCCCATGTACATCTAACAAAGTCAAAAAAGTCAATATGTCACAACAACAGAATCAAAGGAATCTCTATCAAGATTACTACTACTAACACTCTGTTTATTTATTTTTTCAGTGGTCTACACCCTCAGAGGTTCTCCAGAACTACCAGGCACAGGAGTTTTGGATCGCCCCTCCACAGGTCTATGAGATCAGTCGCATGTGCCGCTTACCTCTGCTGAATGACCTCCACAACTTCTCCAGCCGGCGGGCCACAGAGGGCTGCGAACAGCTGCTGCCTGTCCTTTCCTCAAAAGATGAACACTTCACAGCACTGCTGCCAGGTGCTGATGGTCGATCTCATCCAACGCACAATCGCCAGTGGAGCATGCCAACTTTTACTAACTTTTGCAAGACAAGACTGTTTATGATTGATTAATTCTTTCTTATTTTTTCCCCATCTGTCTTTTTGTTTTTGTTGTGGGCTCTCACTCTTTGTAGGTGACAGATGGTACCCGTCGGCCACCTCAGGGGAAGCTGCGTCGGGTACGAGCTCAGATCCTAAGCTGGAGGATCCTCAGGAGGAAGAGTCGTCACTGCACCGCATCGTGACAGTCGATCCGTACACGATAACTCTACAGATCAATATCACTCCCAAGTACAACCATCTACTACCCGTCTTAGGGCAGACCTTCCCGTATGACTCAAAAAGTAAGCTTTGACACGCCGGTCTTTTGAGAACTCGTCTTTGTACATCCAAGCCAGCCCCCCCCGGCATTGTGTTTGGGGTATTACTGTTTCTAAATCCTGGTGTGTCGAGGCTTCAAGCCGGGACAGTGTGACACGTGCACAATACTGGAAACCTGAAACTGAAACGGCTTCAGTCGCAGTTGATTTTAACATTAACACCGGTTGCATTTGCTACTGTGACAAAACGTCTTCAGTGGCAACGGTTTATTGAGCTTAGACTCTTTTTCCTGCAGTTCATCTCCTTTTAGGAGGGTTATAAATCCTGGAAGATTTTGAGTATATATTTTTTGGATCAGTTGTAATGCCTGTGAGCTCTGTGAGAGATCTTTGTTCACTCCATGCACGGAGAGGCTTTGTGCCACGAGAGGGAGTTGAAGACCAAGTGCAGTTTCTGCTCCACAGTACTTCAGCTCCATAGTGTTGATCACAGTATACTGTGTGTAGAGAAGCATTTCCTTTTCTTAGATCTCCTCATTCTGCTGCCTACTGTATGATTTATCAAATGTGACAATACTGACAACGACCATGAAGACTACCGCTCACTCCTTTTACCCTTTGAATATTACAGCTTCCACTACCAATAACTACAATATCTTATACCACACCATATGGTATATGGCCATATATTATTCAAAACATAGTACTATTACTAGTGTATGAATATGATAATGGAAGCACAGTATCAGGTTGCAGTTTTGTTTAACAATGCTGTACTGACATCTGGTGGACAATTGGGACCTTGGTATAGTCAAATCAATTATTTTTGTAGCTTCAGATGTAAAAGATTGTAAAGTTTCCCTGCAGTAAGCCTCTCACACCCACCAATCCAAGAGTTCTTTGTAGCTTTTTTCCACATGGTTAAGTCCATAATGTTTAGACTATCAGATTCATAACCATTTATCTTCAGTTGTGTAGTCGAAAACAAATATATTATTTCATAATACTGCATAATCACACTCCACTAACTGTGTGTGACTGTACCTTGAGAGAGCCTGTAACCCTACAATAGAAAGTATATGATGTAATAGTCAGGTCAGGGAAATACAGTGCGGTTATTTGCTCAAATCAGAAATACACAAAAATGTCCACTTTGTGCTCAATAAGATGTATATATTTAATAAACACCATAGCTTCCACAATGCAGCTTTGCTTCAGTATGTGTGAAAGCATCATTTCATAACGCACAAACATCCTGAAAGAAACTTTGACGTTTCAGTTTACAATCACAGGAGCAGCATAAATGTTGTTGCGTGATCTACTGAGTGATCTTTGCAATACATTTAAGATGTTTCGCCCTTCCCCTTGTTGCAAGTGCCGATGCCTGCATACCTAAGACCTAGCAGCGACACATCAGGTGATCTTTGGACCAGTAAAAGGTTGAGTCCCCTCTCATTCGGTTTTGTCAGGAGGAACTACCTCCATCAGCAGCTGGAGATGCATGGTGATGGGCCCTAAAGGGGAATGGAATGCATGACCTTTCCATGTCATCAGAGCAATGCAACACTCTATCCAATGCTTTACTTTCATGCCTTTTGAGCACACTATTTCCAATGTTATTCTATTCTGATGGTCAAGAACAAAAACACATATTTCAATAACTCAAACTTGAGAGTAGACTTACTCATCAGTTTGCACGCCCAGTTGACCTTGCGGTAGACGAAAGGGTAGTAGAGGAGAAGTCCACTAAAGATGAAGACAGCACAGTAGAGGTATTCCATCTCCGGCTTATCAATGATGGGAGCCAGGACCAAGTAGAAGGACACCAGGACTATCAGGCCCGGTATGACAATCGGCACCTTTGGGTAATCACACAATCACACTACCTCAAAACAAAATACGGCTTACAAATAACATCAATGCTACTGCCCAGTGGGGTGACAAAATAAGACTGTATTTGCAAAAGAATAAAGCCTTTATTTGGGTTTCAGTTAAGAACTTTGGATTTTGAAAATTGAAGAATTGAAGACACCTGATTGTAAATAAGAAACAGTTTGCAACTCCAAGTTGACAAGACACCTTACGGCAGGCACAAGCCTGCTGAGTCAAACAACTATAAAAGATAGCTAGCCTCACCTTTACTGGTCGATGGAGCTCCTTCCTGGTAAAACGCATGACTATAAGACCCAAAGCTGTTAGCCCGTAAAACACCCATTGAGCGAAGCTGAAGTAGTTAATGAGAGTGTTGATGTCAGCTGGGATAATATAGATAAGAGCTAAAAAACCCTGAAACAGAGAGAAAAATGTATTGTTACTTAAAAAGGAAACAGCGCCGGGAGTTAATCATTTATCTGACTTTCTGTGATAAACATTGTAAAATTCAATTTTTTATTACAATGCACTGTTGAAATTCCAAAAAGTTTTTTTTGAGATTTTAATTATAACAAGCATAAAGTGAACAACCATGCAGAAGTTTATACAACCAAAAAGTCACATGATCATTAGAGACCTAATTGAAATGTATGCAAAGGCAAAAAGTGTGACTCACATTGAACATGAGGGCAGGGGCTGGAGAATAGCGCTTCAGGCTAATATAGGATAAGATTTTAACCATGTGACCCTCTCTCCCAGATACATAGGCCAGTCTGTGAGAAGAGAGAAATAGCTTGAACAGTATCTTCTTTCTTTTTTTCGATTTCCGAGATCATTTCTGTCAACTTTTGTCATTTCAACTTCTTGCGGATTAGGTTTAGGTTTCAGGTGTGTATTTTCCAAATAATGTGACAGTATATTGCTTTTACCTGCCAGCGGTGAAGCAGCTTCCATTGGCAGAGCCGAATGTAGAGAAGACTACAAAGAGAGGAACAATCCAAGACACTGGGTAAAGGACTCGGTCTCCAAAAGTCTAAGAAAACACAAACAGACCCTTTAGAAGATCCAAGCTGAGCACAGTGAAAAATATATTGAATAAACAAAACGTAACACATACTGTGAATATTTGTCAAGAAATGACATGGCGACTGTAGGTAGTCCTCATTATGTAAAAGTCTTTTGAATTCAACACCACACTGAAAAGTCAACACTGACTACTTCTCAAACTCATGACTGAACCTTTCTCTAACCATGGCAGACTTGCTGCTTCTTACCAGAGCAACAGCTGGAGACAACAGCAGTTCAGAGGCGGTCATGACAGTGAAGTATGCCACGTTGACCAACACGTAGCAGACAGATACCAAAGGGATCGCTATGAGGATGGCCAGTGGCAAGTTCCTGAGAGGAGGGAGTTGTCAGACATGCTGCGTCAACCTTTCATAACAACTATCACAACTTCATATTTCACATTAACATTATCTCACCTGGATGGCTGTTTCAGCTCTTCTGTAATGAAATTCAGTTGATTCCTAAGTAAACAAAATACAAGTTAACTTCAAAAGGTGGCATGGTGCCATAACATAAGATATAGAAAGAGCTGTAGTTCTATGATCACATGCATTTGTCTTCTAAAGAATTCAAAAACTTGACTAAACTTCTTCTGTAAAGCAGAGAAAAAGGGAACGTCTAAAATGGACCTCACACATTGCTGTAGCTACAATGCCCAGTGCCAGGAGGGTTTGTGCATGAACCATGAACCCCCCCTGCATGTTAAAGGTAAAAGTGAAGTATGACTGTTACCATCCACCATAAGCCCAGAGCACATTATAAAACGCAAGTCCGATTGCTCCAAAAGACGACGATGTGCCGACAAACGCATTCGACAGGTTCTCAGTGTTTCCTGGACACAAATGTACAACAATACAGATGTTTATAGTAATTGTGATTATTTAACGATGAAAATTTGTAAAAAGTTGTATATTAGTGAAGCAGAAAACTAGGCCCACCTTTCGCCAGCATTACAATGCCAGCTACAATGATGACGAGGATGATGAGGAGTTTGGCGAGGGTGAAGATATTTTGCACGTAGCTCGCCAGCTTGACACTCAAACAGTTGACGCTGACGATCAGAACTTAGAAGCAGAAGAAATATACATTAAGATACATTACTAGGGAAATGAAATGCATCTATCACATTCGATGTATACTTTTTAAATGTACAAATTACTTCCGAAATGTCCCTTTCCCTAATGGACAACTTTATAAAAGAAATGTCATTTGATAAGAATTCAATTGTTTTTCTTTTCTTCTTTGTTGAAATAACAACAGCATTAGTTATTGTTCATCAAGTAATTTAATCCTGTGTTCAGTCGTATGTTACACACAACGTATTGAAATATACACCAACATCCAATTTTCTTTTTTTTATTAAAGTAAGACTTACTTATGGCCGCAGCCGACAGACACTTGGTAACAACAAGGGGAGGAGTACAGCCAGGGTAGAAAGGACTGGATGAGTATTCTGCGAAGCTCAGAGTGATGATGGCTAAGGAGGAGGGCTTCAGCACCATTATAGTGGTCCAGGAATAAAGGTAGGCCACGATGGGGCCGAACGCCTCCATCAGATACGAGTACTCCCCACCCGATTTGGTGATCATGGTGCCAAGCTCAGCATAGCACAGTGCTCCTGTGTAGCAACACAAAAATACACACAACCAAATACGGACATACCAACCGCCATAATGACTTTTTACATGAACCTTTGTAGTTTGATTGAAACATCCTGACCTCCAAAATTAGAAAATGACATGTGTACAAAACTACTTGTTTGCATGTTTTCAGTATGAGGATCTGTGAGCTCGTTTCTATCCAGAGGTAGAAATCAAAGTAGAGAGACTGAAATACCTTTATGTTTATTAGTGTTAAATGACATTGGTCTGTATGTCGTTCTCACCGAGTGTGGCTAAAACGCCACAAAAAGCCCAAATGAGAAGGCAGGGGCCCACTGCTCCAGAGAACAGCAGAACAGCCTTAGGAGAGATGAAAATGCCCGATCCGATCATCGTCCCCACAATCAGACAGATGCCACTTAGCAGGCCGACCTGAGCACAGAAACAACGGTAGACGTGTTACTTTCACTCTCACAGTGGAATGTCTAGAATTCTATCTTCAATGAAATTCAGACAAAGAGAAATTTGACATGCTTGACACTGTGCGAATCAGTCGAACATCCGGAGGGAGGCACATCTAATCTCAACAGTCTGTTATCTCCCCACGCTGTCACACACTTAAAGGCCACGGTGACCCACCTAGTTAGGTGAAGGACAACCAAAGCTACAAAGGGAGTGAATACTGAACACGTTACTGAGTGAAGAATGTTACAAACTGCAGCACTACAGGTTTGAGAAGCTCTTGAATTATGTTTGTTGTTCTACACTGTAAAAAATGTCACCATAAATTAACGGTAAATTTACCGTTATTTCACGGTATAATAGCGTAAATGGTTTTTACACTATGTTACCGTAAAATGGATTACAGTAAATTGGCGTGAACTTTACAGTCAATTAATGTTAAAATACTGGCAGTGGATGCCAGTAATTTGCTCTTTTTTTATGGTACACTGCCGTAGAATACAGTATGTTACCCTATAATGGATTACTGTACTGTATGTTACCTTAAACTTGAACCAATTTGACTGTGAATTAACTGCAATTTACTGACAGTCGACACTATTTTACTCACTGTTTTATTTACAGTGCCCTACCATAATATAACGTATGTTGCCGTAATTGGATTACAGTTTGTTACCATAGGATTACTGTTTTTGTGTTATAAATACTAGAATGTTACCGTTTACTTATAACCGTATACTTTTGCATTTTATTCCCCACAAATTAAAGAAAGACAACCAAACTCATTTCGGTCATAGTCGTTGGAGTTTGTCGTTGGCATTAGATGCCCTCAAGACAAAAATGTTAGACATTTGTAGCGCAAGGTTTGTAGTTTGAATCCTGGCTGCTCGCTGTGCCAAGTCGAAGTGCCCCTGAGCAAGACCCCTAACCCCCAATTACTCCACATAAATGGACGTTTTGGATAAAAGTGACAGCTACAGGTATACACTGTAACAAATTGCTGTAAATGTACGGTGCATTTCTAAGAGTATCTTACAGTATGTCATAATAACTGTAACATACAGTTAAATTTCTATCCCTTGCTTGTAAATTAACGACCAATGTCATGAATAAACAGTTAAAGCTGTCAATTTACAATAATAACAGACTACCGTAATTCAACTGCATGTTATATATATTTTATGAAGTGGTTGAAATACACATACAAGTGCAGTGAATTACAATCCATCTACATCTGTTGTAGGTTAATGTATGGATGCCCATGTCAGCCACTGAAAAACAGGTCCTGTAACATTAACCTACAACAGATGTAGATGGATTGTGATTCACTGCACTTGTATTTCCACCACTTCATAAAATATATGTAACATGCAGTTGAATTACGGTAGTCTGCTATTATCATAAATTGACAGCTTTAACTGTTTATTCATGACATTGGCCGTTAATTTACAAGCAAGAGATGGAAATTTAACTGTATGTTACAGTTACATACTGTAAGATACCGTTAGAAATGCACCGTAAATTTACAGCAATTTGTTACAGTGTAATGTGTATTACGTTTTTCAATATTTTCATCTACTTTTTCTGAAACTTTCGATGAAATACTCAAATTTTCACATATTAAAATGCTTTACTAAGATGTTAAACTACAAAGAATGTCAGCATACTGACACTAGCATTTAGCTTATTACTTTGCATGAGTTAAGCCTGCATAGGTGCTTAGTTCTTTGGACTTCCCTTGTTTTATCTGAGCACACAAATATAATCAGTGACAACTATCATGTGACTCTTGTTTTTCAAGTTTTTAAGCACAAACACATGTCGTGGATTTGATCATGAGACCTATTTTCTCATCTCAATTAACTAAATATGCCAACTTCAATGCCTTGAATATTAGATTGGGTGGAGATTAGGTGGTGCTTATGAATTTGTCATTGTAATCATAACATCCAGTGAAATGTATGATTTCAGTCCTGAATTAAGTTTAGGGTTTAGGCAGTTTCGGGGGCCTCCGCTGGGTGGATCACTGTGGAGTTAATATCAAGAGACGGTTGTTGCGGCACTCCCTGGTACTAAGTTCAAGCCCAAATTACTGTAACAAAGTATAGACCCACACACCAACACATGAACACACACATAACGGCTTGCAGACTCACATCTTTTTGAAGCACAGTAGCTTTCACAGGCTGCTTATCTTTAGTCTCAGATTCCGAGCAGCGGCCCTTGGAGCCGTTCTGCGACTCCTTCCTCATCATGATGCTGCCTTCATCCATTTCAGTCCACTGGTGCATGATGGAACACAAGTGCATTAGCGTATGTTTGATGGTTAAGTTATCTAATCTAATCTAATTTATAGGGTGCTACAATAAGCTGTCTGTGTCACTGTGTGTAAATCCAGGATAGATAGATGGATAAATAGATAGATACAAACACAGATACATGCATAGAAACATATCATTGGCCGTATATTCCTCTTTTATTTCACTTACATATGAAGAAAACCACCTCAGCGCTCCATCAACCTCAAAAGTTTTAAGTCCAGGTACTGGGAACCCAAATGATACTGGTGGTTTAATGAAGGTGATAATGAATGTCTGATGGAAGTGAAAACCCGGTGCTCGCTGTGACTGAGCGCACTCCTCCAGTGGGAGGGTCCCAGATCTTATTGGACAATGTGGACAGCCCTGGACATGAAGACCGGCCAGCAGAGTTGCTTGGTAGACATTTCCATTACAGTTGCTGAAACTGGAATACACTTTCTCCTCTTTTAGCTTGCCTAACCTGACTTCCTTCACAATGCCTCTTTGATAAAGATATGTGACACCCCTGCATGTGTGTGCTCACATATTTGTGAATGTGTGTGTTGCATTCCCTTTTTCCTCTGCCTCTCCTCTCGTCTCTTCCCAACATTAGTATTCAGGAATGTTGGCAAATCTGTGAAGTTTTTTGTGGTAAGTTTGTTAACATTAAACAACAAAGATATAAATCAATTAATTATTACAATAATATATGATATAATCTCATTGATGAACATGGACAACTGTAACACTAAACATGTTCACAAATGTCTGACTAAAGGTTAGTGATTTAAGTAACCCTGAGAACAGTTATTTACATCCCAAAAAGTTTCAGTCACATTCACTTGTTCTAATAATCTGAGAATGTACATTTTTGATTTAGGATTTGAGCCTATATAGCTCATTTTCAGTGTTGCATATCTACAAACAAAAATATAAAAGATAGTCCCTCAAAATTTCAGAATAGTTTCTGACAAATCACACTCATAGGGTGTTATTATTTACTAGATGGGGATATTTGAATGAAACAGGTTTGCAGAGAGCTTAGACTGTCTGTGTTCCACTATCCGTTAATTTACTCCATACAATGTATAACAGAAAAATATTTGATAAATGCATTATATTCCAAAATACAAGGAGGTCCTATCCGTTTGCATGTTGTGCTATGCAAGCCAACAAGCTTTCTAGCTACTCTAACGCTAACAAACCATCTGGTAAGTCCATCGCAGGCTGTAGTGTGGTTCTGGCTTGGAACATGTCAGAAATGTTAAGCATTTACACCAAGACAATTTTCCAACATTGAAAATTGAAACCTATTCTACTGATCTGTTTTACAAAATGACAAAACTCTGATTATCAAAATCAAGAACTGGTGGTATATTTATCTAAATCCTGGTTTCATAAACGGTTGAGTGTAAATTAAATTAAGCAAACACTGCCGTTTGTAAAATGTCACACGTGTGTGTGTGTGTGCACCACATGTCATCAGTGTGCTGATCCCTCTCAGGAGGAGTCTGTATGTCTGATGGAGAAACTTCAGGGCTTCAACTCTTTCTCTTTTGGGTGTCTTCCCTGGTCACAGTCATCTCCTTCATGGCATATTGACAAACGTTTGATTATTTTTTGACCGATGCTGTCTCACACAGCTGTTATGAGACTTTTGTGTACAGCCCTCTATTTACTTTTTTTTAAACGCTTAGGGAGATTTAATGCAATAAAAACTAATGACCGAGAATCTTTTTGCCACAGAAACACACCTGTTTTCTGTGAGAGAGGAAGAGAGGGAAAGATATTATGAAATCTTGTGATATTGGTGTTCTCTTTGTCAAAGCGAATCAGTGTGTCAAAGTGCTTCTTTTTTTCAGCAAAGGTTCCCTGAAATCACTCTGACCTGTTTGGAACATTTTCTTCTAAATTGCTGAGGCATATAGAACGGTCACCTGTCAGCGTGGGGGGAGGGTGCTGAGGTTTTTCTTCCCTGTTCAGCTCTGTCCTCCTCTGCTTCAGAGGGCTGTTTTTGTGTAGGACGGTGGTGCCAGAAAGGGGGCGAGTTGACACAAGATAGCTCAGCCTTCTGTGCTGTTAGCGGCAGACAGTCCGTTGATGGTTTCTATGGCAACTTACAGCCTTGGAAACCCACCATCTCGGTCCAAATGAGGTGATGAAGCAGCGGTCTGCAGGGGGTAGCTTTCTTCTCCGTGAACCAGTCAGCTGAGTGTGTTTGTTTTGCGAGTAAATGTCTCTGATTCATAAAAATTCAAACGTTAGAGCACCAAACCCAGCTGGAAAGACTTGATTTTCTCATCAGTAAACAGACAATGTTTTAAATCTAATGAAGCACACACGTTGATGCTATTTTGAGGAGAAGCTTGCGTAACAGAACTTGCAAGAAAATTCTTTCTGCATGGCTGAAACTTTAGTTTCTCAAAGTTTGAAATAGACTTTGTAATGAACATTAGTTGTTCGCTCAAAACTATTTGAGGGAAGAATTTGAAAGTGTTTTAAAAAGCTTCATCTCCTCCACTATTTGATCCTTGCCCATTTCTTTCCCGTGTTTAATTAGTTGCCTTTATATTTTTGAAACTGGAGACCAATAAACGCCAATGTAATTCTGTTGTGAAAGTCAAAGAGCTGCCTTGCTGCTGCAGAGCTTTGTGCGTCTGATGACAACAAGGACTCACTCCATCTCTGTCATCACTTTTAACCTGAAAATATTCTGGTACAATATTTCCTTTACATCTCGCTCTACTTGTTTTGTCTTGCAAGAATGTTTCTTTAGGTAAATGCCCTTACAGTAATGTGCCAAAAACTTTTCTTGGAGAATGTTGGATACTTGGAGAATTTTTAATTACATAATTGTGGATACATCCTCAATTCTACTCTAAATTGAATTAAAGCAATTTATGAACCTGTTAGAGAGATATCTTTCAAATAAACAGTTTGGATTAAGATGTTTTGAACCTTGAATTTTAACAGTTTTTCTTTTAGGTATTAGGTATTCATTTTACTGTTCAATTACTGTAAAAAGAAGTTAACATAAGGGTGACATTTTTTTTCCGTAAAATCTTCCTAAAACCCCTAAAACAATAAGAGAAACACACGATTAGCCACAACAGCTTGGTATTATTATTTTTTCTTCTTATATATCATAAAATCATAGCTAAATAGCCAATGTCAGTATATCATGTTGTTGTTTTTTTCTTAATCTTTGATTGCATTATATACTTCTGTCGTAATTCTGTCTGACAGTGGGACAAATGTCCCATTTCAGCCCCTTGAACTAAAGTGATAAGCTTAGGCTCTGACAGCATCCAATTTCAGTTAAACAGATCCAGGAATACCTTCAAAGACTCTTACAACTAAAACCATTAGTGTGAAAGCCTATTTTCTTCTCACAGAGCCATTTTAAATAGAACTGCACTTTAAACTGTAGGTGGTGCATGTCTCAGGTCGCTCAAAATACCTCTGAAGTTATTCTTCATAATATCTATAGTCCAGTTTAAACTCAATACACCTCAAATCACTACACATGACATATATCTGGAGTTAAATTCTTGCAAGTGTGCCCAAATCTGGCTTGAAGTTGCCTGTGAAACACCGGGGAGCAATTTCTTCAAACTGCGAGCACATTTTCTAGTGTGTTTCAACATTTTATTATAATAAATATACTGTACATTATCTGAGACAGCAGTCTGTATAAACAAACCCTCTATTCACATGTTGTAATACATTGAACACTGTTTGCAGAAATCTCCTGAAAAGGAACATAAGCATGCTTGCAGTGCATTATTAAAATACTGTGGACTTCTCTTAGATCCACAAGGCTCTTCAAAGAAGCACGTTGTAATTTGATATTATGAAGTAAATAGGATTACGACAATCTGGCTATACATATGTTATAATGTGTTAAATGTGTGCTAACAGGAGGGTGGAACAGTGCGAATTTGATCACATCCAGCCGGATCTGCTCGCTTTCTCATGCAACATGACCCTACTTCTCTGACGGTCCCCTGCTACGTCTGACTGCCCTTTTCAATTCTTAAATGCAAAGCATCAATGTAGCCAAACATCAAGAGGAATACTAATCAGTGGGCTACATTGATGCTTGAGCTTTTCCACTAATCCACTTGGATTACGTGTTGTTAATCATCATGCTGACGGCCAGACACTGTCACGTAATTTCATGGCTTTTTTTTTTTTTCCTCTTCCAAAAATACACAAACCCCATGGCCCCTGATAATACTTATCCTCAAATTGCACCCGCGACGTCCATTCTATATGTTCTACATCATAACTAGTGCAACTCTTCATACATTCACAAATGCGTGAAAGATCGATTACTTCGCCTGTCCCATATCTATAAATATGACTTATTCTGTAAACGGCTCTTTTCTCTCTGGTGGAGCTGCCGGCTCTCATTACCGCGGTGACGCGCTCGTGGGCAGACGCGCCGATGTGTCCATCCGGGTGTTTGACGGCTCAGGACATATTGATGACCAAATATCCAAGAACCAGAGCGACCGTGACGATGACAAAGAATACGAGCACGGCACAAATCGACGCGAAGCCAGCGTCCCTGCCGCCTCCCCCGTCCTCCTCTTTGGGCTCCTCTTCGCAGATGGAGATGACGCCCACGGAGGAATTTCCTACACTCATGTTGGACTTGAGCTCGGCGCCCGCCTCCTGTTTGGCCTCGACGGCCCACGGCGCCACCTGCACCTTCATCTCCATCTCCTCCATCATCTGGCTCATCTGGGTGATCTCGGACTGCAGGTCCCGGAGGTCCGCCGTGTCGATGTTGCTGTCCGCCTCGTACTTCATGTTCTGCACGCTCATGGCCCGGGCCGCCACGGTGGTGGTGCTGCCGGTCATGCCCGTCTGGATCAGGTGTCTCGTGGGTACCTTGATGGGGAAATCCTGCCCTATCTCCAGGGACCTTTTCATGTCCACCTCCAGGAGCTCCATGCTGCTCGAGAACAGCACCCATAGCCGCTCGTACTCGGCTCGATCGTCTTTGCTGATGCTTTTGTCTTTGAGTAGAGAGGTCAGTTTAGTCCTGTTGGCCACGGCCAGCTCCTGGGCCTTTTTGCGGGTCCTCTTCAGCTCCTCTCGCAGGTTCTGCGAGTCCGACGTGCTTCCCAGAGCGATGACCAAATGCCTGTAGCAGGCGGTCACTTTGTTCAAAGCGTCCAGCATTGTTTTGCACTCATCCTTCCCCATGGCTGATTAATTATCTTGTTGCCCACCCCGCCCCTCCCCCCTTCTCCCCCGACCACCCTCTCCCAGGCCCACCCCTCTCTCGACAACAACAACAAAAAAATGAAATAATGAACAAAATAAGCTTGAGGAGAAATGGCGAGCTGTTAGTGACGGCGCATCATCCGCGCTCCTTGGTTTAGTTCCAACAGGAGCGCAGCTCCAGCTCTGCAAATCCCCTCAGCGCACCAGTCACAGCGAATTCCTCTCTAGCCATGCTCCTTCCTGTCTGCCAGCGGGCACGCCGAGCGGCTTAGACACTAATGCCTCCGTAAATGGCTTTGCGCTGTATACCTTTGCGCCTATCTGCCGGAGATCAGACGGCGGCGCAGCGCCTCTCGTGCGGGGCGGATGCCGAGTGGATGCGAGGCGGTCCGACCCGCCTCTTCGTCGGGAGGTCTGGACCCAGATTCAGCCACAGGTGTCCCGACATCCGACCTCCCCCGCTGTTGGTGGAGAGAGCACTGGAGGCTTTTCTCCGTTGGCAGCTTAAAATAAAGTCCGTTAATGTGCACGGATGACGCGGCGCGGGGTGATGGGTGGGGGGTGGTTGGAGGGGGGGGAGATCTTCACGGAGAGTTAAGGCGAGAAAAATAGCTTCAAAGTCCCCGCGAAGGCGAGCCAGACATCGTGTTTGGGTTTGTTTATCTGTGCGGGCATCCTTCAGCGCCCAAATGATGATGCCAGTTTAAATGCCAGTATAAGCGCCGTCTGGGGTCACATGCGTGCGCTGAACGGAGGCATGCGGGCAGGGAAACAAGGCAGCCGAGCTCCCATTGGTTTGGGCACACAGATGCGTCCGGTCATTGGCTGTTCTTGCCCTAATGTGGGCAATGCTGTGATGTGTACCAGCTGGCATATCAAAGCACAAAGTCCTAACCTACCTGCCTCTAGTTGTCATCAGGATCCTTTTTGTGGTCAGCTCTGTGTGTCCAGAGACGAGAGAAGGGACGGCTGCTTACTGACAAGAATTTCAGCGTTTTTTATATCGATCTTTGCATTTACAAAGCAGTGCTGGAGGAGCAAATGTGTTTGAACCCCCCTACCCCACCTATAACTGCTTTGTAAAGATATGTTTCATTTTCAGAGGAAATGCAGAGTAACTGTGTGCATAACTGTGAAACCTACCTAATCACTCTAATTGCCTGCACGCCTCACAGTCAATTAGACACAGACCTGCCTGCACGCTGCGTCGGGCCAGAGAGGATGCCTGTTGTTGTGCACAGGGTTGATGGGTTGTTTATCTTCTTGGCTCCTGCTGTGGTGAGAAGTGAGAGACAGATAAGACTGTGCGGTGTTTACTTGGTTTGCTCTTTTTGCATTATTGAGGCGGGTGAGACCTACCGATCCATCGATTGCAGTGTAAAGATAATGGACTGGAAGATGGAATGGAAGATGCTTAAGCAACTGAGGGAGAGGCTCATTGTTTACTATGTTGTTGCATGCAGATTAATTCATTTTATTTGAATAGGTCATTGAAAATTCAACCATAATTCCAAACATCTAATGCATTATTTTATTTGCATAACTACAACGTCTACAACTCCCTATTTTATGATGAGATTAATTTTAATATTGCTCTATGTTTTTCTGTAAAATGTATTCTGTATATTTTAACTGCAAGCCAGGCCTGGCTGAGTCAGTTATTTTGTTAAGATCTTGGCTAATCTTTTTCCCATTGAGTATGTTTCCATGGCAACCTCTCACCTCTTAGCAAGCTATTCAATTACTGGCTCATTAGAATGACAATTTGGCTGTTGTCAAAAGAAAGATTCATTGCATTTGGATCAATTGCACAATGTGCAGGTCTGATTCCAGGATCTTTCATTACCAAACTTTTTCTTTTTTTGTTTTTTTACAGTCACGACGGGTCAAAGTCCATAGACGAACATCACCTGTAGCCTGTTGGCAACGACAAACTTGGGAATTGGTTCAATCTCTTCTTATAGAGACGATCACGTCCACTTGGAACTGCTTACAATATAGAGTTAGAATTGCAGGATTATGTTGTAAAATTGGCTTGAGTGTTTGTCTGTGTGCTTACCTATAATACGATTGCTGATAAGCTTGCCTTAGAGTCAAGTGTGGGACGAGGCACATATGCTGTTGTCAGATTGTTCTCAGAATGATCATACTATGAGAAAGTCAACGAGGCTCTCTGGGGGTTTCTGTTCCACAGAAGAGTAACACGATAGTGAACATTGTGCATGTTTTTAAAGGATGAATGCTTCACACTGGCTCCCGAAAAGACAATTAACTCGGTAAAAATCTTTTTTTCTCATATTTGGACAGCCATTGTTTCAAAACAAATGCTATTTCTTCCACAAAAATGACTGTTGGCCTATTCAAGTAGAATAAAATCTTGCATTTTATACACAATGCATCCATTTTATATTCTGTGTCAGTTTTGAAATTGATGTGTATTGGGTTACGATCACAATCAAAATATGTAAGTTTGCATTATTTTTCAAAAACAGAGGTTGGTATCTTCCACATTGTAATTGCTGACTATTATTCAATTATTCCGCTAAATATACATGGGACAATAAGATGATTCAAAGAACACATATAAGTCAAATTAAGAGCACATAGCAGCGTAAAAGTCTTCGTGACCGCTTGGTGACATCTGTCTGCTGTCGGCTGCTTAATCCAACCCTTCAACTGCTGTACAATTTGAAAAAGGGCCCGGATGTGTTTGTGTTCCTATCAGGAGCTAAATCACTCCATGTGTGCCATGTTGTCAAGGGGATGTTTGCTTTAAGGTGTGTTTTAGTTTATACATGAGCGCCAGACAGCAGATCTTCTTATTATCCCTAAATTTGCACGCAAATTGCTTATAAATGCATTTCAATGAAAAGTCGCTGTTACATACGATACCAATGATATGACAAATGATAGTAACTGTCTTGAACACAATCAGAATAGAGTCAGGGAATAGAAGATGAGCACATACATTAATACATCCCCGGGTTTAAGAGATGAAAAGGAAACCAATGGAAAGAAAAACAACTTGTTATAGAGCAGTTTAAAATGCTCCTGTAAAATGATATAAACACCATAATCCAGATCAACAGGTTCTGGGATTAGCAATATAATGCCCCCAAATGTATCTTTTAATGGAGCTTGTCGTCTGTCACTCAAGCATTTTCATCATATGTAATCAATGGTTTAGCCAGAAAATTGAGCCTTCTGGCACTTACTACACTTTGTGTGAGATAATGATCAAACGGGGACGGACAGAAAGATGTTTTCCCCGTAATGCCCCGAGCAAACACATTAGAAAACTCTAGAGCAACGGCTGTCAGCTGTCTTGATAATCCCAGTAAAAAGCTCCTGCACTGATGCCCTTTTCTCTAATATTCAAGTAGGCTTTCTATAGAAACTACTCATTGACAGGCACAGTCCCCATAGTGTGCTGCTTATGCTAAATGTTTGAACACAATTGAATCCGTTTTGTCATTTAGTTAAAGGTTTATCAGATTTGTCTAAACTCAATGTGTCTATTTGTAGCTACCAAAGTAAACCCACGTAAAGTCAGGGGAGAACAAGGAACCCCTCATAGAATCTAAAATCCTATGAAAAAGACATAAGCCATGCACACATCAAAGATGAAGTGCATCTGGACAAGGACTAGAACTCTGTGTAGCCCTAACCTGACATGATCATGCAAAGGTAATTTGATGTGCTGTCACCGGTGACCCTTCGACCTCATGGTTGATGCTTGTTTTAAGCGGTTTTGGGATTCAGGTGGATGAAGGAGCCCAAAGATGGAGCCTTTTTGTGGAAGCATAAGAAACCAAGGTAGAGCGTCGATGGGAGAGAGAGAGGAGAGAGGGGAGAGACTGCGAGAGAAAAGGGCAGAGAGCGACAAAGTATAAACCAGAGAAAGAAAAAGTCTATCTTTGTTGAATTATTGATGGACCTCGTCCGCTATGTGGTCTCTTACACGGCACAGCATGCAGCAGCGGGGTGAACCATGACTCACGCCTCAACTCCACAAAGGTTCGGAGAGGACCTCCACTCAACCGTGACATGTGCACACACACAAACGCACACACACATACACACGTACACAATAATGCTCCTCTCTCCACACCCAATGACAACCAAAGCTAAGTTTACCTTAAAAGCCCTCATATAATCTTTCTATTGATCTGGGACACTGTGTGTGTCTGTGCGCGCCCAGCACAGGGAAAACTGATTTCCTGATAGAAAACCAACCTTTTTCCACGCTGAAGATGCAGTCATCACTTACTGTTGTTAAAACTGCATACTAACAATCTGGTGAGAAAAAATCAGCATGGAAAATATAACATTATATAACATATAGCATGCCTCTATATAAGATATCAAAGTTGCCCTTTTAACAATACATTCTCTTTCAGTTTGAGAGGTAGCGTGGGGCAGCCAATGAGTCCTCATGTGTTTAGAGTCTTGACCACAGGTCTAAGACATGGGCTGGCACTAAAGCATGCTTACATTTTTCACACTCACACACACACTTTCCATGCTAAACTGAGATGAGCCAAAAGGATTCACAGCATCTGCTCGGTCAAGGCTTAGCTCTAATCCCATCGCAGCAAGGTAAACTTCGGTGAACCCGGGGATGTGAAAGTGAAAAGTGATGTCATGTACTTTGAATGTGTACTTTGAATGTTTGAATTAGCCTATTAACATGTCTTCTCTCTAATAAAAACATATTAAAACAAATAAAGGCTGTCGCTGGCTGTTCTCTGATGTGTGTGTGCGTCAAAAAGGTACCTGTTTGTCCACACAAAGCCTGCGTGTAATCTAATATACAGTTCAAATCCCATTCTGTAGAAAATAGGACAGTCAAGGGAGAAAACAGCTATCGCGTTCAAAAGATGTCTTTAACCAGGCTCAAAAGACATTCAACTGCAGCAAAAATCCTACCAGAAGAAATTTCTATAGTTAAAAAAAGCAATACATTGGTGACCTTTAAAGAGCTTGAGATGTTTCTTGTGGCTTATTTGTAAAGCTTGTTGTACTCCTACTTTGCCTCTACTCGTACACACTTCAGCCAAGAATACGAGGAGAGCTGATGGCCTTGAGCGCAAAGGTTCTTGGCCCTGTCTGTTTCACTCTTGTGGTTTTAGAACAGCCAGCAGATTCAGAATGTCCTCTCTGAAAGGCTTCCAGGTCGGATTTGTGTGGGCGGAGCGAAGGTGGGTGCAACAGAGATAAGCTTGTACAAGGTTAGAGGTCATCGCATTGCAACAAATGTCAAATGGAAATGTCAAAGTTCAATTCATTTGTGCATTCTGATTTAGTTGATATTTTTAAGATTAGCGGTGTAAAGTACCATCATTCCATATAATACTGTGAATACATCCATATCATACAATGATTGCATATTACATTGCACCCAACCAGGGCTAAGCCTTTTTCTCTTCGGCTCCCTTATCCTGCTCTCCTGTTTTTTACCACAGATCAACTGATGACAAGTAACAGTGTTTAATTCACAAGCTCCAAAAAAATCCTCTTGTGATGTTTCAGTCTTTAAGAATTTATGAAGACTTTTCTGCTTTCTTTTTTTTTTAAGTAAACGTTTCCCTCAGATTGTCCATCAGAATCAGATCAGAATCAGCTTTATTGGCCCTTGTGTGAGTAAAATGTTTTTAACGTATACCAGAATGTGGAAGTGCTGCGTTAAGAAAATACTAGGGTTTAAAGTAAATGTATTCACAATTTTCTTTACTACAGTCCAGTTTCAGTATTTTACCTCAGTCTCTTAACCACATGCGGTGCTCTCTAACATCAAACTACACATGCTTGTTGAACCAATTTGTGTGTTGCCAACAGATTCTTTAAACATCCATAACATATTAATCTGTCAGCTGTGGCTTTAATGCTGGACCACTGACATACAGATTCATGCGAATAGCGCTTTTTCATAATGTATATTTCCTCTCTCATCCCCTCCGATGTAAGCATAGCCCCAAGTCTTATTTCCCATTTTGCCTCGCGCAGCAGCAAACACCCTGACCCACAAACCAGCTACAGTCACATCACACACTTGCTCCAAACCACTCTCCACTTTGCTTCACTTGATTTCACTCCGAAAGCCGGCATGCAAACCGAGGGATGAGGTCGGGCGAGGGAGTACTGCACCAAAACAATGATACTGATAATCAAAGACGTTTCTTAGTGCTCATTTAGGGAGTCACTGTCTTATCCTGGTTGAGGAGTGCAAGGTCAGAGGGAAAAGCAGAAAGTGCCAACCAGGCAGACACAGGTCTGATAAGGATGAGAGTTAGAGACACACCAAGCACCATACAACACTCACGCTTTGTTTACATTAACGTTAGGAGACCACACATTGTATGTGATTGGATCTCGTACTGCGGAGGAAGGACTTGCTTCTCCTCGACGCCGGTTTAGGGCCAATAGAAATCTTTTCTTTTATACCTAATGTCAGGATCTAACAAGAAATACAAAACGTAATGTTCTTGCTGATGTTGGTGAGTTGTTCTTCCGACAGAACGGCTCCTGCCTTTGCAAACGCAGCACTGATACTTGACCTGTGATCTGACAAATGAATCTACCAGATCGAGAGAAGTTGTTTGGCCGAATTCTTCCAGATATCCCCAACTGGGCTTCCAATTTTGATCACGTTCTTTCAGCTACGCATGGGAGTCCAAGCCTTCCGGCAGGAGATTTTGTTTATTGCAAGAGCACTCAGCATTCATTATTTAATTAGATACAAGACTGCTGAATACATCAAGAGTTCAAATGAAATACACCTCCATGTCTGAAATTCTCTTCTCCCAAATGCATATTATGGTACATCAAGGAAGGAGATGTTTTAGGTGAATGTACATCAGGCGGGGAGAAGCTTTAGGAGGATGCAGAATACAGTTTACAGTCAGATGCTCATCTGGCCAAATGGACAGAGTGAGAGAAGCAGTTCTGGAAATGGAAACGGCTTCAGTCTCCTCATTCAGCCTTTAAGCTGCTTTACAGGATTGCTGGGTATTTTTTCTCTCCCTCCCTCTAAAACAGAGCTGACATTGGCTCTGAACCAGAACGGGAGTGGACAGAAGCTTTTGAGCTTTCACTGCGCAGCCGCACACGGAGGGCAAAAAGGCAGAGCAGCTTTGTCTTGACTTTATAATCCACTCTTGGGAAAAATACATGTGGTGGCAGAGACTGGTCAGGAAGGTCATGCTGCTCCCTGCTGGGGACATGCTGCTACAAGCGGGCCCTCTTTCACTAGCTGACCACATGAGACCCTGGTCAGGTCAAGATAAATATTCCACTCAGTCCGACTGAGTGTTTCTCTTCAGCAGTCACTAAATTCCCGTTATGACATCGTTGACCAAAAGTGTACGCATGAAGGTTTTATCCTCAGAACGGTTTTGTGCTTTGCAGTTTGAAGTTTAGAGTTAAGGTTACTGTAGAAATATCAAAAGGGTTCATTGATATGGATTTCTAAGACAGAAAGAGTTCAGGCAAGCGAGATAACATGAAACGAAATTTCTTAGACCTGTTTATACTGGTCAAGGTTTTGGTTCCGGGCCACTTAGAAAGCAGCTTGTTTTGAAAAGTATTCTTGCGACCTTAGCAGTGAAATCAATACACAGGCTCAATGCTCCCTGTGAATGTTTGGACCATTCAAGTTTTAATAATTTGATCATGGAAATGAATAAGAATCAATGTTATATCTGAATGGTGGGTAATACCAACCCAGAAACCTTCAAGTGACACATGAAAAAGAAATTTAAAACCACTGGTATGGCACCTTAACGGCTCAGTCACAGCTTTTCTCTTTATGCACCCTTGGCCTCCCTCGGTCCTGTGAGTACAAACTACCGCTGTTGCTGATTGGGTGTTATGGTGCTCGTCAAAGCAGCTTTGTTTGCTACGAGCACATAATTAGACTTCTCAATTCTCAAGGGCACATATCTTGAATTGAAGGAAATTACTAATGTTGAATATATTAATAATAACTAGTCTGGTAAAAAAAATACATGAATGGATGCATACATTATTGAATTACTACCTTTTTGGTTGTTCTTTCTGAGGCAGCTGAAATTCAACTTGCCAAAGACGATGATGGTGCACTTTTACACGGCGATCATCGAGTCCATCCTCTGCTCCTCCATCACCGTCTGGTACACTGCAGCCACAGCCAAGGACAAGGGCAGGCTGCAGCGTGTCATCCGCTCTGCAGAGAGGGTGATCGGCTGCAATCTGCCGTCCCTGCAGGTCTTGTTCGCTTCAAGGACCTTGAAGTGAGCTAAAAAGATCGTAAACGACCCCGCTCACCCTGGACAAAACCCGTTTGTGCCCCTCCCATTAGGCTGAGGTCATCAGGACCCGCCACACAAACAGTTTCTTCCCGTCGGCAGTCGGGCTCATCAACAGAGCCCGGTCCCCCACTGACTGACTCTGACATTCCACCCGTCACTTTCTTTCACACTGCACACGTCACTTACACTTGTCACTTTTCACTTGTCACTTTTGTCACTTTTTGTTCGCTAGTGCACTTTATTTTTTAATTTTTAATTTTTAAATATTTTTAACTTTTATTCCTTTATTTTAAACTAACCAATAGCCTTATACTAGTAACCCATAGCATTATATCTTTTTTTATTGTCTGTTTGTTGTCTTGTTGTCCATTGTCATACTGTCTGCTGTTACGCACCAACCCCCCAGTCAAATTCCTTGTATGTCTGAAATATTATGGCAATAAATGTTTCCTGATTCCTAATTCCTATTTCCTGATTTACAAATGATAAATTATCTCAATCACGACCTTTAAACTGCGGTATTAAAATGCAAAATAGTTCATCTAAGTTAACTTAGATGATCTATTTTGCATTTTTGCATTTTGTCCAAGGGAGTGACACTCTAATGTTAATGCATTAATCAAATAGCACCTGCGAGTGGACAACTGAGATTATCAGTTTAGTTCCAACTATGTCACATTCCACGAGGTGACGCTATTTAACTAACGAGAGACCCCGGAGATTTACGAAGGGTAACGGAGAAACCCGAGGGGAACCCCGGAAGCCCCGTCGTTACTGCTTCACTGTCAGCCCGTTGTTACAGCGATATGTTGCTGCTGCTGCGGGCACGACCCCGTTGAAACTGGAGTTTAGTCCAAAACAAGCCTTGAAGATGTATTAAGACGGATTTCCGAACAAAAGAAATTAGAAATATTAAGGTATGTCATTCAGCTGTCACTCTGGGAGGCTGTGCTTTAGCGCTCGTCTCGCACACATAACATGCTAGCTGCGTTAGCTTATTTTGGTGGCTAACGTTGTTAGCAAGCGAGATTTACCAGTCTGCCCGGATGCCCGTGAAGTGTCAGCAAGCTAGACAGCTAGCAAGCTGGATGTGTGTATTTCGTTCAGTCACGACCTTTACAGTTGTTGTTGTTGTTGTTGCGGCAATGACCTGAAAGAAGGCTCTCTAATATCAAACCGCTAACTAGAATCTGTTGAGGGGCTTCGGCTTGTGGTATCGTTTTTAGTAAGTAAGTAAGTAATCATCTGTCCAGAGTCGAGGTTCGAAAATGTGTTCACAGACGTCATCCGCGCACACTATCTAATCGAAGTAAAAATGTCACTTGCCTATCACAATAGCACTGTACGGATGGATGGATGATGGCGATTGTTGGTGTCAGTTAATTGTTGCATGTGAGACCTCGGCTACATCGAGGTGGTCCAAACGCCGCGGAGAGGATCCATTACCGCCCCAGAATGATTACAGGAAAATCAGCGATCGGTCAACAGACTGTTATAAGCAGTAAATAATTGCGTACCACATTGCTATGACCAGACATCAGGATCGGGAACACTTTCAAAACCCTGTGATAACTCCCTCCTCCATCGAGTTCACATTGTTTTCCCTGCATGCTGCTGATGAACTGTGCAGCATTTTATTCAGAGCTGTCTGTCATTTATACACCTGATGTAAATACAGTTTCAGCGAGAACAAAGCTTCAATTCTAGTGGACCATGTTAGGATTTAGCTCTTTGTAAGAACTGGTGAACTGGTGGCTGACTGTTTGTTGATATGTTTTAAATCTTGGATTTTTGTTTGCGTGTCCCTTTCAGGTGCACATGTACTTCATCCTGAATGCTGGTCCAGGAGGCGCACACCGCAGCATGTTGTTGTGAGGAGAGAACATATTAGGTAGGTCCCCGCCGTTTGTACGTCTCCTGTTTTACGCCGAGAGTAATCTCTCTGACAAGCAGAAAATAAGCGCGGACTTTTCTATACTGTACATCTCTTATGCAAAAGCTGGAGGAGTGGCATTCCTCATTTGAGATTTTTAGAGATATCGAGTAGTAGACTATGACTTTTCTTTTCAGTTTTGAACACAAACTCATAACACTGAACGATAATGGGTTTATGTACATTTAGGACTATCATTGCATTAATTTAATCCTCATGGAGCTGTCAATCACCACCAAATTCCCTCACAGAATCCGGACCGTGTGGTACATGATACAACTGTTTTTATTTGGTTGGTGATATCATAGGTGGAGGCCAAACAAATTACAGGCTATGCAATGGTTGTGCTAAAAGATAAAGCCAGTACAGAATTATTTTAAAATGTTCCTTTTTTTCCACCCATCTGTGACCCTTAGAAAGACCCATATTGTAAATTATTACATGCACACAAATGTAAACGGTCTAGAGGCAGAAGTTAAGTTGCATAACATTATACCTTATGCTTTGTTTTTGTTTTTAGGAATTAAATGTTCGCGTCAAATTCTCCATTAGAAATGTTTGTTTTTGTCAAATCCTGAAATTTGAATTTAAAGACATGTATAGTTTGTGTAGCGTAGCCTCCGTCAAGCCATTTCAAAGTCCGTACATTACCATAGATTGAAAGTCACTATTAATAATCTTTTCCTAGAGAACTTCCATTCTTGTGTTGTTGTGTCAGCAGTGACACGTCTTTAACCAATCCGATTTGAAGTGCTGCTTGAGGATTACAAGCTTAAGCCGTTTCTTACAACTTGCCTGTCGTATTCTCAAAATGATAACTAAGACATTATCATAGCTAAGAGCAGCGGACCCACAAATTATGCTTTTGATTAAATGACTGTGGTCAGAACTCTTTGAACCCGACTCCCCTGTGGCAGTCGGGTTACAGCTTCGCAGGCAAAACGCATCTCATCACCGTTGGCATTTCCACGTTACAAGCAATTATGATGACACCCGCTGACGTGGGAATTATTTGGACGCAAGCAGGAACAAGCAGCAGGATGGTGCTTGGAAAGCCCCGTAGCTCTGCGCCGTCCATCTCGCTTGAAATGTCTCTCTTGATCAAAAGGAAGCAGCCATTTGCTTCACAGCGTTACATCAGTCTACAACGGTAGTCAATTATGTGGCTAAATACCAGTATTGAGGCAATTGTGGTCTTCAAACTGTCACTGACATTTCAGAAAGGGAGAGACACGTGTGGCAGGTTGTCAAAGACCGTGTCATGACAGGACAACATGTGTGCATAGCAACTTTATAATGCCTTCTTATATCAGAGGAAATACTTCCCAGTGGGCGAGGTATCTCACGCCTGTGTCAATACAGTTTCTATTCATACTTATGTTATACAGTTAAATATACTTATCTGCTACATTGGTATCGGTTGGCACCAGTTTTGAATTGTCCCTTTCTCCTAATTTGGTCAGAGAAACAAATGTTTGTTTGCTTCTACGCTAACCATACACTAAATAGTAATACGAGTCTTATTTTTACACCAGTTTGATCCGATCCTACATAAGTATATTAGGTCTGTGTTTGTATCGCCTTGTTTGATTGGTTTACATTGACTCGGTGAGTCACAATGAAGTCTGCCAGCAGGATTATTATTAGGCTGTATTTCACATGTTCCTCAGTCGCAGGATAAGGTTCCCTGACGGATCCGGTCAGCCATTGATTTGTCTCAAACAGCGGCCATTGTCTCGTCATGGACGTTCTCTTTGTGACCGTGACATAAATACAGAGGGGCGAAACTCCAGTGACTCAGTTGTGTTGTGATAACAGCGGCATGGCTGAAGACGGAGGCCGTGGTTGACTCACCCTCGCTGATATGGTTACTTTGCCCCTGCTGGTGGTGTGGTTTTAGGATGGTCAGCAAGAGTTGTGTAAAGCTTCTAGCCACCACACATTAAACATGAAAATGTGAGATGTCAACCTGCTTCATAGTGACATTATATATATATAATATTTGAATTATGTTGATACCTTTTGCTTTTAAACAAAATTTGTGTTTTAGTTATTGATGTGTTAAGTTATTGATCTTAAACATTCTTTCCTGCAGGTGCCAAGATGTCAAGGTATTATTATGATAAAAAGACAAGAAAATGTATATCCCTATTATTATATTTACTCCTGAGTCTTGTATACTATTCATTTAATGGTTTTTATTTGATATTATTATATGTGACCATCCCTACAAAATAACCACTATTGAATACTGCATGTTTCTTGTCCTCTAGTTTTATCGTCAGAAGACCGAGACGGCCTCTTAATCTTGCTTGAAATATTTCCCCTAAACCGCAGGGCAGGATGCAGTCCTCAAACCACCGACTGCGAGAAACAGAGCAGCACCACCCGCTGCTGTCGGCAGGTGCCGATGTCGAGACCGGAAGCCTGGCAGCCGGCGCGATGGTTGGAGGAGTCCACGCTGGCCACGCAGGGGGGAACCGCACCATGTGGTTCATTCAGGACAGCTGCGGGATGGTGTGTGCAGGCATCACCTGGTTCCTGGTGCTGTACGCTAATTTCGTGGTGAACTTTGTCATGCTGCTGCCCGGCAAGAGCTTCTGGTACTCGCTGCTGAACGGGGCCACGTTCAACTCCCTGGCGGTGCTCGCTTTGGCCTCACACGTCCGCACCATGATGACCGACCCGGTAAGGCTGTTAAGTAAAGTACGAGTGGGTCAGGTTGCCTTGAATTTTTAATTCTATGTATTGCATGAAGCGTTCCGACATTTCTTAAACAATAATTTGCGCATCAGGAGGTCGTAGGTCGAGTACTGTTGTGCTGCTGCTGCAACATTGACTCCCAGAATCGAGATGTCTGATGACAGGTGCTGCAAACGCAAAGACGCCCAGCGTGACTTTTCTGAGCCGTAACGGGATGACCGACTTTTGTAACTGACAGCCCTTGTCTTGTCTGTCTTCACCCCCTCCTTAGGGTGCGGTTCCTAAGGGCAACGCAACCAAGGAGTACATGGATAGCCTACAGCTGAAGCCTGGTGAGGTCATCTACAAGTGCCCAAAGTGCTGCAGCATCAAGCCTGAGAGGGCACACCACTGCAGGTCAGTCTAATTCACACCTCGGGCCGATTTAAGAGACCAAATGAAATTGTGACATGCTCCGGTAGAGACTGCTGCAGTAGAGACATTAACAGTCAGTTTGTCATGCAGCAACATTTTGTCTTTCTGGGCTGCAGTATTTGTAAAAGATGTATCCGGAAGATGGACCACCACTGCCCCTGGGTCAATAACTGTGTGGGCGAAAAGAATCAGAGGTTCTTTGTTCTTTTCACTGTAAGTATACAGAAGCACTCATGGTGCAGTATGTCTTCATTTTCACAAGGGCCGTGGTAAAGCTAAGAAATGCAGTCAATGTTGTTACTTTAAATTACTTAACGTCCATTATCATGAATAAATAAACAACACGTTTACATATGTCCATAATAGAATATTTTTTGTTTTGCAGTTACTTAAATGATAGGTATTTTTGTCAGACTAAAGGAGTAGTTTCCACAACTTGTACTTCTAGACGAAATAACCGTTTCACTGTCAGTAAACATTAAACTCATGAATTCCATAGAGAGGTTAGTAGTAATGAAAACGACTACAGCAAAGAAGTTTTTATTATCTGAGCGTACAATACCAGAGTCTCTGCAAACCAACCTTGTGGGATAGAAGTGGATTTCTAGCTTCTCTCTTTCCCCTTTTCATCATTGTCTCTCTCCTCCCCCCTTTCCCTCTTTCTGCAGATGTACATATCTTTGATTTCTGCTCACGCCCTGGGCCTCAGTGGCATGCACTTCTTCACCTGCATTAAGGTCCAGTGGAATGGTGAGGCCTCTGTGCTGCACAAACAGAAAAAACAGTCAGAAAATACAGCTATTTATGAAAGAGACTGCGACAGCTTACAGATAGGAAGGGAGAGACAGACATGCCAAAGTGGAAAAGGCAAAGACATTGTTATCATGTTGGATTGATCTGGTCCTGCTCCCTTCTGGGTCTTTGTAAGAATGAACCAGAGTACACCAGCTTCTACTGCCTACTACAATATATTTCTCTCTATTTTTGGGGGGTATAAATATTGTTTTCCAGCTTGTTAGATTCAAGTAAGATTTTCTGGAGGATACATTAGACATCCATTCTTATATTCATATGTATGCACCTGTAATTTAGTCCCATTTCATTTGCCATTTTCCTTTGTTCCCTCTGTGACTAGAGTGCAGCAACTTCTCTCCGGGGGTGTCCGTGCTGCTGCTGATCTTCCTTTGTCTTGAGGCCATCCTCTTCCTCACTTTCACAGCTGTTATGTTTGGTACGCAGATCCACTCCATCTGCAACGACGAGACGGTCAGTATTCACATCACCCCGCAAACCTTGTTCCCCTTCACAAGTCCAAGTAGTCCTTTTGCAGCTTCGATGTAATGCTAATATGATATTATAATATGTGCACCCAGCATGCTAATGAGCCCAAGCACACAGTGACTTAATGAGGAATCTTTTATTTACTGGGCCTTTAATGTCTTGCAGGAGATCGAACGTCTTAAAAATGAGAAGCCCACATGGGAGCGTCGCATGAGATGGGATGGAATGAGAGCTGTATTTGGGGGCTCGCCCTCCCTGCTTTGGTGCAATCCGTTCACAGGCCTCCGTCTGCGGCGCCTGCTGCTGTCGACCCATGGTCGCCGCAGCGGGTCGGAGTTCTCCATTTGAGGGGCGGGGCCACGCGGATCACCAACACTTGAGCACTTGTGAAGCCGGATTCCTTTTTGTATATCCTCCTTGAAAGGGGCGAGGATGGACCTCCGCTCCGAGAGGCGCTGCTCTCAGTGTGGGTGATGGAGGGGGACAGTTGGACCCCAGTTAACCATCACTGGGAGTTTGTATCCTCACATGCTGATGGAGACCCAAGACCTTTGGGCTGTACAAGTATTCTAACCAAGTGGAATTTTGTTTCTACCATGCGCAGATGTTTTGGTTTGTTCTGTTGTTTTTAGGCAAAGCAAGCAGGATGTATCTCAAGTGTGTCTTTTCTTCCTTGTGAGGCGTCCAAGGTGCTGATTGAACTCTACTCGGGCCCCCTAAATCACACAACACAACTGCTTGAATCAGTAACATATCTTCACTGGACCAGATGAGTGATTATAACCAGGGGGGGGGGGGGGGGGGTTGTGGGGGATGCTTAAAACTTGTTCTGTTTGGATCCGCACAAAGAAATCACAGTCAAGGACATTCACTACTTCCATGGCCTTGATTTGCATGTACAACGGCTCAATCAGCCAATCAAACGAGGCTTTCATCATCTCCAAATGAATGAGCAGGCCACTCTGAACACAGGCCCCCCCTTCTCATTCCAGAGGACTGAGTGGTGTTTCTCATCTGTTCAACCTCTTCGTCGTGATTTCCCCCATTTGGCTGGAATTGTTGATTCTTTTAGCTTACTCAGGCCAGTGGAAATGAATTGTCTTTTTTTTTTTTTTTTTTATAATAGCTGAAGCTTCATTACCGTTCGCCGTGGATACTCCTCAGTTGTTGACCATAATGCCTCACTTGAGATGACAACTGTTATACCGAATTTTCATTCCGATAAACAAAAAAAAGATCACAGTTTTGTATAAATTGCACGTATGTATCCATGAATTTACCCTTCCAACACTTCATGCTGCTCCTCTCGTCCTCAAGACACTGATGAACAGTGTGGCCAAGACCACTGATTAAACTCGCCGTGTTTTCAAGAAGTCATTCAGGTTCAACAACTTCGGCTGCTGAAAACACAGGAATGTTATTAAGGTTGAAAAGTTTGACTTCTGCGTGTGAAAGCAGTCCACACGCGAGAAATCTTGGAAAACCCTTCATAGCATTTAAACCAGACAGAGCCGAGTTTCAGACCTCGCTCGGCTGCTTTGGAGCTCACTGCGATCTTCAGAGCCAGCCTCCATTGTGCGGTGAGCCTCTTTGTGAAAGAGGCGGAGGTACCAGGCTCATTCTACAAGCTTTGATACAGAACAAAGACTCGGGCAGCCTTTCCTGCTTCACTACAGAAATGGCAAGACAGCAGCAGATACTTTCCCAGGGTTATTCAACATGCATCCATGCCTAAAAAAAACAACAACCCATTGAGTCAATTGAAATTGCCATACTTATGTTTTCATTCTGTCAGCACTTCTCTCCTATTTTTATCCACATAATCAATGGGCCTGTTCTCACTGGATGAATGCAACTTTAGGATTTCAAGCAAATTCTTGACTGGCTGGTATTTTAGTATTGTCAAATCTAAAGTAGTCTAATCTTTGTGGCGAGTTGGACGTATTCCTACTATTTGCTCTCATCTGTGGATGCCAGGAGAAGGAATTCCACTGTTTACACTAAATAATGATATCTGATGCTCTGTGGCTTTAATGTTTTAAGAAACATGCTGTCGGTAGAATGTAAAACGTATGTAATTTGGGACGAAGTGACGCACAGCACTAATATCACGGTATGTTATTCATGCTAGCCTCTCATTTCTATTTTCATTCTGCAGGGCTGCATTGTTGGCAGGATATCCCTTTTTTATTCATGTCATACTTTATCCATATTTAGCATGGTTCATTCATCAAGCATTGCATCCTAACATGCTCGATCCAATGTTTCAATTTAAGTCATATGTAGAAATAAGAGACCAACTTAATATGACTTTTTAATTAATAGTAAAAGTAATACTGCTTAGGCCTGCAGGTGTGTAACTGTTTTGCTAATCAAGCAACAGCTATTATTCAATATAGTTAAAGACAAAATTGGCAAAATTACATCCTGATGAATTGGAAAACTATTCTAATAAACACCGACAAAATGGCTTAAACTGTAATGTCAAAAGTGGGACCTGAAGTGAAGTGACAAGACTGAGACACTGTTACACTTTTAGTGTTATTCGTAGGACGTAGCAGAGCGCCAGCGCTATTCATGGATTGAGAAATATTTCTGTGATGACTGCATGTGAATATTGGGTGTTGATAGATTTTTACGTGGGTACGCTTGGTTGAAGTCTTTTACAAGATGGTCCCGTTTCATCACCTAAATCTGATGCTGTAATCATAATGTCTTAAATCGAGATTCTGTAACGCTGTAAGTAGTTTTACATTCATGGTCAGCGATAGTATCAACAATTTTTAAAGGATTGTACCAATAATTGTATTTTCTCCTCCTTTTGCTGTGTGACTTTTAAAATACAATCAACATGGGGAGAGTATTGATTGACAATGTGAAGAATTGTGCAAACGGATACATTATTCTGTCAAAAGTTTCTTTTCTCATACTAGTTTGCAGTTAAAGTGGATTTGCACAGAATATGTTAAACATTTTGTGTTAGCAATGATTCTTAACAGGATGGATATTTGATCAGAGGATTATTAATGTTGCTGTATAAGCTGAGAGAGATTTTGTTTTCTACTTTCTTGGGAGAAGTTTTCCTAAAGAACAAAAGTCTTTCAGCTTTATAAACAAAGTATAAAGGTTACCATTAACATCATATGAATGGAATGTTTTACTTAGGTTTTTTTTTAATTAATGTCATAATCGTATGTCTTATATCCTCGATGTTCTTTTGCATAATAAACTTGATTAAATTAAAGCTATGAACAATTATTGGTTTACCATCACACATTATTATTTGTCTAATTCCTGGTTTCTGTACAACAGACGTGCCAGGTTGGAAATTTGCCAGACGTCGAAATCAAGAAAATTATTTTAACCTAATCGCACGTGGAAAACACACACCCTAAATCATGGAGGCCGGTTCCTTCTGTCCAGTAGGTGGCAGTACTTTCAGAACAGAAATAGGTTCGTCATTGTATTTCTATTCCCTGAATATTGGACTGCGGGCACCACGCAGGATGGAGGCCTCAGCCTCCAACTGGCTTCCGGCTTTGTATTCTTAGACCCTGGGCGATAAGATAAAGGCTAGAGCCCACCCGGCTGTCTTGTGGCTTGTGTTTTCTTTTCTTTTTTTACTTTTCAAACACTTGGGAAACATAGATATTAGGCTGTAAGAGACATTTTATTACTGTTTAGTTTTTGTTCCAACTTTTAGACATAGAGCCACTGTCCAGATGGCTGCGCTTTGCAGGCCCCTAAAAATCGGGATTTTTGAATCGCTCTTAGTCTGGACTCCCCCCAGAAACCTGGTGTCCACGGGCCACCGTACAAGGGGCCACAGACAACACAGATCACAGGACCACTGAGCCACTCAAACACCTCCACCACGTTAAGGTGGCGATTCGCGGAGATTTTTTTTTATGTGGGAAACTCAAGAGTCATTCATTTTTTCACGTTGTTTCGCAGTGCGCACGTGTATTAGGCATTACGGTAAGAGCGTGGAGGAACTTACTTCAAAATAAGAGCCAAGTTCCGGTTGACAAAAGACACGTCACATTCATATAATAAATCAGTCAACGGTCTGCAGCATGATGATTTCAAAATGACATTACACTGAATCAAATGCAGAGACCTCAAGGTGACACAAAGGGACTAGTTGAGTTCGGGATTGATAGCATACATTTCTCCTGTTGGCTAAATTGATCTTATAAGGTAATTCATCTCTTCACGTTAGATTTTGCTATTGTTCTAAAAAGCAATTAGCTTGTTGCTATTGACCTTCTCCTATACAACCGAATCTGAATTTAGAAGGAAGTTGGCTCATGAGTTGACTGATACTCTGTGAGTGGGTCTGCCATCCATCCAAATTGTCACTTAGTGTAAACTTTCTGAAGTTTCTGAATTCAATCTAGTGTACGATCATTTCGAAATCATTCTAGTCTGTGTATTTTTTAGTAATATATTTGAGTAAGTAGTCACACAATTGGAATTACATTTCTTCTTGAAAAACAATTAGCTTGGGGTAATTATTCATTTTTCAAAATTATTTATTAAATGTATAATTTGACATTCATTCAATCAGTTACATGTATTGAAAATGTATACACGATTTACAGAATTATTGATTTATTTATTTTTAAACGCGACTTGTTTTTTCACATTCATCATGGCTCTTGTTTTGAAGTCAGTTCCTTAAACGCTATTACCGCAATGCCTGATACAAACACGCACTGCGGAATAACCTGCGGGCTGGCGTGTCTGTGTTGTGGAGGATGGCATGACATTAAGTTATCGTGGTCAGGTCTCGTATCATTCCGTTGGAGTGTAATAGTTTAGTTTATAATCCGCATCGCTGAGACGAAGTGCAACCTGTAAGAACAACTTCAGGACGCAAATCCCGCCTGTAGGTTCTCGCCTACGTCATTAGCCCCGCCTTCGCCGATAAATCGTAACGTTAACTCCCTCCAGCTTCCGTTGATGGGGAAAATATGGCGGCAAATGAAACTGAAGTCAACAACATAGCTGGAGTGGAAGCTACTGTTAACCGCTGGATAGTGGACTACTATTCACATCTAGCGTTAGATTTTTTTAAAAACAAGAAGTACGCAGAGTTCTGCGGTATTCGAGATGTACTTCAGAGTAAGTATCAAACTAACTCGTCGTGTGCGTTCTCCTTATTCGACACTGATGTCGTTGTTAACCTAACCTGGTCGCGAAAAGCTACCTTAATCCGGACACAATTTTACACTGTTTCCGGCCTTTTATTTTCGTCGATCGCCTTGAAAACGAATTTGGTTCCCGCACATGTTGACCGCATTGATGGTAATTATTGCGACTTAATCCCCGCGAAAAACGATGTTTACAATGACTATTGATGTATGCCCGGGTTAGGGCAATACCAGCCCAAATTTAACTGTCATAGTTAAAGTATTATTATAATTTTGCTCGAAATGTAGGAGGCTTACACAGTTTAATGACGTTAAGCCACCTGGCTACATTACCAATAGTTTTACTGGACAGTTAACGTTAGCTAAAAACTGCCCAAGTTAGCGCTCCTTTACTTAACATGTGTCCGAACACAGCATAGTCGTCCCTGGGACCCTTTTTTGTCATGTATTTGCTGTGGGTCGACCCGTCCTTATTAAAGGTCTTGCCACCAATATGTGAATACATAAGCCAATATGTTTTTTCTTCGGGTGAATGACGTGTTGATTCCCTGTCTTGCTGTAGGTGTCCTGGTCCGTCCCCTGGAATCCTCTGACGTCACTCAAACAAAAATTCGAGTATTGCAGTTTCTCTCCCGGATAAATGATGGCGAACATCTTGGTGAGATCAACCGTGGTGCTTTCATCATCTAACTTCACTTTGGCTCCTCTTGTGTATTGCTTGGTTTCTCCAGAAATACAGGCGTAAAATATTTGTTTTCCTGCCTACCAGTAAATAAGTTCTCTTTAAATCTAAATAATATTGATTAAATTGCCTCGTTAAAGGATGTCAAGTGATCAACTGTATCTGTTGAACATAACTCAATGCTTGTTCATTATGCATCTAACCCTACTAGTGAATTAAGATTTGTCTTTTCCTACAGACCTAACATTTGAGTCCGATGAGTCACTTACTCCTCTGGAATCCGCCTTAGTGGTCCTGGAAACTATAATCCAGGAATGCAAGACGGCAATGCCAGAGCTTTTTGAGGGAGTATGCACTTCTATAAAAGAGATGGTAAGGGGATTTCTGTTATGGTTTTTGCAGCTTAAATGTGTTCAACGTGCGTGCCGCTTCTTGACCGGCAGAAAGAAATACGCTTGGGTTATCTTAAAAATACCTGCCATCCCAAAGTTTCATGTTTGTTTGTTGGTTTCATTGTTTGTTTTCTTCTTGTAGATTGTGGGGCTGCTTATTAAGAACAAAGAGTTTGACCACGCAAACGAAGTTCTGAAAAAACACTTCCCCAAATCAATGGTTGGCAAGGTGAGTTGATCACCTCAAAGCGCATGTTTACTCAAAAAAAAAATTCTTGAGTCAAATCAGTATTTAGCTTCCTCTCTTTTGGGTACTGCATTCATTATTCCCTTTGAGTGCATTTTTATCAAAAAGCTGCATTGTCCATTATACACTTTGTGTATTGAATCATGCATATACATGTGATATTACAATGAAGTGAGCAGCCTCCTCTTCAAACCTCTTGAACCGCTTTTGCTCTCTGGCTCCATTCGAGGCCCCTTGAATCACCGGATTGCTGTCGATGGATCCCGACGCCTCTGCATTTTCCTTGTTTTTGAATCTCCCTTCTGTAATCACCTCTCCTTCAATTGTATCTTGCAAAGCAAATTGCCGATTCTCATAAATACAGATGCTCGGTCAGCCACACTCTCAAATGTTCAGGTTTAATGTCGTCCTCCGTGCTGTATGTGACACCCCTGTCTGTGTACTCCGTAGAAAGCGATATTCATGGGTCTCGTCAAAAAGAAGAGCAACGTGCACGCAGTCATCGAGCAAATCGACTTTCAGCGGTTCAAGGATGAAATGTTTGCCTTCTGCCAGAGGCTCTGCCCACTCAATCTTCCCTTTCTCTACAAGGTATGCTGCTATCGTTTAGGCACAAGAAAAGGGCTCATTGCTGTGAACAGTGATTCTTTCTCGCTTTCTCTGTGTTGATGATGCATTTGACGATTTATTTCAAAACATTTGGGTTTCAGAGCTGATCTGTTTACGGCACACATCAGGATAAAGCCTTATTTGTAATGACTTAAGTATTTGTTTAGCCAATCCAGGGATGCAACCCTGTTGATTTGCTGATGTCGGTAGATAAACACGTGTCACTTATTGTGTGTTTGGGGTTTTGTGTGTGTAACAGGCTGCAACACAGCTTCTGGATAAAAGGCACACGGAGAAAAGCCTCGAAGCTGCTGGGTCCGATGAGCGAGACAAGGCGCTGCCTTCCTGCAGTCAACAAACCAACCCCGCCCAGTTTGTGTCACGGTAGGCTCAAGCTCTCGATTACTTTTATCATGCATCTTATTTGGTTCACGCCTCTTATCATTGGTCTGCATAATAACAGTAGCAAAACGGGCAGGTTCCAGTTTGTAAACGTGCCACAGAGACATCCGTTAGTTTCCCCGTAGATCTCATCCCCACCACCTCTCTCTCCCCAGATGATGAACAACCCAATTACATCTGACAGACAGCAAATCTTTACTTATTTCTTCTAGGGCTCCAGGCTAGACTGCTTCAAGCACAATTATTATAGGGACCCTTCTTGTACTCCATTCAACCTCCTTCTCCTGTCTCTGTCTTATCTACCAGTAAACCTGCAATAATCCAGAGGACCAGGCTGGAGATGGCCTACACGGCTTTGGCTGCAGGTTCCGTTGAGAGGACATTTGCTCAGCTGGAGGAAGAAGTGGCGGAGAAAGAGCAGTCGAGAATAAACGATCTTTCGCTGCCCCTCTCGCCTGCCCCCAAGAAGGCCGCTGTTTTGGACTCTGAGCCGGACGGGCCGTTTCAGAGAGACTCTGGAAGCCCCATGGAGGCTTCCCCAGCCGACCAACCCCCACAAACAGATGCCGCCCCTCAAACCGAGTCGGGCTGCCTCTCAAAGAGCCCATTGGCGCTGAGAAAGCACCCCGTCCACAGCGTGGCGCGCCTGGTGGTCGAGCCGGACAGCCAGGCCAGCTCGCAGTGCACGGCGGCCTCACCGCGACTAGAGCCGGACGTCCGACGAGAAGGGCCGCCGCAGTCCCCAGCCACAGAAACCGAAAATGACTCGCTGGGCCAGGGAGCGGAAAACGATGTTTCCATCCCCGTGCGGAAAATCCGCCGATCAAACAGACTTTACAACAGGTAAATATTTTTTAAGAAAGCCCGGCTTTGTAGCTTCCCGTCAAGTATTCTTCAGTGAGTGCACGGCACAAAAACTCTTTGTTTTGTCACGCAGGTCCTCGATTATTTTGTCCCAGTCATCTGAAGACGACGACGACGATGAGGAGGACCGAGCTGGCTCTGTGGCTCAGCGGGACATTCCTGTGGAGAAACCCCACAACCAGTCCAACAGTTTACTCGGCCAGTAAGTCCAAATGTTCAATACCGTCTCACACGGGTCTTCTGTTGGGTTCTTACCAACAACCACTTGTTTTGCTCCATAACGTAATAATCTATATATTTCTGTTCACCTTTTAAAAATATATTCAATATAATTCTTTTTGGCATTAAAAGTAAATATTGTGCAATCATCAATCCAGTTGTAAACATTGTTATTGGATTTAACGAAGACAAAAGCATTACTTTGAAATAATTTCCATAAAAACGCTTAACCGAATCCACTCATCGTGCAGAAATTCCACCGAGTCAGAGCAGCCGGCGTCAGACAGTGGGGACGACCCGCAGCAGGCCCCGGCTCCCAAGAACCCCCCGGTGCAGAAATGTCGCAGGCAACTTCTCAGCAAGCAAGTCCAAATGCAACGTTGAGGTGTCGTGACTATGCTGGCTCATGATTCCTTGCCATTTGACACGCGTTACGTATTCCCGCAGGGTTCCTCAAGCCGTCTGTATCATAGACTCGATGGACAGCTCACCCGAACCGATGGGTGTTCAGGCCGTGCCTCAAAGGAGCTCTACTCCTACCAAGGACTTTGCTCCAGACAAACCCCTGTGCCAATCAAAATGGTTAGTGAACATTGCACCAGCGGCTCGAGTATGTAACTAAGTATTTTAAACTTTGACTCAAAGAGAACTATGGTCCCTTAAAGCTTCTGACTGCCACCAATGACTATTCATTTTCTATTTATTAAGTCATTGGTTTTACAGATCAATCAATTCATCTAAATTATCAACTTTTCTTATTTGGTTCAACATTTAAGTTTTCAATTTTTACAACTAGTCACTGGCATTGTTTCAGTTCTTCGTCACATCAATTAGCATCATAACTCACGGTGCCTGAAACAAAATGTTTGCTCGTTCACAGGAAAGTGCTGTACAACAACGCGAAGGAGAGCAAGGAAACATGGAGTGACGAAGAATCCTGTTCCAGCTCTAAAAAGAATACCAGTAATATTTACGTTATCTGCTTCTACTTGTTCACAAGATTTTTCAGAATTAAGTATCTTGTTCATATAGTAATGTTTTTTTTCCCCACAGCCAAAAGAGCGCACAATGAGAGCACCATTTCAAACTCAGGCCACAAAAAGAGGGTAAGCGAGACGCTGATTGTTTGTAAACCTCCTGTCAAATTTGAAACAAAATCTGTTGTGGTGCATGTAATGCTCTGGTGGAAACACTTGTTAATTTGCACAATAAGTCAATCATTCAGCAAGCATATATTTGTAGAAAGGTCTGAATTTGGTTGACTTTTGCATTCATAAGTTGAAGTTTGCGATTTGACTATTCAAGCAGTTGATCAAAGCACCAGAAACGGAAAATAACTAAACAAGAATTTGGTATTTTGCATTATTCAAAAGGTTGAGAACTCATGTTCCTGTTGTGTTGCAGAAGTGGAGTGAGGATGAGACAAACAATTTGAAGGCGGGGGTCAAACGGTTTGGTGAGGGCAGCTGGAGTCAGATCAAGGCTTATTACTCCTTCGAAGACCGAACAAACGTCAACCTGAAGGACCGCTGGAGAACGCTGAAGAAATCCAACGTGGTTTAAGTAGTTCAGGAGAAGTTGCCTGATGAACAATATATCTTAACAGGAAAGTTAATTTCACAGGTATCTGTTCTCGTTTCCATACCTCTCGAATTTCCATCATGTGTCACAATAGTGGACAACTTAAGTTTGTGTTGACTTTTAATTCAATAAATTTTTAGTTTTTTTTTTTGTATAACTTTAGCTGCTTGTTTGTGTCTTTGTATGCATTTCCCCATCAGATTCTCATCAGTAGCAATGTTTAAGACAAATACAAAGATGGATTTATTGACATTTACAAAATAATCACAAAACCCCCCCCCCGTAATTTGGATTGGGACAATCTGAATAGACATCTTATAGATGGTTAGTTTAGTGATATCCCAAGTCAAGTTTTGTGCATTGGATTTATGGGAAAGTTGTAACATCTGGTATCAAGACACTTGTATAAAATCAACCCCTTCCAATAAAACAAACAGCTGCTCTGGGTGTGCGTCCGAAGTTGATGGTGAAATGTGTTAAGAAGAGGAACATTTGAAAGTCCAGCTATCAATGCATCTTTATGTTAACGTGTCTTCATTCCTAATGAACTCTCCGACGTCGGCCTGGTGGAACACTACAATGGACATGGGGTCCACTTGCCGACACTCCGCGGTACACTTGGCTGCAACTCCGAAACCCTGCAAAATGGAACACACGAATGGTTTAGAGACCCCCTCTGAGCAGAGATGTTACGCAAACAATGGTCTCATGTGCATTTTCAGCATGATTGGCCTTTTAAATTTAACCCTATTTGACATTGCCCCCTGAGACATATCTTCCAAAAATAACTGTTTAGTTCCAGAACTTACCAAAGGCACATCCGTCATGGAGTAGACCACAACTCCCTGGTACTGCATCGTGTTCTCAGTGATTCTCCCGAGGCCAGATTTCATCACGTGGTTCCCATAGAGGAAGGACTGCTCTGCTCCGGGTTTCACCCACACCTTGAACTACAGGACCAGACGCTTCACATTACCCATATGGACGATATGACACTTGTGTATTCCATTTTTTAAAAACAGGACACCTACACACAAATACGTCTTTATTTCAGCCAGACAATGCACATGTATACAAAACCTCTTCTCCGGATTGCAGCAACAGTCGGTCTGTAGATGGCTAATTATTTGATTGCATCACATGGTTAAATACCCTAGAAGCCTGCGTCCTATTTTAACATGCTGCTAGTCTTCATTATAACATTGTCATGGACTTCAATGCAAAATAAGGCTCTCCAGAGGAGCGCTTGTGTTGCCTCACGGGACCCCGGGGGGGTGCAGAATAATGATGAACACTGGTAACCAGACTCACCTTGGCATAAGGCGCCAGGAAATCCAGAGCTGTGATGTGCAGGCGGAATTTCATGGTCTTCGTGAACTTCCCAAAACACGTCCCCACCGACACGAGCTTCTCCCTTGAAACGTGTGCGGCCAACTTCAGAATCTTCTCACTGTGAACAGACGACAAAGCGCGTAAATGGATCTGCGTCACGCGTCATTCTTGTGAACCATTGAACGCATCGTTCCGCGTGTTACCTCATGTAGTACACGCGGTCGTTGTGCAGTCTGAAACAGTAGGAGCCATCAGGTCGGTCCACAAGTATTTTGATGTTTTCTCCGATGCTGTTGGCGTAGAAAGGACGTGCATCACACACGCGCGCGCAGGCTAACAAGGATGCTACCTAATTGTTAATACGTTTCAGTCATAGTGGGCACGCGGAAATGCCCGATAAGCCAACTTACTATTTCGAAAGCTTCTCGAACATCGTCTTCGTCTCTTCGTCGGTTAATGGCCTCATTTTCAAAAATGTAAAAGCAGCTGTTACCAGCGAATAGTTGGATCCCTTGTGAGAAACGTGCAAAACGTGGGTAAGAACGGAAGCCGTCAACCGTCAAACAGGAAGTTGTATGACGTAATTAGTAAGCGTAGTTCCTGGTTAATTTTTTTTTGCATTCTTTAGCTTTCGATCGATCGCTCGTTTTCTACTCCGACGAACCGCCAGTCGTCTGGTAAGTTCATTCACTAAAACATACTCAAAACTCTTGGTGATGTGTTTATTATGAAGCTCGTAAACAATAATTCGAGCATTCGTTGTTTTTTTTACGTTTGGCTTTTGTAGAACATTGAAGACACGCCTTCAAAATTGGGCTCGGTTAGCCGGGTTGGCTAGCTGTCAGTGGAAAAAAACACGAACCTGTTAGCTCGTGAGCTAACGGGTGTTAGCCGCTGGTAATGCTAACACTGGCTCGCTGCAGGCAACGACCGCGCTCCACCTAATCAACACGTCGATGTTATTATCGGTGAATATATCGAGTCTCACCCGGTTGTGGGTTTAGCTCAGACCCGCCGTTTGATGAGGGGACTTTTCGACGCCGCGGTGTCATATTACGTAATCATTTGAACGTAAATACCAACAACTTGCGTGCGATCGGTAACTCATCATTTTTTTTAGGGTTTCTACGTTAATTAAAATCTACATGTGTGACCTTTACTCTGCCCTTAAACTGAAAGGATTCACCTGCACTGGATTGTGATGTGTAATGTCAGACGCAATGATAATGACTAATGTGGGAATCTACATCGTCATCGACTTCTAAGCGTTCGGCAGATCATTTGATCCTTCCGTCTGAAAGCCACGGTGGCTGAATTAAATGTTCCTGTTTTTTCACATGACGTATGAAGTAAAGTTACACACCGCAAAATCACAATATCTTCCGAACACGTGCTGAAACATCTGATCCTGCGGCTGTCCAGTGATACCTAGAATGTTGAACTGGTTCCAGATGAACTAACGTTACTTTTCAACTACTTGCGTTGACCTGGATCTTGCCTTTTTTTTAAGTAGCATTCTGACTGTGACACACATAGAGATGTGACACATGTGACACTAGTGTCATCCTGTGTCACCATTTGTAGATCCCTTATTTATTAAGCATTTCTTCACTCGTGAAATGGCGTATGTGGAAGCTATGTTTTTTTTCTTTTTGTGAATAAGCCTCTTGATTATTAAAGGTCTGGGGAGGTATTCATTTTGGATATCTTACGGTAGCAACAGGAATGATTGCAGCATAAGCTGATGGCCGTGGCCATATTAACAATCACATACTTTGTTGCTTACACAAGAGATGAGTTTTGGAAAGGAAGGTACAATTAGAAAAAATCCCTCGTACAACCTGTTTGTTAGTCGGTGACTGGTCAGGATCCCGGGTTTAAAACATACACGGTGCTTTGAGCCAATTTCTTCCATTTTTAGGGGTAAACATTGAGAATTGAACAACAGTTATTAATTATATCTGTATTCTACTACTTGCAATTGTTGTTGATAACAATGAAACGTTTTAGTGCTTACTAAACTTTTTTTTTCCCCACGCCTTTAATCGGTTGGCAGGAGCGTGTTGACCGGTTCTTGTGCCAGCGCTTCACCTCAGAGACATCAGGGGTCTGTCTCAGTCGTCAGTTTCCGGCACGTTTGTGGCTCTGGCAGCACTGAACAGGAAGACCGACGCTGAGAGACGTCTGAACTGAGAGCGGAAACTGCTGCGGCTTCTTCCTCCGCTTCAGAATGACTGAATTCTGGGTTTGTTTCAGCTGCTGCATTGCAGAGCAGCCACAGCCTGTGAGTACAAAATCTACATGTGGGATAATTTGATTTACTTAATTTCAATTCAGGGGTACAACATATGCTTTTTTTATATCTAGGTAAATAAACAGGCCAGTATCTCATTGGAGTACTTTGAGGCATTGCAAGTGGAATAGGGACTCCAGCAAGCCACATCCTGCCATCTGACACAACACTTAATTCGATTGAACAAAGTTGTCCTTTGTGGCGAGTCATTGTGTGTCGCCGTAGTCTGCCAGTCCTTCAGCCTACAGATCCATGAAGGAACCATGAATTCTGACCTCAATCTGTTCCACAAGCTCTACAACACAGGTTCACTACTAATGAATGAATGAATGAATGAAGGTTTAGGATGTAAAAAAAGTAGTCTGAAGAAAGTGTATGTTTACGGTACTTGTTGTTTTTTTCAGAAACGGCGGCGACGAATCGACCGCTCCATGATCGGGGAGCCAACAAACTTTGTTCACACCACACACGTAGGCTCGGGGGACATGGGCCTGGGATTGCCTTCAGTACGTTTCACGTCGTCATTCCAGAATAGTCAACAAACAGGATGAGGCAAAACCACACTTTCAGTCACTTAACATTTATACTTTGATGTCTGTAGGTGGACCTTGTTCAAGCCCAAATGAAATCTAAAGGGGGCTACGTGCATGGAGGATCCGAAGGTTCTCAGTTGTAACAAGGTGAGACGTCTTTGACTTTTTAAGTGCAAATAGTATTGAGAAGGCTCATTTTCAACTTCCATGCTTTTATCCAGTTTTTAAATACTATACACTGTCCAAAACTCTGCCGTGTTATCACCAGCTTGAGGAATCAGCGGGCCGTCAGTGTCACAACAAAAACAGGCATTAAAAGCTTTTTTTGAGAACATGGGATTCACCCCGACCACGGGAGGTTCTTCTTAGAAAATACAAATCGTACTTGACATTGTTGTAAAATCATTCAACAGGACATTCGGGGCAATAGCTGCACGTAGGAGACAGAGTTGACAACATACTCAGGTTGTGCATCAAGGCTTCTCAGAGGTCTTTTTTTGAGTTCCCACGAGGGTCTTTGCTATCAGCTGACATGACGCACACTACAGTACAGACTGTTGTCTGCAGCCTGACTGGCTTTAGTTTGATGCAACAGAACGCATTTGTAAGCCGGAAAGACGTAGAGGTTCACACTCGATCGCATGATCGTCCCGAGGGGGGAGGGGGGGGGGGGGGGGGGGTTGATGATAATTGCAAAGCATGTTGGCACATGACGGCAAGTTTGTCTTAAGGAGCCTTGGAAGGAAACTGCTGAACAGCCGTAGCAAATATTTGCGCTCCACTTTATATGGTCATGTTTGATTCGGGGACTTCGGCATGCTCCCTTTTAAGGAATGCATGAATGTCGCTCCTCTTGATCAGCTCCGCAGTGCCCATAACCACTTGCATTTCCCCTGTGACATTGACTCGGCTGTCGGTAGGACTAATTTTATTAAGTTTGGCTCCGGCCTGATCTGTGCAGTGGCATTCCTTCCTACAGGCCTCGGGCAACTGGTTAACAGTTAACGTTGCACACTGCCTCGTTTGTTAACGCGCACTTTCAGTATTCACTTATCGGCCGTGTCTCTCTTTGGGCTCCGAAACCGATTGAGCCAATTAGTATCGAACATGTTTGTAAAAACAGGACGGGTGAAGGAGCCCGAGTAAGCACGCTGCTGGACGCACTCAAAAAGGGACGTCTTCTCACTAAAGTGGAGTCGACCGGCTCAGATCGGACGGCGGACTATTTTGTTTTAACACACGCGCCCGATCATTAGCACTTGAGACCCTAACGTTTGTTTCCGCTCTTTTCCCCCTTGCAGCCCTTCACAGTCTTGTGGAAACTACTGTTGTTGATAAGAGGAAACGTTTTCAAAAAGCAGTTCTGTCTTTAATGGACGCAGGACCAAAAGATGAAGCTACTGCTTTTCCATAATGTTGTATATATTTTTATTTTCCATTCCTTTTTTTTTTTTATGAAAGCACTGCTATCCATTTGCTGCCATACTGTTGCACTGTAAAGAGTAACTTTTAAGAATAGATAAGAGGGTTTAGAAAGCTCATAATCTCAGTCAGTATGCTTGTTTGTATGCATGAGGAAAATATTTTCAAAGATATTTGCTGTTGTAGCCCATTTGGATGCCTGTATTTATTATCTGATTTGTAAACGGACCTCATGGTGGCTGGGCCACGCTGGAGATTTGGAACATTCAGTTTCTTTCTTTAATTTTCAGAGGGTTATCAACGGGCAGGTAGAGCTGTCATGGCAAAAAAGCGCTATGTTCGTTGTTTTATTCTGAGGAGTACTCATTCTCTGAGTTGCTTTCAGGGTTAAAGATTGCTGTCTTGTAATAAACTTGAAATGAGTAGAGTACACTGGATCATACATTGTACACTCACACTTGCTTAGGAATTTTGCATTGATTTCAACTGATTTTTTTTTTTATACTCATTTAGATTTGAACCATATAGAATTTTAATAAACAATGAACTTCCTTATCTGCCTTCTGAAGTCATGTTCATTATTTGTTTTACTTGTGTGTCGTTTGGCAGCTTGATGCCGCAAATACTGAGCTCAGTGGTTTCAACAGGATTCATATTTTTCTATTTTCTTCTCGTGCTGTAGACCGAGAATTATACTTGGATGTAACCAAATTTACAATGCAAGCGCAGCCACAGGTTTTATACTGTTTGTGGTATTTTCAGATCTGCAACCAACCTTCTGTATGTCCACCAATCTTTCTCTTGGTTCCTTGTACTGCTGTTCCTTTTTCCCCGCGCACAGTTGGTATTTCACAGTAAACGTCGTGGTATCTTATAATTCTATTCACATATTGTCACATGTCTATTGTCACGTGACAATTGCTTGTCACTTTTTGAGATCTCAAGTTTCTTTTTCTTTTTTTACATTTTTTTTTTAATGGAATATTGACCAGCCGACACATGTAACTAAATGGCATTTTACCTGATGGGACCTGCCTTTTGGTAGCAGTGTGTGTGATTAACTTGCTTCAGTGTTAAAGTTCTCTTTCCTTAATCAAGTAGAGATCATCTTTTATAAAGCGTTCCTCTCGTAGGGGAATGTGAATGATCGTCCGTTGACCTAATGATTGGAGTGGAGCCATCATTCTCCCTTTTATTCGCCCGCTTTTCCATCCCTCGCTATTGTCATGTGTATTCCAAATTTTGGATTCGGGTGCTATTGGGGGGGGAAAACCTAGTTGGAAATAGTGAGAGAGCCGCTGCAGTATAAATATCAAACGCACCTGCCACTCGGGGTGATCATCATGTACACAGCGCGCACCACTGCTTACTGTTATCTTCAATTACAAAAGTCAAATGTGTCGAGCAAACCAGCAGGCCTGGATTTATCAGTACATGTCATTTGTCCTCGACGTTCATCTCATGATTCTTTAACAACAGAATGTGGTGGTACTAAGTCAAGCAAAAGTCTGTGTAAGTTGATGTTTAAATGCATGCTATTGTCATACTATTCATGATTAAAAAAGGAAATCCTCTGTGTTGGTACCAGGCAGCGCCAATCACCTGATGGATACAGCCACATTTGTAATATCTTATTATTTTCGGCATTAAAACGGCTGCCAACCATTTTCCCAACCCAGGTTTAATTATGCCATTTGTCACGATAAAATATTGTCACAGTGCTCATCTCTTCCTCTTTAAATGTTTCTGTAGTAATTCCTGTGTGAAAAAAGATCCACAAATGTGTAGACTTGCTTGTGTTTTTTTTTTGTTTTTGTTTTTCTTCCCAGCTCTGTGCACAATTCTGTAGTATGTAAGACATACTGGGATTGCAGTATATTATGTGACCAGCAGGCTGTGCTTGTGGACTGGTTGAATGTGACTTTAAAATATGTTTCCTTTAAGGATTCTTGTAATTGGACTTCTTCTATGATGATACTGTAAATATGTAACATGAAAGTAATGGATCCATTGTTTCTATGTATTCAGGGTCGCACATATTTTAGGCTACTTTTCTGTATAACATCACTGGGAAAGCAGTGTTCTTGTTTTGTTTTCATCAGGAAATGCCTGATGTGTCATTCCTGCTTTAAGGGAAGTGCATCTCGTCTTTTTTTCTGCATTTTTCAGAATAAACAATGAGAAATAAATATTGATGTTTGACCAACTGTGCGTTCCATGTTTTCACTTCGATCCAAAACTGCCACGTCTACTGGGAAAGAGAGGAGATGCTGTATCTCATTCTGGAGAAAAGCACAAATAATTCATTGCAGAAATACACAATGATTTATGTCAATAAGTGGTAGGCGATGTGCACGGATCATTTCCATAAGTCGAGTTACCGATACAAACATGGAGAACCACTCCACCACAAGTGAAAGTGTTGCATACAAAACCTACCTATATGAAGTATCAAAAATAAAATCTTCTCATGTTAAAAGTGTCCCTTGTTATAGCTTCATCTTTTCCAATGACATAAGTAGCTTTTTACTGTGGCTGGTTGAGGTGAATCTAGTTTTAACTGCTGCAGTCTCGTCAAAAGGCATTTTACCTAATGGGCACTGAAATGTCCCCAACCAGAAGGTTTCTGGTTATTTTATTCAGGTGGGCCACTTCGTTGTGCTTCTCCTGCTATGGAAAGCCAACGTGTTGCCAAACAAAAAGGCTTGTAAAAGTACTACGGCACTAAAAGCACTAATATCTGGTGTGAAAGAAAACGTTTTGACGTTTTGGATGGTTATTACTGTTACGTACTGTTTATTGAGCTCACATTCCGTGCAGACTATGGTTTGGTTTCTTTAAATTGATCATGCCGCTTGACAGACAGCAGTGTAGTAATGAGGTGTGAGTGACTTGACAGATATCATTCATTTCACTGCTGGTTATACAAATTTATTGAAGACACACAGCCGGCTTCTGAACCACTCGGGTCACCTATGGCACACACTTTAGAATCACAACAAGCTTTTGTGTTTTAGTTGCTTTGACACTTTATAAATGCACAAATATTTAGGGAAACAGGTTGTACAAAACCCCACAAAACAAACATGCAGGTGCTGCGTGAAAATCAAGTACATATATTTTGCTGCTCCGCCCTTCTCGAACTGTACGTCTGGCGAACAAAAGAGCGTAGCGATGACTGATCCTGCACTAAAGCGAAATGCGATCTGTTGACTCTGCGGGCCGTTGTGTGAGCTTGGTGTCGGAGGCACTGGACCACAGTGAACCCCAGTGATGATGACAGAGAAGAAGCTTGGCTTGGAACAGGATCTCAATCACAGCGTGCTCAGCAGAGAGGACGGCCGCCGACTGACTGGCACAGCAATATTCTCTCGTTTCCCTCTTACAGCAGTCAGCTAAGCAGACGAGGACGCAGGAAGAGGACACAAACAGCAGGCTGGCGCGTTCAGCTAATGCATCTGTGGTTTCTAGTGAATGGACCAATCGGGGAGCTCCTTGATGTAGCTGGAACCCGACAGATCGCTGTAGTTCTCTGTTTGCATGGAGTACAGGTTATCTTCGCCAGCACCTGAGGAACCCACACACACACAAAGACACAAATACACAGGAGTTCATTCATTATTATCACACAAACATAAAGCCGTGGCTAAATGTTTTGAGAATGGCACAAATATTCATTTTCACAAAGTCTGCTGCCTTTGAAACGTGCAGTCATCATTGCTTTGCACAAAAAGGGCTTCACAGCCAAGGATATTGCTGATAGTAAGATTGCACCTAAATCTACTATTTATCGGATCATCAAGAACTTCAAGGAATGCGGTTCAATTGTTGTGAAGAAGGATTCAGGTCGCCCAAGAAAGTCCAGCAAGCGCCAGGATCGTTTGTAGCGAGTCACAAAGCTATACGAATATTTCAGGAATGACATGGTATCGTACAGTGCCAGTGGTCCCACAGCGGGTGTGTTCTCCATCCTCTCTGCTCCCCGGCCTGGTTCCAGACGTCACTGTTGCTTAAGTGTTCCATCAACTACGGGAGACAAAGCGCCGACGTTCAGTCAGACAGCAGAAACACAAACTGGAATGTGCAAACTGATCACCGAGCAGTGAAAATCCCCCAAAAAGGATGCAGTTTGTTCTGAGAACAAGTGTGAATAGTGTCAACCAGTCTGCTGCATGAAAGGTCCGATACCTTGAACACGGCCTCGTTCTGCTCCTGGTCCTCTGGTTTGGCCTCCCACGTCCCTGAACAATGACCATCGTCGTTATCAGGCAACAAAGGCAACCTCTTTTACGACCAGTCAGAATCACAGCAACGCTCACTGACAGTCCGACAGGCGTCTCACCGAAGGCCTGCGCGCTGCCAAACGTCTCCTGCGCAGCGCTCTCCAGCTTCTGTGTCGTGACCGCAACGGGTCTCGCCGCGGGGGGACAAGAGTGCGTTGCGTTTGCGTCGTCGCCTAAACTCGCCTGTCTCTCTCGAGGCCGGCCGAGCAACCGCAACCCTGAGAAAAGGGGGAGGACGGGACGGCGCGTTGAGAGTACGGGCCCGAATGTTGTTCACCTTTTGGGGTTGGCGCATACATTGTGAAAATGTTTTCACCTCTCGTGCGTCTGTGCGTCTTGGTGCTGGGCAGCATCCTGTAGACTCTGTAGGCGTTGCTGCCCCTCTTCTTGCTGTGCTTCCGCAGCTCACAAATGTCAGGGAGCGAATTGACGGCGCAGCGGAAATTGGCCTTCCACGTCTTGGGATCTGGCTGGTCCTTGCCTGGACGGTATCGTCCTGAAGTGAACAGGCACAATCATTGCTCGAGCAGAAAGGAGTACGACATTTGTGAACACACCAACAACTAAAATGAGTGCACTTTAGGTCGAGGCCTTCAAGATTTGAGGGACCCAGACATCTAACCGGAGGTAAATTCATCTGCAGGAAAGGTTTCGTCCAGCATGGCAAGTTGAGTTAAGTGAAGAGTAACTTATTGTAGCACTGGGCTGAACAACACGCAGCATCCCTGGTGGCTTTGCTTTGATGTACTTTGAGGAGAAGTTCAACCACCGGATGTCAGCAGAAACAACATTTTTTAAGAGATCCTGTGTATTTAAAAGTAGTTTATTACGTATAATAGCAGACATTCTGACCCTTTGGTATGAGTTTGCACCCGCCGCCTCCATTGCAGGGAAAAAAACGCCATGGCATCTATCATGTAGTGTGTGACTTCATCCAGTGAGATGAGTTCTCATATTTAGCACCGCGGTGGGATTTGGATCCTTGCCAGTCCTCTGAATATAATTACCAGCTTAAGTATTAAAATCACTGGAGCTTCAACACATCGGATCATTTACAGTAGTCAAGGGCCAACAAGAAGAGAAGAGGTTGCAGCGGCTATATTACGCACAAGTTGTAACCTCCCATTACTTCAAGTGCCATTGGTGGTGCAGTTATATAATCTGTATACTTTTTATTTTTACATTTTAATGAAACATTTTAATTAAATATCTCTCCAATATTCTTTTTTTCCCTAGTGGATGTATTTTGTACTTTGCCAGTAACACAATCATCCTTCACATTCACACCATCTGAACTTACAGAAATTGATGACCGAGCAGAAACATGTGGTTATGAGAATATGGACGCAGCAATGGGAACACTGGGTTGGAACGGTTTTACGTTTTTTTTTATGTGTGCTGTTTGCAACCCATCAATCATCTTTACACATCTTTGCTCCTTTGTGGTTTCAATATTTATTTTGGGATATACTGTTTTGATTATCATGCAATTGTTATCACTTAACTGGAAACTTTGACGATGATATGAATCTAATCTAATGTACTAAGAAATGGACTGAACAAAGCAACCGCAGCTGTTCTGCTCGGAGCAAGCAGGTCAGCTGGCAAATTTCTTCAGGATTAGTTGAAATATATTTTTCTTTTTAGATAACGTTTGGAGACTGTATATATATATATATTTGTCTCTGAAAATAAATAATCTCAAGATTATTATTTGTTAGGAAATCGAGTAAAAGCAATCTTTCTGGGGCATATTATTTGTCATTGACCGATCCCTGACTGAAGGCTGATTGAGGGCTATGAATACCAAGACACCCTTTAAAAACTAATACTAAATACTGAGTTAAACAAGTGCGTTTACTGTTCATTACATTTAGCATTGATTATTGATTTGACACACGTGATCTATTTTGACATTATTGAGATATTATCATCAACGTAAATAACATTCATTTCTAGTGTCTAAATCATAAATATAAACTTGGTGATATAAGCTTTATTGCGGCAGCATGCCATTGTAACCGTAAGAACATATCTAAAGGTATAAAGCAAAGTTGGTTTGAAGTTGATTTGATAGAATATGAGCAGGACAAAGATAATAAACACTATTCTGCATGGACATGGGGGGGGGGGCATCCAGCTGGAACAAGTGCATGAATGTGGGTCTCCTACCGGTATGCACGGCCCAGCTCCTGAACAGCGTAGCATCTCTGTCAATGCTCCATCCGTGACGAGCGGCGTGAATCCACGGGATTTGGAAGATTTGTGCTGACTGTGGAATAGAAAAAGGTGCCAATAACACAAATTGCCAAGTGATTTGATCAACGGCAAACCTTTGTGGGGCACAGGCATGCATGTGTTTAGGAGCGATGAGGGTGAGAGTGAGCGGGTCTACCTGGTCCAGCCAGCTGACTCCCGGATACCTCCCAGACTGAATCTGCTCTTCCAGCCACGGCCTCAGCCTCAGCCGGCCCGGTTGTTGCATGCTGCTGTCAGAGCTTCAGGTGTGCAGAAAAGTGGAGATGAGCGCCCGGCTATACAGGAGTTTCAAGAAAAACAGAAGAATCCTCAGGAACTCAAATTTAAACTGAGGTGGCTCTTCCTCCCCTTTTACCTTTTGCCCTCCTCTGCATTCCTCCAACCACAAAGCTCACTGTTACTCCAATCCCTGCAGGCCTCCAATAACGTTCCTCTGAGCCTAAGTGGCTCCTCCAATTACAAGAAGAACGCCGCTGCATGTTGTTCTCTTCAAGGAGGATGATGGATTGTTTTTTAATGATCGTCCTGCTTTCCTGCATGCTGAGTAATGGGAGGAATTGTGGAATTTGCCACTTTGGAACCTAGTGGGTGCTAAAAGTTGACTGGTCATATGTTTCTTGTATGTGCTTTCACACAAAGCTACTGTAGGAGCAGTGAGACGTTTTCGTGCAAACCTACTAAGTGAAATAAGAATTCATGGAGTGACATTAGGCCTAATGTCCCCCCTGAAGCCTAAGCCCCGAACCCTCAGGGACATAACTGGCGTCCCCTGTAAGTGGTTGAGTGTGAGAGTCTGTGAAGGCTTGACATAATGTAAATATGAATGGGGCAGCACTTTGCTGCCACAAGTCACATATCAATGATAGAGTCCCAGGAGATAACGGAGGGTAATCATTTCATCCTGTTCACTCTCTGATTTAATGGACTTCATGAGATGACAGGCCCTTTCAAATACTGTTTTTTGTCAAAATTGGTTCGAAGACAAAATGTAATATTTCATGAATGAAATAAGTAAACATTGTCTGATTTCATGTGGATTTATTTGTAATTTCTAAATGTACACATTTTAGTATGAGTCTTAACACAAATGTGCCGTCCACTTTGTCCACTTGTGTCACCTTTCTTTACGCCTCCAAACGCAATAATTGATATGATGTCATATACAGGGCGCATTATCAAATGAGCATTAAATAATGCTATATAATGAACAAAACTCATGTAAAATGTTATTTCAAATCAAGCAACAACACTGTCCAACATCACACACGAAAACAATCACTCAATCCAGTTGTTGCTCTTCAGAGTTGAACTGTATTCAATGCAGTTTTCCGCATTAAAGTGGCTAAAGACGACATCACAATTAGATAAATAACACCAGACGTGCCTTTTTTAAGTTAAGTTAAAAGTAAGTGTAAGTTTTATAATGTGACATAACAAAGTGTAACAACAAGAGAGGATGTCTTTGTTGAGACAAATACAGCCTGAAGTCACGTGTGTTTCTTTGGAAGTCTCACTGGAGTTCCAGAGAAAAGCAATGAGGAAGTCATTTCACAATCCTGAATTGCACCAACTGACTGTGACATTCACTTTGAATTTCCTCTTCTTTAAAAGTTTTACCATAACATTTTTACCGTAACATTTTTATGTACTTTTACAAACTTTTTTTTCACATCAAAGGCAGTCATACAAAGTTTAAAAGCATTCACAAAATGAAGCAAATGTTTAGGCTCATGAGGTGAAAAGTCGAGACACCAACGTCAAGTCCCTTTGTTTAGTGTTCTTACTATTGCGATTTCTTCACCTGCAGACATCCATGACAGAAGTATCGCATAACAAAGGTATGATTGAAACATCAACATCACAATTCACTTTCTGTTACATCCAACTCCACCTCAATCTCACTTTATACATTTCACAGCAACCGTTTCAGTAATTAAAAAGCGCACAAAACACAAAAAAATGAATGCATTCAAATTCATTACATTACATTACATCACAGGTCATTTAGCAGACGCTTTAATCGAAAGCGACTTACATTACACTTTAAACCCATGGCTTTTTCACATTTATTCCCGGGGAGCAATTAGGGGTTAGGTGTCTTGCTCAGGTGTCTTGCTCAGGAAATTCATCCCTACACTCTCTGATAGCCGGGGTCGGACATTAATGGACTAGACGGGTCAGCGGGCATCAGGCTGATTGGTGCCCCATCCTGGGCATCGTTAATGAGGCATGCGACTCCTGGGCTTGAGAGGCATTGCGGCATCGCGGTGAATAATTCCTCTGGGTACCTGTTCAAATGTCCCACTTTCTTATCAGCGCTCTCATCGAAAATCATAAGAGGCTGCGAAGCCAGATTCTGAAATGGCTGGTAGTCGTCCTCCACTGGAGGGAAGCTGTTTGAGCCTGCAGTCGGACCAGGAGTTTCCTTGGTTCCACTCGAGGTTGAGGACAGACTACGGGCTTCTGCATATGAACCCCCCCCAGAATCTGCATTGCACTGCTGATAGGACATGTCTGTTGGCATTGGACATGGAACTCCTGGTGGTAAATTAATGGGAAGACATGACGGTGCTGGGGGGTCAACACAGGTCCCAATGTTTCTGCGATGGTGTGCAAAGTCACAAGAAATTTCCAACTGCGTCTGGACCCGAGAGCTGTTCGTCGGAATCTGATGTGGGACGCTGGGAATGACGATGGAATACGTTTCGTTGATAAAGCTAACTGCTCCAGAACTCATGTCATCAGCTTGACATGGTTGGTAAGGAGCGGAGGACAAACCACTGTCTTTGTTCGTTTCTTCTATGGTCGAAAACGGGACGATATTGGATAAGGCTTTTTTAAGGGCATCGCTAACACCAGTTATAATGTCACGTTCTGGTAGGGTATCAGGGTAACTAATACAAGAAGACCCAGTACTGATTCCACTGCTTTGATCAAGGCTTCCACTGCTACCGTTTCCCGGGGACTTCTTCAGCCTGAAAAAGACAAACGGATCACTTAAGCTACAAATGAACCAAATAGAAATCCTTCGGGTATCGTGCAGCCACACTAACCATGACTTGTTGTCATCTGGAACAAAAGGCTCAACACAGACAATGGAGTAGTTGGTTGTTCCAGGCTTCAAGACCTACAACAAGGGCAATAAAAACAATTAGAACTACAGATATGAAACAGTTTGATCAAAAGGGTCAATTTGCAAAAGCTCTTTTTCCGATAGATTCAATATTTATCTGATTTCACAGCACCATTAGTTTTCTAGTATTAATAAATAGTTATGTTACATGCATACATCGTGTCCTCTGATTCCTTTATAACTATGAAGGAAATCTGAATATATACTATAGTGAAATAATTAAATGCAGGTTGTAGATGCATTCAATGTCCAACGTACCAGACTAAACAGCGTGATTCTGTGAAATTGTCATGGATTGTCAATATACTGCTTACATGTAATAAAGTCAAAGAAATGGATGCAACAATTAAAGCTGCAAGTTTGTAGATCTATTTTAGCCAATATCAAGTTCACATCATTGGTAACTTACCTTTTGCGTGCTCGGATAAATAACACCAAGTTTGGGATTTGGACATTTGGAGACTACGACCCACCACTTTGTTTTGACCCTAAAATCAACAAATAAATCAGTAAAAATCCCATACATGTCACATATACACAAGCAAGGAGTTACAGTGTTTAAGGGAAAAGCCTTTTGTATCATTCACATGCAGAGAAATGTAAAAACCTTTTTTATCTGCCTGACTTACTTTACATAACTGACATATATCGCAGCAGTGATGAGGACTGCAGCCAAACAGAGGCAGATGATGACAGTCAAAGGCAGGACGACAGGGGACATAGCTGTGAAGCAACATGTTTGAGGTAAATGATGAAATCCAGAATGACATGCAGCAGAGAGATTAACCAGATACAAGTGCAAAGCATTTAACTGTAGATTTGCACCAGGGTTGTTTTTGCTAAACTGGCCCATACAACAACATCAGTGCCCCTAGATGAAGCCAGGAGAATATCGCACATGTTTGCTAACATACGTGTGTTCATAATGATATTGTAGTACATGATGGGATGTCTAGGATTCTCGATTGCTTGGGTGTTGTACCTATTTAAGACAAAACTGAGAAGATGACACTTACCGGTTGTGAATTCCATTTCTTTGCTACTTTCACTGAACTTGCCACTGAAGTTGGTGTAGCTTTTCACGCTGACAACATACGTTGTGCTTGGCTCCAAGTGTCGACCAAGTATTTCAAAGTAATGTAGTTTATCTTTTGTACTTGGTTTGATAAATTCAGATACCTGCTATGGAAAGAACAAGAATTGCCAATAAAGAGATGGTTCAGCAATAGTCTTCAACTTACCAGCATCCTGACTTTAATCAAATGGCCAAATCTAAGTCAAAGGAATTCAGTATTATACAGTTTCATATGACATTGCTCCTACCTTTTCTCTGTCTCCTTTTTTATGGTAAGTCAAATTAGCTTTCATGGTTATACTAATAAACGATTCCATATTTGTATTCCATGTGACTTCAAAATTTCCATTGGATTCTTTCACGGATCTGATTGTTGGGGCTTTAGGCTTTACTGTAGAAGAAGAGATAAGAAGAGTAAGGGGAAGGTTTCATCGCCTCCCTCCAGGCACGGCATCCATTCACTTTCATTTCATTCAGTCAACTTACTGCTCAACTTGACATTGAAATCTTTGGACTCCAGGCTTTTGTTCCCTTTCCAAACTGTGGCTGTATGAGTATCCCCAAAGACCATGAACCCTCCTTCAATGGAGCAACAACACCGTCCATCCTCACACTGGATGAAAGGGCCGGTCCGATTTCTGTGGAATACCAGATGGCATCATCTTCTAAACTAATTTTTACTGAGTCAATCCGATGGCTTCGCAGTGACCACGTAGGCTAAAAACAAAACCACTTACTCATGGATGTCGAAGATTTTAATCTGGAGAGTCAAACTGTATTCAGCACAGTTTTGCGCATTGAATTGGCAAGTGACGACTGAAAAGTCGTTGGTACAATCAAGACTTTGGCCTGAAAGACAGATTAAGCAAATAGAATAATTATGATAAGGAGTTATTGTGAAAACTAAATCTGAGTTCTACATTTCCATTATACGTACCTGAGGTATCTGTTGCAATAGTCCCCAGAATTAGCAGGAGAAAAGATGTCCTATCACAAAGAAAAAAGCAGATATCTCCTTCGTTTTAATGTGTCAGAATGGGTGATTTAAGTTCCAAGAACACTTTCCAATACTGCAGGTTACCTTTTAAAACCCATGCTGAAGTTATTGGTTCCACGTCTCCTTCAAAAACAACGATCCGAGTCACCTCAGATCCATTTTGTGAAATAATGTAGCGCGGCTGTGGGGGTATTCCTCACAGTCTTCCTCATGTGGAAAGCTCTTACTGGAAATGTCAGGCCACTAACTCGATGGAAGCGTTTCCCACGCCCACTTCCTCAAAGAGTGGAAAGAAGGAAGCAGTTCTGTCCAGTAACAGACGAAGTAATGTACAATGATGCACAAGAACTACAGGGGAATAAATGGATACATAAAAGTGATGAAGGTGTAACGATTGTGGCCATATCGATTAAAGGTTGTGTGTATCGATCGTTCGGACTGTGATAACATAAGACCAGGAGACGTCCAGAGTGCGGGCAGCCCATCTCACAATCACAAACACGCGTTTTTATGATTGTATATTCTGCTCACTGTTCCATGACGCGAGAAATGGAAGGAAAATTGTGTTTCTACAATGACAATTTAACCCTAAAAAACAACTGTCCACTGCACCAACGAAGAGACTTGCAGTGTAATTCCACCATCTAGTGGACAATCACTGAACCGCATGTTGAAATGATTTAAAACGGATTACACGAATAAAGAGACATGACCCGTATTTGTAGAAAACGTCAAATATGTTGTGCAGTTAGCAGCCTATTGCTAATCAAACCGATCTAGTTTCTTTATAATTAACATTGGAGAAGATCAAAGACCTATAAGGATTTATGTTGAAAGTCTCTGTTTTCAGCTCTGCTGCAATAGCCCACACCTTCGGTATGAATAACACCTATTTATTTTGAAGTTGGAATTCCTGTTTTATTATCTAATATGTTTTCCAACAAAATGATTAGAATGACAGGTACTCCTGCTCCATCATTTAAGAAATACAGGAAATATCAAAAATCATATATTTAATTACGTCAAACATTCAAATCCAAAGTCCATGCTTTTTGTGTATTGGAGATTTTAAGTTCGTCACATCACACTTGTGTTGAATGTAGCCTAAATGTAGCATACTGGAGCGTAAGTGGCTTCCAGTTGCTGCAATGTTACAAAATTATATTTGCATGTTCACATCTGAGACAAAGCGATTCAAGAGATACGTCATTCCTCCAGCATATTAGTGTGAAAACAACCTTCAAGTATAAAACGTGTCTTTTTTGGCACAGCAAAAGTAAGGCGCAATAAGTCACATTTTGGAGCCAAAGAGCACTGGAAGTTTAACGGTTGACATATTAGAAAGTGGTAGAATCTCCAGTTGTGTCCGTTGCAGATGACAGAGTGGTGGCTCTTCGAGAAGTGTCTATTCCTCCAGCCGCTGAGGTCAACAAGGTCATTCAGGTGGGCAAGTGAATGTTCTTGTTCATTGATTTATTATGCATATCAATTTACATACATGTACACATATACAAATGCGTACATGTACAGTATATACAGTGTACAGCATATTTGAACATATTAATCATTTTCAGATTATCACCACTACCTTTGGGCTGAACTCTTCCGATGTCACATTCAAGGTACAATGACTCCTTCTCTCTAATGTTAGATCCCTATTACTGAAATGCATGTGTCCACAGAATATTGTTAAAATGAAAGGAAAAATAGTATTTTTGGCTGTAGCTGGAATTGTCAAATGATCTCTTGTGCTTTGGTCTGTTTGCAGTTAAGGAACAACCGCGGCTGTCTGATCCCGCTCAACAGCTCGATCCCTGCCAACAGCAAGCACATGTAAGGAGTCATCTTCCACCGTGGGAATGCTGTGCATCTATTTAGTGAGCACTCTTATGAACTACTCATTCATGTCAACTGGTTTTTCACCACAGGCCTCTCGTGCTTGAGGTAGCCAAGATCTATCAGCATGGTAAGAGTGAAGTCCCGTTTTCTTTTTAACGGGGCTTTCTTGAGGAGCTGGACAGGGTCTTTGCGTTGGGGGGGTGGAGGGGTTCAACATTACACAACGCTCTTCATAGAATAGCAACACATGACCAGCATACAGCTACATTAAAGTGTCCTAAATACTGTTTTGTTTAAGGAAAGATTAGATATTTTTTCTGCGCTGGACTTGTTGTTACTATATATTGTATTCTCCTTCACACGTCAGAAAACATGGTACTTACTGTGGACTGTATTGTTTCCCAAGTGAAACACAAATGCAGTATTAAGGAAGTTATTGATATCTGTAACGGTTCTGATCCAAGTGCGTCCGGAGCCCCGAAGCGTTCCCCTGACTGTAATCAACAAGAGCATGAAGACCAGGCTACAGACCATTGACCGGAGGGTGGGTTTACCAACGGTTCATTCAGCGGTGATCAAGTATTCTGCCATGAGTCCTTTGAAAAGGCCACTAAGTAGTTTCCTCAGTATCCTCATGTGTCTTCAAGTGTCAATGAGGAGATTATCTAATGCACCAAAACTCAGCCAATGACAACACAAGATACATCTTGTCTGGTGAGGTAAGTGAGGGTGAGGAAGTTGTTTTCCTTCCGACAATTATTTGTTGTACAAAAAAGGCACAAATTATCTGAGGTCTAAGTTTTCAAATAGAAGGACTATTGGTGCAGAAATTTTGTGGCCAGAACAAGCTCAAGTTCAACTGTTTTATTATAAATATATTCTTTTTTACAACTTGCAATCCATGGTATTTTTTTTGAAAACGCTTTATTACTTTAATAATAATTTAGTACCAGAACTTGTTTTTATATTCTGTGTTTCATTACAGATTCAAAGACTGGAGGAGCTTCTGCCTCAGATCGAACTCAGACGCAACGAAAAACTAAGCCAGGTATTTAAACTTTTCTCTGGGCGTTAATTAAACACATCGATACCATGAGACATCATGAGTGTAACCGTAGCCACTTGCTCATAGGGAATGATGTTTGATTGATATTGTTTGGTACAATGTGACACTATCACCGTGAAGGGGCATCTCTCCACATCCAATTGACCGTGGAACACTTTTTTCTCTGTCTTACTGCAGGAGATTGAATGTCTCAACCAGAAGTTGAGGTTTCTTCACAAGAAAATGCAGGTGAGTCATTCTGATCATGACTTTGTTGAAGGTGTTAGCGTTTTGAATCATTCTGATCAAACATAGAAAACACAGTTTCAATTCAGAGTTGAAAATTGAATACATGTTTTCATGTATTCTCAGAGTCTCTACATCTGCTTCTTTTCTTCCCGCATGTTATTATTATTTTTCAGGTTCATGTTTGCACACACTTCTTTGCTCTGTTTCAGGTGGTAGATTCCCACAGCTGGAAGGGGGTGCTAACCAGAGCCCCTCTGTGGTAACAAACATCCTTGTTTCTGGCTGTTTTAATAAAATACAAAGCTTCAGTGGGACAATGGCTCCACTCATCATCCACTGCAGAATTGATCTTGTATTTTTTCCTTTTTTTTATATTCCCATATATATCCTTCCAAGGAAGTATTTTCAGTAAATGACCTATTAATGGTATGTAGAACAGAAACATTAACATATTTTCTTACATTACATTACATGTCATTTAGCGGACGCTTTTATCCAAAGCGACGTACAATAAGTGCATTCAACCATAGGGTACAGACTCAGGAGAACAAGAAACAAGAAAGTGCAATTTCCTCAAATAAGCCAATTTACAATTTGCTATAGATAAGTGACGTTATAAGTACAATTTAAGTGCTACAATTTGTTAGTCTTTAGTCGAGTCTTTAGTCTTCTGCCTGCAAATGTTTTAAGCAGTACATATTTGTGAGACTTTTGTGGAGTGCGTTACTAGAATTACTTTAGATGTCAACGTTTGGTTTGACCAGTCAACAACCCAGTGAAATAAAAGAGAACAAGAGAGATTGTCTATTGTTTTGATATACAGCTGCAATACAGAACACAACCACACAGCCGTTGTTAACTTTGATCTCAACAGCATCAGATGTTACAGACACGGTTAAAGCGAAAGGTTTGCGTCGTTCTTTGCCAGATCAAAAAATATATATATATATGTATATTATATATATATATATATATATATATGTATATATAATATACATATATATACAACATATATATATATATATATATATGTTGTATTGTGTGTGTATATATATTTATATACACACACAATACAACAATTAAATCCCTCCAGTAGGCGGCGACAGCGCGCCTCGACTCCTTCTCTCCAACCGCCAGCAGATCAAAAATAAGCAGAAGAAGAATGCAGAGAGACGTTACGAGTTAGAAATGGACCTAATTTGTACGCGTTTGGGTTCTTTACCCCTGAATCCTCGTATTGTTCCATCGTGTTTTAGAGCAATGGTTCCAGGCGGCGTTAGCGGACTCGTTGTAACACTCGGGCGTCGCGTCGTGAGAAGTTAGCTTACGGCTAGACTTGTAGCTAGCTGCGGCTAAACGTGTAGCTACCTCGGAGCGACTCCTCGTTAACTGTCCGCATCGCGGGGCTGAATGCCTGCTCGCCGGGCTCTGGTGGACTGCGTCGTGTTGTCTGTGCAGACAGCAGGTGTGTTTTATCCGTGCTGCAAAGACTGCCTCTCAAGGATTGAAGTTGAGCAGCGGGACACGACGAGGTAAACAAACAAAAACAAAAAACTCAAATTTCAGTTCTAAAGGGGCGCGTTTAGTCCATGTATTGTATTTTACAAAACGTTTTAGTCATGGAAGTTTCCTGAGGAAACTGTAAAACAAAACATCTCTCTCAAAACAGTTCATTCAGAGGTGATAAAGCTTGAAGCCATAAATGAATTAGTTCTTGCTGTTCTAATTATCTCTCTGAAACCCACTCACACACTCATTCCCCCCCCTGTTTTTTTGTCACAGATGCAGATGCTTCAAGTGTGTTTACAGCTGTCCGAGGGAACAGCTGGACTACAGATATCGTCTCTCACTGAAGGTGACCCGGAACAGCTGCATATTTGGATTAACTGTATTCGGAACATGCTTGAACCCATTCTTTGGCATCCATGCGAAGGGTTTACAGAGGTGAGCTCAAGGAACTCAAACTGTCTGGAGGGTGAATTCATTTTTCTGTGTTGTAAAGTGTATTAAGCTACTATGATTTTAGTAAAAAGGAAACTAGTGTTAAGTGTGGGGTCTTTTCCCCTGAAGTAAAAAGCATGGTGGATTTCTGTTTCTGTGACGTTGCAGGTTGGTGGAGAACTCGGACGGAGCATCAAACAGATCCACATTGCTGATGAAGGCTGTTGAGGATTGTTTCATTGGCAGACATTTCGTCTTTGGCATAAAGGTACAATTGTGATGATCTATTGCTATAATCAGCTGATATCAGCTTATTACATACATATAGCAGACATTTATGTAATGTCTATATGTCTGTAATTTCTAAAGGTCAGGCCAATAAGTACCACAAAAGTGTTTGTTCTAAAATGCTACTGCATCAACACGCTAATACAATATTAAATCATTTAAAAACTAAAGCGCACATATGGCTGCAGAAAACATGTGTTTTTAAGTACATTCTATTGTTTATAGAATGGCCTATCTTATACAAGTAACATTTTAAATGCAATACTTTTTAACCTGTGCTCTTATTATTATTTCACTTAATTAAATTATTTTGGTACCTCCCCTACCACGGCCCGTCTTTACCTGCTTGCACTTCCATCCGCAATCTCCCTCACGGTGGCCGACCGTCTTCGTTGCACTCTGGAGAGCGGCTGAAAACAGATCTCCAAAAGTTAGCTGAATGTCTATCGTCTGTCTTTCTGTCAACTAATCAATTACCCATATTAAACTATTTCAGTCTGTACCAAAGTGGGGGGCTGACAGACCACCAGTTTTTGTCAGGCCATAATCACGCCTATTCTAACAATATGTCATGTGCTTCATTCAATTCTGGCTGCATGGTCTCAAACATCCCTGGTCTTGTCTTTGTCCTTTTTAGGTACCTGAAACAGAAAGTCTGCCTTGGGTTGGAGCACCTGTTGCGAATGTTTGCAGCAGTAAAGAAACGGTCCACTTTATTGCCACTCAGATGATTCTCCCCAACGCTACAGGCTTGGGAGGCTGGACAGTAGTCAGTTACTATCGGATGCTTCTTCAGAAAGCGGCATCCACCGATTCCAGCCAAACCCGCGGACCCCCAGCAGCAACCCTGCTGCTGATTCCTCACCATTTTCCAGCCGGCAGCTTCAATCGTTCCAGACTTTCTGCCTCAGATCTTCTTTCCCACTCACCACCAAGGTAACGACATTAGGAAGCTACTGACGCTTTCGATCTGATCGTTATCTCCGCCAGGCGTATTCTAAGGAGACTATGAGATGTTACGTGTGGATCATATTGTTTTTGTTGAAGAAAATAGTGGGTGCTGATATCGGCTCAATGGTGAAATAATAAAATATGAAGTAGAGCGCGTTGAACGCTGCTTAATTTACATCTCATCCATCTCTCATGTGCCTCTGATTGTTTTCATTGCTTTCATTTGAATCCTAGTTCACAGTGCCAAGATGGCACCCTTTCCCCCACCCCTCCATGGGAACAGTCCCTTGGACTGGTCACCTCATCGGCAGAGCCGGAGGAAGGCTGCAGTCACCTGTCTGGTGGAGATGAGATCAGCCGACGGACGGGAAACCAAGAAGCGCGACCGTGTGCTCAGAGAGGCTCCCCCGAGGACCATAAAGTCAAAGAGGAGAAAGCGCTGTCCCCTCCCCTTTCGTTGGGGTGCTTTGGTAGTCCATCATTTTCCAAATACCAGAAAGCGGTTGAAAACGCGTCGGTCCTGAACCCTTGGATCAGCCCCCCCCCACGAGGCCACAACATCGGCAATGAGAGGGGGTTTTCCACCAGACGACCCGCCGACACAGTCTTGTCAAGCCCCTCGGCCTGGGGAGATTTTCCTTTCTCAGAGAGTCTTTCAGAGTATTGGTGTGAAGATAACAACCATCTTGACATTGTTGTTGAAACAGAGCCGCATCTTAACGACCTGCAAATCAGTTCACATGGCAAGAAGGTTTCACGCAAATCAAATTCTACTTTTCAAAGTAACGCACAGATAACAGGCAGCCAATCGCAGATATTACTAGAAATCACCGATAAACCTGTACTGAATGGAGGGGACCGACGTGATTTACCTGACCAGATATATAAGAACCCCGTTAGATGTGCATTCAAGAGTCAGGCCGAATTAGTTTTTACCCATGATGAGTGTAATCGGCAAATGGAGAAAGCACCATTGTCTTCCGAAAACGAAGAAGAGCAGCTTGAAGGTGATATCTACAACTGTTCGGCAGACCTATTCGGTGGCTCGCTCCTTTCCGAAATGACCACAAAGAAACTCTGCACACGTGTCAGCGTACAGCTACCAGTGACAAATGTGCAGTCAAATGAGTGATACCAAAGACTCACCACGAGCACCCGATCCATGCAGTTGGATTACCACATATTTTGAGTGATTTATTTTTAAAGAATAATTTTTTTTAATACACTTTTAGATGATTTAAGGTTTCATTGGAAACAGATTGAGATCAGATTAACTTTAGAACATCGTACTGTCCTTTTTTGTACCTCGTTTTTGTATTTTGACCATTCGTTGACTCACAACACTGTCGATTCTCCCATTTTTTTACAACCATGAATGCTATTTAAGTGAAGTAAAAGGATGATGTGTATGTGATTTGGTTGCTGGCTGGTAAATGAACTGATTTAAAATATTAAATTCTTAACACTGGCATTTCTTTTGTGTTCTAACACTGCGCGTGTGTTTGTGTAAACAGGACAACGATACCTTTTGCAGAAAGCCACTGTGTGTGTGTGTGTGTGTGTGTGTGCGCGCCACAGAATGTTGGCTCAGTTCCCTCCAGTAATAAATTTTTTTAAATATATCCTTGGGTGGCAGCTAATGTAACACCACGTGTCTGTTTATGCGGTTTGAAATACAAGCTACTGTATGTGCAAAGTGCCCATTGGGAGGATCTCAATGTAACAATCTGGCCTAAAGGAGGAAACTACATACGCATCTGACTTGTTCTCTTTCCCTTGGGAGAAAAAGAAGTGACTGCTTGCTCTGTATTCCCCAACAGAAACCTGCAGAGCAAGTAACATGAAGGACATATTAAAAAGCAAAAACATGTACAGATTTTGAAAGAATTGAATACACATTGTACAAAAAGGATTTTCATATTTCATAACTTGCAGTTTCTCCTCGTAAAATTCAAACTGATATAATTGATTGGACAAGTCACAGACTACTTCTTCTGTGTGTATACTACATGCTACAGTGCATGAAGTATCTGACCATGACCTCTGACCGCTTTGTAGGAGACAGACATAAAAAGGAGAATACTTAAGGAATGAAGTCATTCTTCATATTTATGTATGACAGACACGGTTCTGGTACTTATTTCTTTATTCACTGCATATTTGGATACTTGATACTAAAATGTCTTCCCTGATACAATATTCTTGGGATGTTCATATAAATACTGTCTGTTTGCTGCAGTCCTGTGGGTTTGTCTCCGTATATCTCCACACAGCGCTCTCCAGCTTCTGTGTCGTGACCGCAACGGGTCTCGCCGCGGGGGGACAAGAGTGCGTTGCGTTTGCGTCGTCGCCTAAACTCGCCTGTCTCTCTCGAGGCCGGCCGAGCAACCGCAACCCTGAGAAAAGGGGGAGGACGGGACGGCGCGTTGAGAGTACGGGCCCGAATGTTGTTCACCTTTTGGGGTTGGCGCATACATTGTGAAAATGTTTTCACCTCTCGTGCGTCTGTGCGTCTTGGTGCTGGGCAGCATCCTGTAGACTCTGTAGGCGTTGCTGCCCCTCTTCTTGCTGTGCTTCCGCAGCTCACAAATGTCAGGGAGCGAATTGACGGCGCAGCGGAAATTGGCCTTCCACGTCTTGGGATCTGGCTGGTCCTTGCCAGGACGGTATCGTCCTGAAGTGAACAGGCACAATCATTGCTCGAGCAGAAAGGAGTACGACATTTGTGAACGCACCAACAACTAAAATGAGTGCACTTTAGGTCGAGGCCTTCAAGATTTGAGGGACCCAGACATCTAACCGGAGGTAAATTCATCTGCAGGAAAGGTTTCGTCCAGCATGGCAAGTTGAGTTAAGTGAAGAGTAACTTATTGTAGCACTGGGCTGAACAACACGCAGCATCCCTGGTGGCTTTGCTTTGATGTACTTTGAGGAGAAGTTCAACCACCGGATGTCAGCAGAAACAACATTTTTTAAGAGATCCTGTGTATTTAAAAGTAGTTTATTACGTATAATAGCAGACATTCTGACCCTTTGGTATGAGTTTGCACCCGCCGCCTCCATTGCAGGGAAAAAAACGCCATGGCATCTATCATGTAGTGTGTGACTTCATCCAGTGAGATGAGTTCTCATATTTAGCACCGCGGTGGGATTTGGATCCTTGCCAGTCCTCTGAATATAATTACCAGCTTAAGTATTAAAATCACTGGAGCTTCAACACATCGGATCATTTACAGTAGTCAAGGGCCAACAAGAAGAGAAGAGGTTGCAGCGGCTATATTACGCACAAGTTGTAACCTCCCATTACTTCAAGTGCCATTGGTGGTGCAGTTATATAATCTGTATACTTTTTATTTTTACATTTTAATGAAACATTTTAATTAAATATCTCTCCAATATTCTTTTTTTCCCTAGTGGATGTATTTTGTACTTTGCCAGTAACACAATCATCCTTCACATTCACACCATCTGAACTTACAGAAATTGATGACCGAGCAGAAACATGTGGTTATGAGAATATGGACGCAGCAATGGGAACACTGGGTTGGAACGGTTTTACGTTTTTTTTTATGTGTGCTGTTTGCAACCCATCAATCATCTTTACACATCATTGCTCCTTTGTGGTTTCAATATTTATTTTGGGACATACTGTTGCTATCTAAGATTCTCATGCAATTGTTATCACTTAACTGGAAACTTTGACGATGATATGAATCTAATCTAATGTACTAAGAAATGGACTGAACAAAGCAACCGCAGCTGTTCTGCTCGGAGGAAGCAGGTCAGCTGGCAAATTTCTTCAGGATTAGTTGAAATATATTTTTCTTTTTAGATAACGTTTGGAGACTATATATATATATTTGTCTCTGAAAATAAATAATCTCAAGATTATTATTTGTTAGGAAATCGAGTAAAAGCAATCTTTCTGGGGCATATTATTTGTCATTGACCGATCCCTGACTGAAGGCTGATTGAGGGCTATGAATACCAAGACACCCTTTAAAAACTAATACTAAATACTGAGTTAAACAAGTGCGTTTACTGTTCATTACATTTAGCATTGATTATTGATTTGACACACGTGATCTATTTTGACATTATTGAGATATTATCATCAACGTAAATAACATTCATTTCTAGTGTCTAAATCATAAATATAAACTTGGTGATATAAGCTTTATTGCGGCAGCATGCCATTGTAACCGTAAGAACATATCTAAAGGTATAAAGCAAAGTTGGTTTGAAGTTGGTTTGATAGAATATGAGCAGGACAAAGATAATAAACACTATTCTGCATGCACATGGGGGGGGAGCATCCAGCCGGAACAAGTGCCAAGTGCATGAATGTGGGTCTCCTACCGGTATGCACGGCCCAGCTCCTGAACAGCGTAGCATCTCTGTCAATGCTCCATCCGTGACGAGCGGCGTGAATCCACGGGATTTGGAAGATTTGTGCTGACTGTGGAATAGAAAAAGGTGCCAATAACACAAATTGCCAAGTGATTTGATCAACGGCAAACCTTTGTGGGGCACAGGCATGCATGTGTTTAGGAGCGATGAGGGTGAGAGTGAGCGGGTCTACCTGGTCCAGCCAGCTGACTCCCGGATACCTCCCAGACTGAATCTGCTCTTCCAGCCACGGCCTCAGCCTCAGCCGGCCCGGTTGTTGCATGCTGCTGTCAGAGCTTCAGGTGTGCAGAAAAGTGGAGATGAGCGCCCGGCTATACAGGAGTTTCAGGAAAAACAGAAGAATCCTCAGGAACTCAAATTTAAACTGAGGTGGCTCTTCCTCCCCTTTTACCTTTTGCCCTCCTCTGCATTCCTCCAACCACAAAGCTCACTGTTACTCCAATCCCTGCAGGCCTCCAATAACGTTCCTCTGAGCCTAAGTGGCTCCTCCAATTACAAGAAGAACGCCGCTGCATGTTGTTCTCTTCAAGGAGGATGATGGATTGTTTTTTAATGATCGTCCTGCTTTCCTGCATGCTGAGTAATGGGAGGAATTGTGGATTTGCCACTTTGGAACCTAGTGGGTGCTAAAAGTTGACTAGTCATATGTTTCTTGTATGTGCTTTCACACAAAGCTACTGTAGGAGCAGTGAGACGTTTTCGTGCAAACCTACTAAGTGAAATAAGAATTCATGGAGTGACATTAGGCCTAATGTCCCCCCTGAAGCCTAAGCCCCGAACCCTCAGGGACATAACTGGCGTCCCCTGTAAGTGGTTGAGTGTGAGAGTCTGTGAAGGCTTGACATAATGTAAATATGAATGGGGCAGCACTTTGCTGCCACAAGTCACATATCAATGATAGAGTCCCAGGAGATAACGGAGGGTAATCATTTCATCCTGTTCACTCTCTGATTTAATGGACTTCATGAGATGACAGGCCCTTTCAAATACTGTTTTTTGTCAAAATTGGTTCGAAGACAAAATGTAATATTTCATGAATGAAATAAGTAAACATTGTCTGATTTCATGTGGATTTATTTGTAATTTCTAAATGTACACATTTTAGTATGAGTCTTAACACAAATGTGCCGTCCACTTTGTCCACTTGTGTCACCTTTCTTTACGCCTCCAAACCCAATAATTGATATGATGTCATATACAGGGCACATTATCAAATGAGCATTAAATAATGCTATATAATGAACAAAACTCATGTAAAATGTTATTTCAAATCAAGCAAAAATGCTGTCCAACATCACACATGAAAACAATCACTCAATCCAGTTGTTGCTCTTCAGAGTTGAACTGTATTCAATGCAGTTTTCCGCATTAAAGTGGCTAAAGACGACATCACAATTAGATAAATAACACCAGACGTGGCTTTTTTAAGTTAAGTTAAAAGTAAGTGTAAGTTTTATAATGTGACATAACAAAGTGTAACAACAAGAGAGGATGTCTTTGTTGAGACAAATACAGCCTGAAGTCACGTGTGTTTCTTTGGAAGTCTCACTGGAGTTCCAGAGAAAAGCAATGAGGAAGTCATTTCACAATCCTGAATTGCACCAACTGACTGTGACATTCACTTTGAATTTCCTCTTCTTTAAAAGTTTTACCATAACATTTTTACCGTAACATTTTTATGTACTTTTACAAACTTTTTTTTCACATCAAAGGCAGTCATACAAAGTTTAAAAGCATTCACAAAATGAAGCAAATGTTTAGGCTCATGAGGTGAAAAGTCGAGACACCAACGTCAAGTCCCTTTGTTTAGTGTTCTTACTATTGCGATTTCTTCACCTGCAGACATCCATGACAGAAGTATCGCATAACAAAGGTATGATTGAAACATCAACATCACAATTCACTTTCTGTTACATCCAACTCCACCTCAATCTCACTTTATACATTTCACAGCATCCGTTTCAGTAATTAAAAAGCGCACAAAACACAAAAAAATGAATGCATTCAAATTCATTACATTACATTACATTACAGGTCATTTAGCAGACGCTTTTATCGAAAGCAACTTACATTACACTTTAAACCCATGGCTTTTTCACATTTTTTCCCGGGGAGTAATTAGGGGTTAGGTGTCTTGCTCAGGAAATTCATCCCTACACTCTCTGATAGCCGGGGTCGGACATTAATGGACTAGACGGGTCAGCGGGCATCAGGCTGATTGGTGCCCCATCCTGGGCATCGTTAATGAGGCATGCGACTCCTGGGCTTGAGAGGCATTGCGGCATCGCGGTGAATAATTCCTCTGGGTACCTGTTCAAATGTCCCACTTTCTTATCAGCGCTCTCATCGAAAATCATAAGAGGCTGCGAAGCCAGATTCTGAAATGGCTGGTAGTCGTCCTCCACTGGAGGGAAGCTGTTTGAGCCTGCAGTCGGACCAGGAGTTTCCTTGGTTCCACTCGAGGTTGAGGACAGACTACGGGCTTCTGCATATGAACCCCCCCCAGAATCTGCATTGCACTGCTGATAGGACATGTCTGTTGGCATTGGACATGGAACTCCTGGTGGTAAATTAATGGGAAGACATGACGGTGCTGGGGGGTCAACACAGGTCCCAATGTTTCTGCGATGGTGTGCAAAGTCACAAGAAATTTCCAACTGCGTCTGGACCCGAGAGCTGTTCGTCGGAATCTGATGTGGGACGCTGGGAATGACGATGGAATACGTTTCGTTGGTTAAGCTAACTGCTCCAGAACTCATGTCATCAGCTTGACATGGTTGGTAAGGAGCGGAGGACAAACCACTGTCTTTGTTCGTTTCTTCTATGGTCGAAAACGGGACGATATTGGATAAGGCTTTTTTAAGGGCATCGCTAACACCAGTTATAATGTCACGTTCTGGTAGGGTATCAGGGTAACTAATACAAGAAGACCCAGTACTGATTCCACTGCTTTGATCAAGGCTTCCACTGCTACCGTTTCCCGGGGACTTCTTCAGCCTGAAAAAGACAAACGGATCACTTAAGCTACAAATGAACCAAATAGAAATCCTTCGGGTATCGTGCAGCCACACTAACCATGACTTGTTGTCATCTGGAACAAAAGGCTCAACACAGACAATGGAGTAGTTGGTTGTTCCAGGCTTCAAGACCTACAACAAGGACAATAAAAACAATTAGAACTACAGATATGAAACAGTTTGATCAAAAGGGTCAATTTGCAAAAGCTCTTTTTCCGATAGATTCAATATTTATCAGATTTCACAGCACCATTAGTTTTCTAGTATTAATAAATAGTTATGTTACATGCATACATCGTGTCCTCTGATTCCTTTATAACTATGAAGGAAATCTGAATATATACTATAGTGAAATAATTAAATGCAGGTTGTAGATGCATTCAATGTCCAACGTACCAGACTAAACAGCGTGATTCTGTGAAATTGTCATGGATTGTCAATATACTGCTTACATGTAATAAAGTCAAAGAAATGGATGCAACAATTAAAGCTGCAAGTTTGTAGATCTATTTTAGCCAATATCAAGTTCACATCATTGGTAACTTACCTTTTGCGTGCTCGGATAAATAACACCAAGTTTGGGATTTGGACATTTGGAGACTACGACCCACCACTTTGTTTTGACCCTAAAATCAACAAATAAATCAGTAAAAATCCCATACATGTCACATATACACAAGCAAGGAGTTACAGTGTTTAAGGGAAAAGCCTTTTGTATCATTCACATGCAGAGAAATGTAAAAACCTTTTTTATCTGCCTGACTTACTTTACATAACTGACATATATCGCAGCAGTGATGAGGACTGCAGCCAAACAGAGGCAGATGATGACAGTCAAAGGCAGGACGACAGGGGACATAGCTGTGAAGCAACATGTTTGAGGTAAATGATGAAATCCAGAATGACATGCAGCAGAGAGATTAACCAGATACAAGTGCAAAGCATTTAACTGTAGATTTGCACCAGGGTTGTTTTTGCTAAACTGGCCCATACAACAACATCAGTGCCCCTAGATGAAGCCAGGAGAATATCGCACATGTTTGCTAACATACGTGTGTTCATAATGATATTGTAGTACATGATGGGATGTCTAGGATTCTCGATTGCTTGGGTGTTGTACCTATTTAAGACAAAACTGAGAAGATGACAGTTACCGGTTGTGAATTCCATTTCTTTGCTACTTTCACTGAACTTGCCACTGAAGTTGGTGTAGCTTTTCACGCTGACAACATACGTTGTGCTTGGCTCCAAGTGTCGACCAAGTATTTCAAAGTAATTTTGTCCATCTTTTGTACTTGGTTTGATAAATTCAGATACCTGCTATGGAAAGAACAAGAATTGCCAATAAAGAGATGGTTCAGCAATAGTCTTCAACTTACCAGCATCCTGACTTTAATCAAATGGCCAAATCTAAGTCAAAGGAATTCAGTATTATACAGTTTCATATGACATTGCTCCTACCTTTTCTCTGTCTCCTTTTTTATGGTAAGTCAAATTAGCTTTCATGGTTATATTAATAAACGATTCCATATTTGTATTCCACGTGACTTCAAAATTTCCATTGGATTCTTTCACGGATCTGATTGTTGGGGCTTTAGGCTTTACTGTAGAAGAAGAGATAAGAAGAGTAAGGGGAAGGTTTCATCGCCTCCCTCCAGGCACGGCATCCATTCACTTTCATTTCATTCAGTCAACTTACTGCTCAACTTGACATTGAAATCTTTGGACTCCAGGCTTTTGTTCCCTTTCCAAACTGTGGCTGTATGAGTATCCCCAAAGACCATGACCCCTCCTTCAATGGAGCAACAACACCGTCCATCCTCACACTGGATGAAAGGGCCGGTCCGATTTCTGTGGAATACCAGATGGCATCATCTTCTAAACAGCCAATATATACGGTAATTTTAACTGAGTCAATCCGATGGCTTCGCAGTGACCACGTAGGCTAAAAACAAAAACACTCACTCATTGAGGGCCATTTTATTCTGGAGAGTCAAACTGTATTCAGCACAGTTTTGCGCATTGAATTGGCAAGTGACGACTGAAAAGTCGTTGGTACAATCAAGACTTTGGCCTGAAAGACAGATTAAGCAAATAGAATAATTATGATAAGGAGTTATTGTGAAAACTAAATCTGAGTTCTACATTTCCATTATACGTACCTGAGGTATCTGTTGCAATAGTCCCCAGAATTAGCAGGAGAAAAGATGTCCTATCACAAAGCAAAGAAAAAAGCAGATATCTCCTTCGTTTTAATGTGTCAGAATGGGTGATTTAAGTTCCAAGAACACTTTCCAATACTGCAGGTTACCTTTTAAAACCCATGCTGAAGTTATTGGTTCCACGTCTCCTTCAAAAACAACGATCCGAGTCACCTCAGATCCATTTTGTGAAATAATGTAGCGCGGCTGTGGGCGTATTCCTCACAGTCTTCCTCATGTGGAAAGCTCTTACTGGAAATGTCAGGCCACTAACTCGATGGAAGCGTTTCCCACGCCCACTTCCTCAAAGAGTGGAAAGAAGGAAGCAGTTCTGTCCAGTAACAGACGAAGTAATGTACAATGATGCACAAGAACTACAGGGGAATAAATGGATACATCAAAGTGATGAAGGTGTAATGATTGTGGCCATATCGATTAAAGGTTGTGTGTATCGATCTTTCGGACTGTGATAACATAAGACCAGGAGACGTCCAGAGTGCGGGCAGCCCATCTCACAATCACAAACACGCGTTTTTATGATTGTATATTCTGCTCACTGTTCCATGACGCGAGAAATGGAAGGAAAATTGTGTTTCTACAATGACAATTTAACCCTAAAAAACAACTGTCCACTGCACGAACGAAGAGACTTGCAGTGTAATGCCACCATCTAGTGGACAATCACTGAACCGCATGTTGAAATGATTTAAAACGGATTACACGAATAAAGAAACATGACCCGTATTTGTAGAAAAAGTCAAATATGTTGTGCAGTTAGCAGCCTATTGCTAATCAAACCGATCTAGTTTCTTTATAACTAACATTGGAGAAGATCAAAGACCTTTAAGGATTTATGTTGAAAGTCTCTAACCGGAAGTCACAAGTAGGCTACTTTAATGTCTCCAGTGTTGTTGGGATGATTAAAATGTCTATCGTCGGTTTGGACCAATTACCACGTGTTTCGAAGACGTGGATTGCTCTGAGACGACTTGACAAAAATGGTTAGTAGGTTTCTGCAAGTTTAAGACTTTACAATTCGTTAGTGATTCGTTTGTTCATTTGAAACAGCTTTCTGTTGTGTCCGTTTGTGTCCATGGCAACCAGTTGCTTTATTCCTTTGACTTATTAAGCGCTTATGTTTTTTGCCATGGAAATGATGGAAGACATCATTCCCATGGCATGAATAACATATCAATGTGTTATTCACACATTCATGTGTTTCGTTGTTTTTACTTCAGTAAATTGCCACTTGTAGCTGGTCAGGCTTATTTCTATGCATGTTTAAATAGGAGAGCAGCAGCTGTAAGTGACTGTTGAGTGTTTTCAGCTCTGCTGCAATAGCCCACACCTTTGGTATGAATGAAACACCTATTTATTCTGAAGTTGGAATTCCTGTTTTATTATCTAATATGTTTTCCAACAAAATGATTAGAATGACAGGTACTTCTGCTCCATCATTTAAGAAATACAGGAAATATAAAAAATCATATATTTAATTTACCTCAAACATTCAAATCCAAAGTCCATGCTTTTTGTGTATTGGAGATTTTAAGTTCGTCACATCACACTTGTGTTGAATGTAGCCTAAATGTAGCATACTGGAGCGTAAGTGGCTTCCAGTTGCTGCAATGTTACAAAATTATATTTGCATGTTCACATCTGAGACAAAGCGATTCAAGAGATACGTCATTCCTCCAGCATATTAGTGTGAAAACAACCTTCAAGTATAAAACGTGTCTTTTTTGGCACAGCAAAAGTAAGGCGCAATAAGTCACATTTTGGAGCCAAAGAGCACTGGAAGTTTAACGGTTGACATATTAGAAAGTGGTAGAATCTCCAGTTGTGTCCGTTGCAGATGACAGAGTGGTGGCTCTTCGAGAAGTGTCTATTCCTCCAGCCGCTGAGGTCAACAAGGTCATTCAGGTGGGCAAGTGAATGTTCTTGTTCATTGATTTATTATGCATATCAATTTACATACATGTACACATATACAAATGCGTACATGTACAGTATATACAGTGTACAGCATATTTGAACATATTAATCATTTTCAGATTATCACCACTACCTTTGGGCTGAACTCTTCCGATGTCACATTCAAGGTACAATGACTCCTTCTCTCTAATGTTAGATCCCTATTACTGAAATGCATGTGTCCACAGAATATTGTTAAAATGAAAGGAAAATAGTATTTTTGGCTGTAGCTGGAATTGTCAAATGATCTCTTGTGCTTTGGTCTGTTTGCAGTTAAGGAACAACCGCGGCTGTCTGATCCCGCTCAACAGCTCGATCCCTGCCAACAGCAAGCACATGTAAGGAGTCATCTTCCACCGTGGGAATGCTGTGCATCTATTTAGTGAGCACTCTTATGAACTACTCATTCATGTCAACTAGTGGCATTTGTTTTTCACCACAGGCCTCTCGTGCTTGAGGTAGCCAAGATCTATCAGCATGGTAAGAGTGAAGTCCCGTTTTTCTTTTTAACGGGGCTTTCTTGAGGAGCTGGACAGGGTCTTTGCGTTGGGGGGGTGGAGGGGTTCAACATTACACAACGCTCTTCATAGAATAGCAACACATGACCAGCATACAGCTACATTAAAGTGTCCTAAATACTGTTTTGTTTAAGGAAAGATTAGATATTTTTTCTGTGCTGGACTTGTTGTTACTATATATTGTATTCTCCTTCACACGTCAGAAAACATGGTACTTACTGTGGACTGTATTGTTTCCCAAGTGAAACACAAATGCAGTATTAAGGAAGTTATTGATATCTGTAACGGTTCTGATCCAAGTGCGTCCGGAGCCCCGAAGCGTTCCCATGACTGTAATCAACAAGAGCATGAAGACCAGGCTACAGACCATTGACCGGAGGGTGGGTTTACCAACGGTTCATTCAGCGGTGATCAAGTATTCTGCCATGAGTCCTTTGAAAAGGCCACTAAGTAGTTTCCTCAGTATCCTCATGTGTCTTCAAGTGTCAATGAGGAGATTATCTAATGCACCAAAACTCAGCCAATGACAACACAAGATACATCTTGTCTGGTGAGGTAAGTGAGGGTGAGGAAGTTGTTTTCCTTCTGACAATTATTTGTTGTACAAAAAAGGCACAAATTATCTGAGGTCTAAGTTTTCAAATAGAAGGACTATTGGTGCAGAAATTTTGTGGCCAGAACAAGCTCAAGTTCAACTGTTTTATTATAAATATATTCTTTTTTACAACTTGCAATCCATGGTATTTTTTTTGAAAACGCTTTATTACTTTAATAATAATTTAGTACCAGAACTTGTTTTTATATTCTGTGTTTCATTACAGATTCAAAGACTGGAGGAGCTTCTGCCTCAGATCGAACTCAGACGCAACGAAAAACTAAGCCAGGTATTTAAACTTTTCTCTGGCCGTTAATTAAACACATCGATACCATGAGACGTCATGAGTGTAACCGTAGCCACTTGCTCATAGGGAATGATGTTTGATTGATATTGTTTGGTACAATGTGACACTATCACCGTGAAGGGGCATCTCTCCACATCCAATTGACCGTGGAACACTTTTTTCTCTGTCTTACTGCAGGAGATTGAATGTCTCAACCAGAAGTTGAGGTTTCTTCACAAGAAAATGCAGGTGAGTCATTCTGATCATGACTTTGTTGAAGGTGTTAGCGTTTTGAATCATTCTGATCAAACATAGAAAACACAGTTTCAATTCAGAGTTGAAAATTGAATACATGTTTTCATGTATTCTCAGAGTCTCTACATCTGCTTCTTTTCTTCCCGCATGTTATTATTATTTTTCAGGTTCATGTTTGCACACACTTCTTTGCTCTGTTTCAGGTGGTAGATTCCCACAGCTGGAAGGGGGTGCTAACCAGAGCCCCTCTGTGGTAACAAACATCCTTGTTTCTGGCTGTTTTAATAAAATACAAAGCTTCAGTGGGACAATGGCTCCACTCATCATCCACTGCAGAATTGATCTTGTATTTTTTACTTTTTTTTATATTCCTGTATACATCCTTCCAAGGAAGTATTTTCAGTAAATGACCTATTAATGGTATGTAGAACAGAAACATTAACATATTTTCATACATTACATTACATGTCATTTAGCGGACGCTTTTATCCAAAGCGACGTACAATAAGTGCATTCAACCATAGGGTACAAACTCAGGAGAACAAGAAACAAGACAGTGCAATTTCCTAAAATAAGCCAATTTACAATTTGCTATAGATTAGTGACGTTACAAGTACAATTTAAGTGCTACAATTTGTTAGTCTTTAGTCGAGTCTTCTGCCTGCAAATGTTTTAAGCAACTACAGTACATATTTGTGAGACTTTTGTGGAGTGCGTTACTAGAATTACTTTAGATGTCAAGGTTTTGTTTGACCAGTCATACAACCCAGTGAAATAAAAGAGAACAAGAGAGATTGTCTATTGTTTTGATATACAGCTGCAATACAGAACACAACCACACAGCCGTTGTTAACTTTGATCTCAACAGCATCAGATGTTACAGACACGGTTAAAGCGAAAGGTTTGCGTCGTTCTTTGCCAGATCAAAAAATATATATATATATATATATATATATATATATATATATATATATATATATATATATATGTATATATACACACAATACACTAATTAAATCCCTCCAGTAGGCGGCGACAGCGCGCCTCGACTCCTTCTCTCCAACCGCCAGCAGATCAAAAACAAGCAGAAGAAGAATGCAGAGAGACGTTACGAGTTAGAAATGGACCTAACTTGTACGCGTTTGGGTTCTTTACCCCTGAATCCTCGTATTGTTCCATCGTGTTTTAGAGCAATGGTTCCAGGCAGCGTTAGCGGACTCGTTGTAACACTCGGGCGTCGCGTCGTGAGAAGTTAGCTTACGGCTAAACTTGTAGCTAGCTGCGGCTAAACGTGTAGCTACCTCGGAGCGACTCCTCGTTAACTGTCCGCATCGCGGGGCTGAATGCCTGCTCGCCGGGCTCTGGTGGACTGCGTCGTGTTGTCTGTGCAGACAGCAGGTGTGTTTTATCCGTGCTGCAAAGACTGCCTCTCAAGGATTGAAGTTGAGCAGCGGGACACGACGAGGTAAACAAACAAAAACCAAAAACTCATATCAGTTCTAAAGGGGCGCGTTTTGTCCATGTATTGTATTTTACAAAATGTTTTAGTCTTTGGAGTTGCCTGAGGAAACTGTAAAACAAAGCATCTCTCTCAAAACAGTTCATTCAGAGGTGATAAATCTTGAAGCCATAAATGAATTAGTTCTTGCTGTTCTAATTATCTCTCTGAAACCCACTCACACACCCATTCCCCCCCCTGTTTTTTTGTCACAGATGCAGATGCTTAAAGTGTGGTTACAGCTGTCCGAGGGAACAGCTGGACTACAGATATCGTCTCTCACTGAAGGTGACCCGGAACAGCTGCATATTTGGATTAACTGTATTCGGAACATGCTTGAACCCATTCTTTGGCATCCATGCGAAGGGTTTACAGAGGTGAGCTCAAGGAACTCAAACTGTCTGGAGGGTGAATTCATTTTTCTGTGTTGTAAAGTGTATTAAGCTACTATGATTTTAGTAAAAAGGAAACTAGTGTTAAGTGTGGGGTCTTTTCCCCTGAAGTAAAAAGCATGGTGGATTTCTGTTTCTGTGACGTTGCAGGTTGGTGGAGAACTCGGACGGAGCATCAAACAGATCCACATTGCTGATGAAGGCTGTTGAGGATTGTTTCATTGGCAGACATTTCGTCTTTGGCATAAAGGTACAATTGTGATGATCTATTGCTATAATCAGCTGATATCAGCTTATTACATACATATAGCAGACATTTATGTAATGTCTATATGTCTGTAATTTCTAAAGGTCAGGCCAATAAGTACCACAAAAGTGTTTGTTCTAAAATGCTACTGCATCAACACGCTAATACAATATTAAATCATTTAAAAACTAAAGCGCACATATGGCTGCAGAAAACATGTGTTTTTAAGTACATTCTATTGTTTATAGAATGGCCTATCTTATACAAGTAACATTTTAAATGCAATACTTTTTAACCTGTGCTCTTATTATTATTTCACTTAATTAAATTATTTTGGTACCTCCCCTACCACGGCCCGTCTTTACCTGCTTGCACTTCCATCCGCAATCTCCCTCACGGTGGCCGACCGTCTTCGTTGCACTCTGGAGAGCGGCTGAAAACAGATCTCCAAAAGTTAGCTGAATGTCTATCGTCTGTCTTTCTGTCAACTAATCAATTACCCATATTAAACTATTTCAGTCTGTACCAAAGTGGGGGGCTGACAGACCACCAGTTTTTGTCAGGCCATAATCACGCCTATTCTAACAATATGTCATGTGCTTCATTCAATTCTGGCTGCATGGTCTCAAACATCCCTGGTCTTGTCTTTGTCCTTTTTAGGTACCTGAAACAGAAAGTCTGCCTTGGGTTGGAGCACCTGTTGCGAATGTTTGCAGCAGTAAAGAAACGGTCCACTTTATTGCCACTCAGATGATTCTCCCCAACGCTACAGGCTTGGGAGGCTGGACAGTAGTCAGTTACTATCGGATGCTTCTTCAGAAAGCGGCATCCACCGATTCCAGCCAAACCCGCGGACCCCCAGCAGCAACCCTGCTGCTGATTCCTCACCATTTTCCAGCCGGCAGCTTCAATCGTTCCAGACTTTCTGCCTCAGATCTTCTTTCCCACTCACCACCAAGGTAACGACATTAGGAAGCTACTGACGCTTTCGATCTGATCGTTATCTCCGCCAGGCGTATTCTAAGGAGACTATGAGATGTTATGTGTGGATCATATTGTTTTTGTTGAAGAAAATAGTGGGTGCTGATATCGGCTCAATGGTGAAATAATAAAATATGAAGTAGAGCGCGTTGAACGCTGCTTAATTTACATCTCATCCATCTCTCATGTGCCTCTGATTGTTTTCATTGCTTTCATTTGAATCCTAGTTCACAGTGCCAAGATGGCACCCTTTCCCCCACCCCTCCATGGGAACAGTCCCTTGGACTGGTCACCTCATCGGCAGAGCCGGAGGAAGGCTGCAGTCACCTGTCTGGTGGAGATGAGATCAGCCGACGGACGGGAAACCAAGAAGCGCGACCGTGTGCTCAGAGAGGCTCCCCCGAGGACCATAAAGTCAAAGAGGAGAAAGCGCTGTCCCCTCCCCTTTCGTTGGGGTGCTTTGGTAGTCCATCATTTTCCAAATACCAGAAAGCGGTTGAAAACGCGTCGGTCCTGAACCCTTGGATCAGCCCCCCCCCACGAGGCCACAACATCGGCAATGAGAGGGGGTTTTCCACCAGACGACCCGCCGACACAGTCTTGTCAAGCCCCTCGGCCTGGGGAGATTTTCCTTTCTCAGAGAGTCTTTCAGAGTATTGGTGTGAAGATAACAACCATCTTGACATTGTTGTTGAAACAGAGCCGCATCTTAACGACCTGCAAATCAGTTCACATGGCAAGAAGGTTTCACGCAAATCAAATTCTACTTTTCAAAGTAACGCACAGATAACAGGCAGCCAATCGCAGATATTACTAGAAATCACCGATAAACCTGTACTGAATGGAGGGGACCGACGTGATTTACCTGACCAGATATATAAGAACCCCGTTAGATGTGCATTCAAGAGTCAGGCCGAATTAGTTTTTACCCATGATGAGTGTAATCGGCAAATGGAGAAAGCACCATTGTCTTCCGAAAACGAAGAAGAGCAGCTTGAAGGTGATATCTACAACTGTTCGGCAGACCTATTCGGTGGCTCGCTCCTTTCCGAAATGACCACAAACAAACTCTGCACACGTGCCGAAAGGGTCAGCGCGCCCGCAGAAGCTTGCCTGCTGCTTTCCAAAGCTAACAAACAATCCCTGAGGAGCGAAAACGATTCCCTTTCAACACCAAACAAACATAAACGGAAGAGTAAAAAACGCATCAAAAGAGATTGTTTATTTGCAACAGACAACCAAGAAGTTGACTTTATCCCTCCCACCCAGTCCACCCCCATTGTAAAAGTCGCTGTTGTGAGACGCCCACCTGCCTCCACACACAGAGACTCGACATTAGCCGAAATCAGTTCACGACCCGACGGTCACGATTCATGTGCTTTCCAAAGAAATCTGCCTGAATTTGTGCTGTCAAATTCACTCATGTCTCCTCTTTGTGATTTGAACTGTGTCGGGGCCGAGCAGCGGCACGGCAGAGAGTCTATAAAAGAGAACCTGGATTTGAAGAAGACTTCCAGTCACAGATTTACTGCTGAAAGGGGCCTCTGGAAACCTGGCGAGCAAATAAAGCCTCTGCTGACTCAGCGGCACCCGAGGGTCCAGAGAGGGACCCAAAAGGCCGCGTCCATCGGAAGGATCAACCGCAAACGCTACTCAAGTGATTGTGACGTGAACGTCAATGATTATGAGGACGGTGAGGTAATTATTCCCCCAACTCCTGTCCCTGAAACACGACCGAGTGTGACTCTCAGAAGAAGAATGCAGAGTGGAGACGGCAGCAGTCATTTCCATTATCCTAAAAACGTTCAGTGTAAAAAAACTCTGTTAGAAACTTTCACATCATCACAGGGAGGTCCGGCACAGACGGATCATTGTGACAGTAAGACGGTTGAGGAGGGGATTCAGGACGGACCCCGTTGCTACCTCGAGGATAATAACAACGAGGCCTGTGATTGGTCAAGAGACCTTTTCTCTGACTCAATCTGAGAGGTTCTGTGGGACACAGAGGGCCTCGACACATTGACACAAAAAATGTTTTTAAAAGTATGTCATCCAGGACTTTACTGTGCAGAAGGGTCTGGGAATAGATCATAAATATCAAATGGTAAACAGTTTAAAGGAACCTACGTGTGAATCCCCTTAGTTGCACCATCTTCTGCTATTTGCACTTTAATATTTAAAATGTGGGTTCGGCAGGCACACGTGTCAGCGTACAGCTACCAGTGACAAATGTGCAGTAAAATGAGTTGATATCAAAGACTCACCATGAGCACCCGATCCATGCAGTTGGATTACCACATATTTTGAGTGATTTATTTTTAAAGAATGATTTTTTTTAATATGCTTTTAGATGATTTAAGGTTTCATTGGAAACAGATTGAGATCAGATTAACTTTAGAACATCGTACTGTCCTTTTTTGTACCTCGTTTTTGTATTTTGACTATTCGTTGACTCACAACACTGTCAGTTCTCCTCCCTTTATTTACAACCATGAATGCTATTTAAGTGAAGTAAAAGGATGATGTGTATGTGATTTGATTGCTGGCTGGTAAATTAACTGATTTAAAATATTAAATTCTTAACACTGGCATTTCTTTTGTGTTCTAACACTGCCCGTGTGTTTGTGTAAACAGGACAATACCTTTTGCAGAAAGCCACTGTGTATGTGTGTGTGTGTGTGTGCGCGCCACAGAATGTTGGCTCAGTTCCCTCCAGTAATAAAAAAATGTAAATATATTCTTGGGTGGCAGCTAATGTAACACCACGTGTCTGTTTATGCGGTTTGAAATACAAGCTACTGTATGTGCAAAGTGCCCATTGGGAGGATCTCAATGTAACAATCTGGCCTAAAGGAGGAAACTACATACGCATCTGACTTGTTCTCTTTCTCTTGGGAGAAAAAGAAGTGACTGCTTGCTCTGTATTCCCCAACAGAAACCTGCAGAGCAAGTAACATGAAGGACATATTAAAAAGCAAAAACATGTACAGATTTTGAAAGAATGTAATACACATTGTACAAAAAGGATTTTAATATTTCATAACTTGCAGTTTCTCCTCGTAGAATTCAAACTGATATAATTGATTGGACATGTCACAGACTACTTCTTCTGTGTGTATACTACATGCTACAGTGCATGAAGTATCTGACCATGACCTCTGACCGCTTTGTAGGAGACAGACATAAAAAGGAGAATACTTAAGGAATGAAGTCATTCTTCATATGTATGTATGACAGACACGGTTCTGGTACTTATTTCTTTATTCACTGCATATGTGGATACTTGATACTAAAATGTCTTCCCTGATACAATATTCTTGGGATGTTCATATAAATACTGTCTCTGTATGCTGCAGTCCTGTGGGTTTGTCTCCGTATATCTCCACACTGTCCACAACTGACCACGCAGATTGTAACGTTAGACGAGAGTGCTCCTTATAAAGGAGTGTGTGATTTTTTTCTCTGATGTGTACAGTGTGCGTAGAGAGTAGACCGGGACTATACAGCGCCGAGGTTCTTCTCTTCATTCAGCTGCAGGCAACACCTGCAGGAGCTTTGCACTGCACACAGTGGACGTCCGTTGCTCCTCTCCTTGTGTACCATGAAGGTAAGAGAATCATTTAGACTTGACGTACATCTTCAAATAGTCTGTGTTAGTGCAGCGACTACTCTGACATACACAGGTATCTGGGTATTTTTTTCTTTTTCATCTTGATGCGATGTGACAGTAAGACAAGTATGTATTGCCGTATGTAATTGGACGACAAACCGGTAAACCTTGACAGTCTATTACCTGTTTAAGCTTTCAGCAAAAGTAATCAAATATATTCAATCTTATAAAAAGAAACGACTGGAGCTAATTTGACCTTCTTCTGTGGCATTCTTTTGTTCCATCTCGTAATGTGAGGAGCAATAACCACTAATGACTGAGCCCTGTACTCAGGTGGGACCCTGTGCCCCGGTTGCTGGCAGCCACGCTGTGATGCTGTTGGCAAATCTGAACCGCCAAAGAGAAGTAGCTCAGTTCTGTGACTGCGTGGTCAGACAGAGACAGAACCCTGGTCATCTCCACTCTGCACACAGGTCAGCCGCATGGACATTAACCACTAGGTATTGGTGTAGTAATAAAAAGAAGTGGGAGTCTTACAATGATCTAGCGTCCCGTATTGAGCAGCTCTTTCCTCCACCAGGTGTGTCCTGGCAGCGTCCAGTCCGGTGTTGGCATCTATCTTGTCCTCGGCTGGTGCCTTGGTGGAACTGAAGGCTCCGTGTCTGTCCGACGCTGTACTGCCGCTTCTTTTGGACTTCATATACACGGGGGCTTTGCCGCACAGCCGCAACCAGCAGCAGTATCACAACCTGCTCATTGCCGCTCGCTACCTGCAGATGGACGAACTGCAGGAGGCTCTGAGGGCTTGACGGCGGACTGAGGACAAAAAAGATGCAAGCTCTTTCAGTAATGCCAGCACCTGTTGTAGTACATCTGAAAGCAGTATAAATACAGGCAACTGCAGACAAGTTACTTATCTGACACTTCAGGATTTGATTCAAAATACCTCTTGCATTGCTGAAATGTGCAGGGTATCTGGAGTGGACAAAGAGGTGCAAAAGGATCTGTTACATCCAGCTCATTCCCATTCAGCATGCTCCTCCTCCTCCTCTTCCTTCTCCTCCTCCTCGTCACCACATCTGTACTCTGGGGCGGTGCCTGTGATATGTCACAGCAGTAGAGCAGCTATGCTCGAGCTGGCAACAATCCCTCATCCTTACCACGGAGCATCTCAGGCCTCAGTCACCTTCAGCAGGGCCCCCGACTCACGACAGGGAAGCACAGACAGCAAGGCTGGAGGCGTCACACACAAATACCTTCATGAGTCAGGATACCGCTGTGATCGGGATAACAGAGAGGGAATGCACCATAATGGGACACAGATCTGGGATTACAGGGACGGTTCAGAGCATTCCGACGTCCTAGCAAACAGCAGCAATAATCATCATTTGATAGGTCGGAATGATGAACATATGAGGAATGCTTTGCCAAAAATGACAGTTGATAATGATTGCCATGCTCATTGTGATTCGTTTCAGAGCAAGAATAAAATCAAATATTTTAGGGATGATTCAGTGTGAGTAAGAATTGTTGCAATTCCATCAGAGGGTCGCAGTATGAAACCGATCTGAGTTCTGATTATTTCTCCTCCAAACATCGGCGACTGGATTGTTCTGAAGGCCAGAATGTCCGCATGGCAACAGCAGCGCGGGAGCAGTTAATTCACTCACAAGATCCGAGAGCCTCGCTCCCGCCTCCTGTACGTAACTCCGCCATGGGAGAGAGCCAGAGGGAGGAGCTAAAGAAGAGCACAGTTCAGCAGAGACACATATGCAGACCAGCCACTGCACCACAGAGCCACACCTCACTTTTACAATGTCTGTGGACCACAATGTTTCCCGCCCCGTCCATTCAGACCAGTCCAGTGATGAGGAGGAGGTTGGTACCTTTGGTTACAGTCCTCGGAGGCAGCACTTTGCCACAGGAACAACAGACCAGATTTTACTGCCGGACATCGGTGCCAAACCTTCTGACTCGCTAGTCGCTAATGCATGCAGCCAAAAAGCAACCTTTCTAAACAGATTTCGGAACAATGAAGAAGAGGCATGGAATGAAGTAATATCTGAAGCACAGTTTGACACAAAAACCAATTTTGATGGAAGAAAATGTGTTGCTACAGACCAAAGCAGGCCAGGAGCTGAAGTCACACGTGAAGCCGGGTTTGCAGGGGTGGTTTCCGATCCTAACGACGCTGGAAACCAGACCAGTACCACGAGGGTCTGTTCGCCTCCTGGTGCGCCGTCTGCCTGCTGGCCGACGAATGTACCAGATCGCCAGCCAACTCCCGTTCAGCCCTCTTTCCAGTGCTCTCTGTGCGACCGGCGCTTCAGCCAGCAAGGCTCTCTGAATAGGCACGTGCGCAGCCACCTCGGCGTGCGGCCCTTCTCCTGCTCCCGCTGCCCTATGACCTCTCACGTCAGTACCGTGTCACGGAGCACATGCGTGTTCACCAGCGCTTTGTCCTCAGGAGTGACTTTCAACCTGCCTCTTCTTCGATTACAAACACGGAGAGTCCTCAAAATTTGAATTTGATCTGATTGTTTGCATCAGTTTGTCATCAATACTTCTGCATTATTAACATTGTCTTTCATATTTTGCAAGTATATGGAGAACAAGTACTTAGATAAATTAGATATAGTGATAAGATACATTTTTTAATTCTTGGATATCCGGGTCTTACAGAAGCTAATGATTATCACTTATAAGGCTGTAATGGTGGCCATTTTAAATTATGAGTAAAAGCAGTCAAAAAAAGCATATGAATAAATCTGTAACATTTTGTTATTAACTGCATATGAACCACTAATGACGAAACAAATGGTTGGTGGAGTTTTTCTTATTCACAGTGTGTTTTTGCAGTCCTGTAGTAACCAAACTATCAGTTAAGAATTGTGCATTTTGTGATTGATCATCCGTTGATCTTTTACTGCAACAGAAGAGGTAATCGTATGCTGTATATTTCTATTTTTGCATGTTTTCTCCAGGCTAATTATTTTTCAGATTTACATTTTGACCCCATTGGGTCAAGAGTGTGAGCAATTTACGAGGCCTTTCAATGTAAGGCAGACAACTCGTAATTTACTCTTTTTGTACAAGTTTCACAACAACACTTTTACATAATACAAATCATATTGTAGCATTTTTCTACAAGAAAATAAGCAACTAACAATCTGAACCCACTGCAAGACAAGAAACTTTCTTTTGATGTCATGACTATTAAAGTGTGGACTCATTTTAAGTTATAGTTTACTTTCCTTCTTTAGTAAATTATTCAAAATATGACCTGATATGACCTATAACAAGTTTTTGGGGGGTGGGGGGTAAAAAGGAAGGGTAGACCACTGGCCTTATTTAAATAACATCCCATTCCCTGCTCATATTACAAAATCTACCAGTGCTATGTCTCACATGCTGTCCTCTTAAAGTGAGGACACGGCGCTTAGTGTCATTTGTACTTAATGTTGTTTACTGCTGAAACACAAGCTCACGTGGTAAAAACAGAACGCCAAGGGCAGCCAAGGCCCTTTTGCAAGGGACAAGAAGAAGGACGGGATCACATCATTCTGTATTCAACACTTTAATTGAAAACAGAACAGTTTATGATTAAGAGTATTTACATTACATTTTCAAGTTCAAATGATGCCACTCTCTTGCTTAAAAAGAGAAGTTATACACATGTTTAAGAATTTACATGTTTAATATCACAGCCAATGATATGGTTACCTGCATGTAGACAAAAACGGAGGGAGATGAAGGTGAAACAGACAGAAACATGGACAACATGAGCCCTGCAAAGCCCCCAAATCAATGAATTCACCTGGTAAATAAAAAATAAAACTAAACAATAGACAATATGTCTATGTAAATTATCTGGAGGGCCTCTTTTATTACATATTATATAAAAAGCCATACTGTAATATATCTCAAAGATAGTAGTAATAAGGTACGGTAAAAGTAATAGTATAGTGAAAAGTAATAGTTTAGTGTGTCATAATATGTAGTCAAGTATGTCATGACAAAACAAATATGGTATGTCATGTCATGCCAGAACAAGTCAATTATCCACAATATCGACACAGACTTCAGCGGCCCGCATGTATGTCAGCCATATCTCCAACATGTCGTACTAATCCTGAAGTCAGGACTTGTTGATAATCTTATATGCTACTCGGTCAACAGCGTGCTGCCCATTTGTTCAAATAAGAGCTGCTTTATGACATAATAACCTAATGTAATGTGAAGCTTCATTTAAATGTAAACTGTCAAATCTCAAGCAAACTTGTTGTTGATGAGAACATGAAGAAATGCAGACCCTGTGCAGTCTTGTCGCTCTGTGCTGAAGCTCAGTATTAGCTCTTGTAAAAAGTCCACATCTGGAGCGTCCTCAGGATTGGGGATTTTGGAACGATCAGTTCATTTTGAACACAACCAGTACTAACCCACCAAAGCATTATTCGTGCTTTGGTAGATTAACTTCCTTTATTGACATGTACTGTGATGAAAGACATCATTCAAGAATATAAATACATACTGTTATACTGTCATTGTTTTCAACCTGGCCAAGGTTTTCTCCAGGGGGGTGAAAGGACCAGTAACCATGAGGACGAACAGAATACTTCCTGTGCCAGATAAAGGTATTTTTCACTTAAACGTATACATATTAACATTGTTAATTTGCTGAAAGAGTTCTTTGGTAGTGCAGTCTCTGTGAAATAGAACACTTTTGTGTCAATCGAAGCATTATTTTTAGTCTGTCATGCATGTGTTGTGGTTAACAGTTAACAGCATCCAGTGCCACATTATGCATAATGGACATCAAAAGACAAATAATCATTGAGTGCAGACAATAAGCTTCGTTTGTTGAAACAACGAATCAACAACATTAGCAATTCTTGGCTTTCCAGTCCAAAATGGTGGACTCCTAAAAGACGGCCAAACTTCTCTCTGTGTGTGTGTCTGTGTGGACGGGGGCAGCTCCGTTGGGACGGGTCTCATGAGGAAGGAATGTGATTAAATAGTTTGAGAGAGAGAAAGGGGAAGCAAGACAAGGTTTTGATTGATTGACACATCTGTGCGCTGTTTTTCAACCTACACAATAGCAGCGTTCAGTTTTTTTTTTTTAAGTTTCAAATGTAGCAACATTAAAATACGTTCATTATGTACAATGGAAGAGTCAAACAAAATAGAGAAATCATCGTTGAGTTTATTAACAAAAATTGATTGTACAGATTTATTCAAACTATGTTGTTAACATTATGCTGCATACTGCTCGGTAGGCTGCTTCACAGTGCATCATCTTGAAACGGGAAAGAAAAACTGGATCTGAAGAACCATGTCAACACAGAGACACACTGCATCACTGGTCAGTTTCTGTACATCTTTCACAGAAAGAATCAAGTGATAATCAAAAAACAGATGATTTCATTTAAATGTTTGGGAATCATTGGGTTCCTTAAGAAGAAGAAATCTATCTCTAAGAATGACAGAATGATCTTTTGAGTGTAAACTGTGTGTATGAACTGTGTGTTTTGGGCAAGTTGACATGTGTTTATGTGTTTGACAATGAAGACAGTACTCGAGCGATGCGCTTCACTACAAAGATCAGGTGACATTCGTCTAAATAGTTATGCATCGTATTTTTACATCAGCGTGCGACAAACGCATCTTTTTTTGTTAAAACAATTTACACTGGTCTCCCCAACGGCATATTAACATGAGTTCAAAAGGGCAACTCCCCACTAGCTCTTTTAGCTAAAGGAAATCAGAGTACACATCTGTCTTTTTTATCCAATATAGGACACATCAAATATCCATTTTAAATTCTCTCATTTTAAACTCTGATTTGGGCAATTTGTCAGATGACTTCTTAAATTTGGAAAGATTTTAAACATTTGAAAATATGACACGTTATGCAAATGAAACAGCCAGGCTTCTATCTCACATAAATGCAGTACAGTAGATATTATATTATTATTTTATTTAATAAATAGAAACAAATGAAAAAAATCAATAACAAAAATAGACATGTTTGTGAAGACAAAAACTGTCAGTGTTTGAAGGTGCTGCATTTATAATGTTAAATTAGATCACTGATTAGTACTGTAGATAAAAGTTTACTAATCTGAACTCCACAAAACTGTAAAAATATGACCATAGGTCCGATAGGCTCTTCTATAGTAATTGCATTGATAAATAATTATATGTAATAACATACATGCTGGGTCACTTTTATTCCACATTCTAGCATTTTCACTGGGAGTCACTTGCATTGACCTGCATCCATCTTGTGCTTCTTTAAGGAGCATGAGGAAATGTGCCACAGCCACATCTTTCACAGTAGCTCAGTTAGAAGACCAACACACATTTAACTGGACCTGCAAAGGAGTTTGCCTTAGAATGTTATTGGATACAGTAGCTGTGATCTATTTGCTTGTTCTGGTCGGCTTTAATTCTATGTAATGTTGTGTCGTGCAATGTTAGGTGTTTTTTAAGTGCTGTATTGAAAGATTTACACCTGCATATCTGGGCCAAGTGAAACCAAGGCTAACTATCTCCTCTAACTATTTGGTGTATATACTATTGCATATGGAGTCAAATGTATAATTTGCTTACTTAAAATGAGAGATGCACCAACAGGTTTGAGATTCAAAAGGTACATGTCATCTATGTTTTATTATTAATTGTTGATTGTTGTCGGGCGGAGAATCTGGTGGTGTAAAATATTTGTGTTGTTATCTGATTTGTATGGTGAGTCCTTACATTTCAGTGGAATTAAACCAATATTTAGGTAAAGTTTTCGGGTTGACTATTTTAAAATAGGCTTTTTCAAGGTGATACGAGAAGGGATGACCAAATATTGATCCCAGGTTCAGTGCAGTGTAACTCAGTGCACTTTAAAATGAATGATATATGACTGTTTCACTGTGTTGAGCAATCTGTCAGTTAGCTGTTTGTGCCCCTTCCATCTGGCAGGAGGCTGAGGTCCATCAGGACTAAGACCTCGCGCCACACCAACAGTTTTTTCCCGTCGGCAGTCGGGCTCATCAACAGAGCCCGGTCCCCCACTGACTGACTATAACATTCCACCGGTCACTCGCCTTCACACTGCACATGTCACTTTAACTGCAATTTTTCACTTTGTCGTCACTCGCCACTTTGTCACTTGTTCGTTAGTGCACTTTATGCTTAATATTTTTGAACTTTTTTAATATTTTAAATTTTTAACTCTAACTTTATTCCCTTGTTTTATACTAACCCATAGCCTTATTCTACTAACCCATTGCATTAGCATTTCATTTTACTTTATTTTATCACTTGTGCACTGCTGTCTTGTTGTCTATTGTTACACTGTCTACTGTCACGCACCAACCGCCAAGACAAATTCCTTGTATGTTTGACATATTTTGGCAATAAATGCTTCCTGATTCCTGATTCCTGAGCTAGTTAGTGTTGAAATTCAGCAGCGATTTCTTCATAAAAAGAAATTGTTGGGCTTATTTTTTATGAACCGTGAACTCCGTAACAACATCTGTAACAGTGTGCGCTCTGTTCACTGATGCTGTTCAAGGTGGTTTGTCTCTGAATCAGTAGTCGCAGTATCGTATCTGAAGTCTCTGATCCTTGAGTGAGCTGGCGGTTCAGTCATTTATCAGAAAAGGTTCTTTGATTTTAAAATGACCAACAGCTTCACTCTGAAACTGGGCTGTCGCCTTCACGGTGAGTCAGGAAACCTCGTTCTCAATGACAGCGTTCTCAATGACACATTTTCTCAGCGTGTCTCAAGTGTCACTGAGTCTTCTTGCTGTTTGGTGCCGTCAGGAATTTGTTCGCGCCAGTAGTTAACCTGCTCGAAAGTGTCAGCGCACTGGACGTCTGCTTCCCCTTCTAGATCCAGGACCGGGAAGTCATGGTCAACCATCTCGCACAGACGCCCGAAGCTGAGAGGGAGATGATTTCAAACTTTAAGCATAATTGAGACGTCAAACATCCGTAAACACATGGATCCAGAGTCAGATCACATACGAAAGAGACAATGTAGCTTACGAAGAGATATTGGTTTTGGCATGCTCCTGTATCAGCTCTCCCTTGGGATTGACAGTGAAAATCCGGTTCAGAGGAACGCCCACCTCCTTATAGGAATACACATCCTGAAATCACACATTAAACAATCAGCACGACTACTGAACAAGAAGTACCAACCAAATGATGAGAAAATACACGCTTTTGTACATGTTCATGTGCAGCCGTCTCACCGTCGCTCTGTTGCCGAAAGCAGCGTAGAAAGGCTCCGTGTTTGGGAAGAACAGCTGCTTTATGTCTGAGAGACATTCAATCTTAAACTTCTCCGGTTTCTTCTCAATCACCTCCCTGAACAACATAACAGGAAATAGAACAACCATGAGCTCCACTGGAAAAAGTTTTTCTTGATTAATATCAAATTCGTACTACTTCAGAGTAGCATTTCGTATTGGGCGTGTGTACCTGACCTGTGTAAGGCAGAGAAAAGGCTGCTGGGACTGAGCAGCACCGGGCCTATTGGCAGCATGGTCCCCCTCTCGTTGACCCAGTGCAGATATCCTCGTGTCATGTCGGCCATGCCAATGGCCCTCGCTGAGCAGTACATGAATTTATACCCATTCCTGTGACACCAGACAGTGCTTGTGCTTAAATGTGTAGCCAGATTCCATTTGTAGAGAAAGACGAAATGATTCAACTTAAGATTTTTATATGATTGCAAATTAAAAAGTATGACTCACAGGCTGACTTTGTGGTAGAGCCGTGCAATGCCCTGGTGGGTCCAGTCTTTGCCCAGTGTGGGCAGGATGTGACCCAGGGTGTCTGACCTACAGCGGGACAAAAGAAAAGCGACATCACACAATAAACACACATACACTTAAAGAGGCAAACCACCCACCCTGAATCGGCCTTACCTGGTAATGGTGCCATCTATATCCGAGATGACAATCTTGTCATCCCAGCTCCAAAGATAGATGGTGCCGTGGCAACGACAGGTGCCCTGATACTGAGTGGTCACACTGAACACCACGTCATTAGGACCTTCCTTCAGCTGCAGGCTGGCCTGTAAACACACAACAGATTCACTCCAGTGCAGTGATAGATACCGTGATCCATAAAGCCACACCTTTCCGTCCATTGCAACCCTTTTGTGATTGAAAGCGATTGGTCCAAGGGCAGACAACATATCCATGCTTGTTGTATAAGTAACAAGACACTTTGTCTGCATTTGTGTCTTGCTCTGTCATTAAATGAAATATGCAAAAGCTGCGTTATCAACTGACTTATTGGCATGTTTTATTCTCATCAGGGTCAATAAAACCAGCAGCAGTAATACATACCAGTTGCTCCGAGGTGAGCCGAAGCGTCTTCTTAAAACAGACGCTGCCAGAACTCCCAGGAAGCTCTGATTGGCAGGATCCTGACGCCTGAATGGATGATGCGTGGTCCTCATCACTGGAGGATGACTCGTCCTTCATCCTGAAAAAGGGCAACCAACTTGGTGGGACTACGAAAACGGAAGCAAATTGGGGCGACGAGAGGGAAATGTTTTGTTTTAAAAGAGAAAAAAGAAAACGAGAAGTTACCTGTTTCCTGCGGGCAGAGCGAGTGAGCTCTCTCCACTGTCTCCACCCGCTTCAGTCACTGATTCCTGAAGTGCACAAATGTCAAAGTTCAAAACTGGTTTAATCAACCGAAACATTGTTTGGCGTGTTATTGTGAGTCTAGAAACCTTTGCCTTCATTTGTCCTATTTGACACTATTTATAGTGTAAACAGTAAAAGGGCTTCATACAAAGCTCACTTATAAAATGTGTATATCTGCACATACTGATTTGGAGTCGCTATTCCGGCTCCTCCATGAGAACCACCAGCGTCCTCCTTTCTTTGGCATCTTCTCCTTCATGATGTTCTCCACTGAAGCCTGCAGACAACCATGCACATACAAACTGACTGAAAATGCAACTCAAAACTGATATAAAAATAACTCAAAACAAAGTGATGCACAAAACACAAGTAAATCCTTAATCAAATGACGGGAAAGCACAAAAAAAGTACGATCATGTAGAAAAACCACACAAAACTCCAACTAAATATGCAAAATGAAGATGTGTACAGGTGGATTTTAAATGATACACAAACAAAAAGAGAAAAGGTTGCAAAGTAAAACCTTAAGGGGAGGGAGTGAATGCTGGGACTGGAGCAGTAGGGAAAGCACACAGACAGGAGAGAGAGACATGGTGGCCAGTGGTGAACACTGATGGCAAAAAACAAACAGACAGTCAAAGACACGGCGTGACGCTCGAGCAAAGCAAGAAAACATCGTACAGGCTGCGAGGCGCCGGAGCCAAACAGACCGGGGAGGCAGTATGAGAAGAGGCCGAAAGCAGAAAACACGTAGCTCAGACACCAACACTTGGTACACACAAAGATTGCATGGATGTTGGGACACAGAAAAAATTAGGCGGGGGATAAACACATGACATTATTAGTATCAATAACAATACTGTCAGCTTTGTCCACTGCGAATAATCAAATTGAATTTTTACAATAACTAAAAATGTTTTATTACTTTGCGAGCCAGAAACAAATGTGAACACACATAGAATCTGATTGGCCTTTCATGAAATTAAGAGAGGACACTCGCAGTTGACAAAACTGAAGTGACACGTCGGATTAGAGACAATTAATACTAATTAATAATTGCAAAATGCTGGCAGTAAAGTGAGAAAGTGTTGGGGGAAGTTGTGCAATACACCACCACAGCACCACACACAAATGAATTATAAAATTAAAGTGATCATATAATATAATATCGTTGCCTAGAAACTCCAAATATTCATTCTATACGGTACAGATTTACGTTAGGACAGGAATGTGTAGTCCCTGGTGTTTTTATTTGAATCCCACAATAAAAAGCAAAGAGGGCTTACTGTGCATCATTACAATTTGAGGCATTTGTACTTCACTTGATTTTTTCAACGTCACACAACAGCAATTTTAAGTGCTATTAATTCAAATTAAGTGAGAAATAATGTAGCCTAGTGTATTTATCTGAGAGCTGTAGTGAGTGCATTTTATAGATTACAAAGTAATGCAGCAGTAACAATCATGAAGTAATATAATACACTGTGTTATACGTTTGATACAAGTTTATTTTGATGATATAACTGTATATACCTTAATTTAAATAAATACCGAATCCATAAACTCATGTTATAAAACATAAAGGAAACAAATGAATGTGAATATCTACGTATTACTGCGTCGGTCTTACCTGTGGCAGCGGCTTCTGATAGACCTGCATGGCCAACATGACAGGAGCCGCTGTGCTCCAGTTGTAGTACCTACAAAAGATAAGAGAGGGCGCTATGAGCGCTGTTTTACACCTCAGTTCTTTCTGACGAAAGACACCTGTCGTACACATAAATACATATGTCCTCTCCGGTCTTTGTGCTAAAAATGCTCCCCAGCTGCCATCGCTAACTTCTCATTTAAAGTAAACATAAGACAGATGTATTTTATGTATTTCAGGCAAGAAATCAAACAAGCGGATTGCCCCAAATGAGTAACTATTCCGTTTAGCTCAATAAGTATTGCCAGTTCTAATGTGAACGGCACTTAAGTAGTGAGTAGCTATAGTGTAGCTGTACATACTTGCTTCCTATCTTGACCACCAGGTTAGGGTCGTCGATTATAGAAGGATTTTCAGAGAACTTCTGGAAGGAAATTGCCCTTTCCTGGAACTGCTCTGTGACGTTAAATACACACAAACACAGTGCATATGAAGGCAAGAAGATTCACAGGTTGATGGACGCCATTGATCACGAGGACAGAGCAGAACTTGAACCTTATTTTTTGCGCATTCCTTTTCCCCACCTCTTGTTATCTCGCTGTTGTCAGTGAGTCCTCCGCACAGAGATATGGCCACGTGAGGCAGGTCCCCGACCTGGTCGGACAGACTGTCCACGCCGCTGTCCACCCCGCTGCTGCCCACCGACTGTGGGGACTGATTGGCACTGCGCACTCCCATCACCATCATCAGCTCGGAGTCCCCTCTCATTGAGCTGCTGCCTCCGTCACTGAGGAAAGAGGGAAACACACAAACATGTTTGAAAATAATGGTTGTGACGTATAGGTCAATTAAACACCAGCCTGCAGGGCCGTTAAATACACTGTCAGTTTTGTAAAGTAGCTTTAAACAGCTCCCCGCGGCCACCACAACTATTTCACTGTAATAATTAATGTTGAGAATACAAATCTCTAAAAACTCTGATTATTTCTAAATGTAGGACTTGAAGTAGCTCAGCATATTTGTGTGTATCTTCATGGATCCTGCACTTTTTTTCTCGTACGTAAAATAGATGATGTAATGTAATATAATGCATATAGTCAAAAAGGTCAGGACCTCCTTGGTGCCCGCCGAAGGGAGAGTTACAGCACACGAAAGATCTTCATGAAGTAGGCATGTGTATTTGAATGGAATATTGTTGGGATATGTTCATTATGTCCTCAGTTGTGGTGAAGGTGTAGTACAGCGCTGATCTGTGTTGTGCATGAGCCACAAGGGGGCACTCGTTTGCATTGTTGTTTTGTTTGTCCCAAACTGTTATATATGAAGAAGTGATGAAGGCTGTCTGACCGTGAGACTGATGTGTCAGCGGCAGCTCGTAGAAAAGAAATAAATATGCCGAAGACGGCTAAAGGTGGCTCATCTGAATCGTCCGTTCTTTTCCTCCGAACGCAACGTTAGCTGCAAGAATGCGAGTAACGCAACTCAACAGGTTATGGGCCCAGGAGTCGTTCGGAAGATAAGTCCGTTGTTTCCCACCGTTTAGAAAGTCGCAACGGACCGCGTGCAAAACGGACTTGGAGCAAGCTAACATGGCGGAACAACGAAGGAGATTGCCTCGACTGACGTTCGACGGAGATGAGACTAAGTATGAGCTTTGGGAGACCAAAATGTTGGGACATTTTCATTTATCAGGGCTGAAGGACACGGTGCTGAAAGAACCGGTGTCAGAAGCCGAAATAGCGGCAGATGAAAAGAAAAACGCGGACGCGTATGCAGAGCTAATTCTACTTTTAGACGACAAAAGTCTATCACTAGTTATGAGAGATGCACCCAACAATGGAAGAAAAGCTTTGGCAATATTGAGAGAGTATTATGCAGGGAGGGGAAAGCCCCGTATAATCAACTTGTACACCACGTTGACATCGCTTCTGAAAGCAAATGATTAAAGTGTAATGGACTATATTATCAGAGCCGAAACCGCCATCACAGCACTGCGCAACGCGGGTGAAACGTTAGGAGACGGACTGCTAGTCGCTATGGTCCTAAAGGGATTGCCTGAAAGTTTTAAGCCATTTGCAATACACGTGGCACATGCAGACGATAATATCACGTTTACAGAATTCAAGACTAAACTACGTAGTTTTGAAGAGACAGAAAAGATAAAAGCAGCTGAGTCAAGCGACAGCGTGATGAAGACTCAAGGGAAAACTGGACGGCGGCTCGCCAAGACAAGCGCACGTGGCTGGATAAAGGACGACGCAGAGTTGATGTGTTTCAAGTGTGGCACCAAAGGCCACAGAGCCAAAGAATGTCGACAGAAAACCTGGTGTAGTAACTGCAGAAGTGACACACACAAAGACGCCACGTGTAGGCGTAAGGACAAGGACAGTAAGAGCACAAAGGATGGTGCGAGTAAAGCCTCAGAAGACGCTGAGGACTACATGTTCAAGATGAGAGACGGTGAGAACGATTCCCAGCGGCAACCGCCATGCAACATCCAGCAGAGGGGTCTGATGGTGGACACAGGGGCTACCTCTCATATCATCACGGACATAACCATGTTCAAGAGCTTTGACTGCGCGTTCAGGCCGGAAACGCACAGTGTCGAGCTGGCAGACGGCACCCGGTGCAGCGGGATCGCTCAGCGGAGGGGAAACGCTGAGGTTTCCCTCATCGACAGCGGAGGACAGCGACGCAAGACGGTGCTGAAAGACGCTTTGTTTGTACCGTCGTACCCCCAGAGCATCTTCTCTGTGAAGGCAGCGACCACCAGTGGGGCTACGGTTGTCTTTAAAGAAGATAAAGACGCCCTGATAGCCAGAGACGGTACCAGGTTTAACATTCACGTATACGGACGGTTGTATTTTTTGCACACTGAAGCTGAGTCTAATGATAAGTGTAACGCATGTCACGACATACAGACATGGCACGAGATATTGGGTCACTGTAACTATGACGACGTTTTTAAGTTGCAGAACGTTGTTGAAGGTATGCAGATCAAGGGCAAAGCAGGCAGACCCGAGCAAGAGTGTGAGGTATGAATTCAAAATTCGCCCAAACCAGAAATAGGGACCCTGATACCAGAGCAAAAGCTCCCTTACAGATGGTACACACAGACCTCGCAGGTCCAGTAGCCACAGAGTCAGTAGATGGTTACAAATATGTGCAGTCATTCACTGATGATTACTCAAGCGCAGTATTTGTATATTTTCTGAGGAAGAAAAGTGACACCGTACAGGCTACGGAAAAGTTCCTAGCAGATGTATCACCTTACGGGAAAGTGAAGTGCATCAGATCCGATAACGGAACGGAGTTTACAAGTGGTGATTTTCAAGCACTGTTGAGAAAAAACAACATCAGGCATGAAACGTCAGCTCCGTATTCCCCTCACCAAAACGGAACTGCAGAGAGAGGTTGGCGTACTCTTTTTGAGATGGGAAGATGTATGCTAGTTGAAACTGCACTACCAAAGCAGTTGTGGCCCTACGCAGTTCAAACAGCAGCAATAGTACGCAACCGGTGCTTTAGCAGACGTACTGGGCAGACTCCTTATGAGTTGTTGACAGACAAGAAGCCTAATGTATCTAAGATGCAAAAGTTTGGTTCTGTATGCTACACTTACAAACAGGGAAAGGGAAAACTTGATTCCAGAAGTGACATGGGACGTTTTGTGGGTTATGATAAGAACAGCCCAGCTTATTTGGTGTATTATCCAGATACAAACAAAGTTCAAAAACACAGACTAGTGAAGTTTGTGAGCAAGGCAGCTGTGGAAAAACAGACACAGACAGATGAGCCAGATCCAAGCGACGACTCTGACAGTGTGAGACCCCTGACTAACGAGACCACACAGAGTAGGAGTACAGAAAATGCTCAAGAACCAAATGCACGAGCACAACAAAGTGTGACGAGCGATGAACCCGAGAGTAGGAGGTATCCAGCTAGAGAAAGGAGAACACCGAGTTACTTAGATGACTTCGTAACTGAAGACAGTGATGGTGACGGGGTTCATATCACAGTAGACTATTGCTGTAGAGCCGTATGTGGCATTCCACAGACTTATGGGGGAGCAATGGAGTCAGCTAACTCAAAAGGATGGGTAAGAGCAATGGATGAGGAAATCCAATCCCTGAACGAGAACAAAACCTTTACCCCGACAACACTACCAATAGGCAAGAAAACAGTGGGGGGTAGATGGGTTTACTCCATAAAGACTGATGCAGACGGGAAAGATAAATATAAAGCAAGGTTTGTAGCGAAGGGTTACAGCCAGAAACTGGGAGTAGACTATGGGGAAACGTTTTCACCCACTGCAGACTTGACGAGTGTGAGGGTTGTGCTACAGAAAGCAGCACAGGAGAGTTTACTCTTACACCAAATGGACGTGAAAACAGCGTATTTACACGCTCCCATAGACTACGAGATCTACATAAATCCACCAGAGGGCTATCAAGAGAAAGAGGGCATAGTCTATAAGCTAGAAAAATTGCTTTATGGTCTAAAACAATCTGGGCGAAATTGGAATAAGGTTTTGCATGATTGCCTAACTGTGAATGGTTTTACACAAAACCCAGCCGACCACTGTGTTTATGCCGAAGAGTCAAAAGAAGGAAAGGTGATCATAATCATATGGGTTGATGATCTGATCATTGCAGCGAGCGATGAAGAGAGACTGAAAAGTGTGAAAGAGATGCTTGCAGAAAAGTTTAAAATGAAAGATCTTGGCAAACTAAAACATTTTCTGGGTATCGATTTTAGTCAGTCAGATGATTGTGTAAAGATGTCACAGGAAAAGTACACCAACAAGATACTACAGCGTTTCGATATGCAAGACTGTAGACCAAGAGAAACACCTTGTGAGCAGAAGCTGGAGTATACTGAGGGTGCAGTAAAGATGGAAGATGTCAGGATGTACAGAGAGGCTGTGGGAAGTCTTATATATCTGACTGTTTGCACCAGACCAGATTTAAGCTTCGTTGTGAGCAGGTTGTCACAATTCTTTGCTGAGCCTACAGAGGAACAGTGGATCACTGTGAAGCATGTACTTAGGTATCTCAAAGGCACAGCAGAAAAAGGGTTAAGTTTTAGGAGAAACAACAGTGAGGAACTAGGTATACAGGCCTACAGTGACGCCGACTGGGCGGCTGATACCAGTGACAGACGCAGTACCACAGGATACTGTGTGAGCCTTAGTCAGAACAGCTCTCTAATCTCGTGGAAGACTAGAAAGCAGCCTACTGTCGCGCTATCCACGTGCGAGGCAGAGTATATGGCACTGGCATCAACCATACAAGAGTGTCTATACCTAGAACAGTTACTGGAAGGTATAGACAACTATGAGTACACACAAACTGTAGTACATGAGGACAATCAGGGAACAATCGCTCTCGCCAAAAACCCTGTAAACAGACGAAGATGTAAACATATTGACATAAAGTATCACTTTATCAGGTCAACTGTGAATGAGGGAAGAGTGACTTTGATGTATTGTTCTACTGATAACATGATTGCTGATGTAATGACCAAACCTGTAAATAAGTTGAAACTGAAGAAGTTTGCAGGTGCTCTTTTTGGAGATTGATATGTGTATGACAGGAGTCCACATTCATTCTGTTTTTTTGTTGTTTTCATTTTGCTTAAGAAGATAGCAATCTGAGTACAAGTGGGGGTGTTGGGATATGTTTATTATGTCCTCAGTTGTGGTGAAGGTGTAGTACAGCGCTGATCTGTGTTGTGCATGAGCCACAAGGGGGCACTCGTTTGCATTGTTGTTTTGTTTGTCCCAAACTGTTCTATATGAAGAAGTGATGAAGGCTGTCTGACCGTGAGACTGATGTGTCAGCGGCAGCTCGTAGAAAAGAAATAAATATGCCGAAGACGGCTAAAGGTGGCTCATCTGAATCGTCCGTTCTTTTCCTCCGAACGCAACGTTAGCTGCAAGAATGCGAGTAACGCAACTCAACAAATATACTTAGCAAATGAAAGCATGCAAACATTTATACATGCAAATGTAGCTTACGGAACCTTTTGGGGAAGTACAGAGCAGCTACTTCAGGCTCCAGCTCTGTAAGGTCGTCCAGGTACACGCCATCAGAACCAAGGTGTTGGCTTCTCTTTTCTAATAAAGGACGACATTACACATAGCCAGTTGTATTAGCATGATAATGAAGCACATACTATATTTATATATATATATATATTTTGTGTTCTCACTGTCCTGCATTACTCCATGCAGCTTTTGCCTCAGACACCGCCCCATACACAAATAACACCCCCAGCCAAACATTTTACATTGGCAGAAAATGTGCATAAAACTAACATTACAAACAGACTTTTGGCCTCACAATTTCCATGAGCACTTATACCTTTCCTCTTGGACGGAGAATCTGTACTTCTAATGGGACTTCCTCTATTCTCAAATTCATCACGACGATCAAGGAGAATCCTGGGAGACACTGAGCAGGCTGTGAAGCCCTCCATCTCTGGACACGATGGCCCGACACTTTCCACCTCGCTCACTTCAGCAAGAAAACAGAGTTTAGAATCAATTGGAGCATTAAAACCAGCTGATGGGTCACCAAAATACACCAATAACGTGAGGATAACGTTATCCTCTTTTAAATTTGGATCCTGCAGTTCAATCATTCTTTTGTTCCCTAATCGAATTAGGCAGTTCAGGTTATTCATGATTCAACCAGGTAAATGCTAACAAGCAACAAGCAACAACTCTAGAGTTAGACACAAAGATGTTACCAACAGAATAAATTAACCTAAATATTTTAGGCTATAATATGATTCTATTGAATTTTAGGGAATACTTCTCACAATAAAGCTACAATGCTCACCTTCAGCCGTGTCCACAGTCTTGGTGGGCTCAGTGTCCTCGGCCCCACCAGCAGCAGTCTGCCCTGGCTGGGGGGCATGGAGGGTGAAGGAGGGCGTCTCCGTGTCACTGATCGCTCTGAAATGAGTGTCGGCAGACACTGGGATGGAGACCGCTACGGCCGGGTTCTTCTTCTGGAGGGAAGTCAAGAAGGAGGGCTGGGAAAGAGAAAGAGATCAGACTTGTCACCGAATATTTTTGTCTTCTGTGGAAATATGTTTCTACCCTAACCCTACATGTAGTTTTTCATTTACGGAAATACACTTGTAGCGGCGTTCCTTCCGTCGCGAACATTATTAAGCCGCAATTGAGCTGCAGACACACCATGTTAAAAAACATATTCTGTCCCCCGTTTGAAAAACTGTGCCCTCGTGCCTAATCAGCCAATATAAGGTGCACCTGCTGTAAACATGACGTCACTATAAGAAAAGAAAGGGGGCGTCATGCCAACGTATATATCCACTTCGGGCTCTTACAACACTTATTTACATATTTTAGAAGATTGATACCACTCATAGTAAATATGTGGCTAGAGCCAGCAACCTGAAATAGGAATTTCTGTCCCTCGTTAACAAATTCCACTGAACAGAAACTCTAAGCTCACTTATGAACACATTATATTTTATTTCTTTGAAACATGGCGTAAAAACTTGCAGAAAAATCTTCATGCTAAGCTAATTCACTTAAAATGTCAAACTTTTATTTTAATGACACTGAAATCTTTACACCAATAATGTGTAGAACCAATGCAACTTGCATATGGTTTTGAAAAGAGAATAAAATATGTAAGTACGATGAGGTGCTGCATGCATGTGTGTATTTGCGTGTGTGTGTAAAAACCTGAGCAGCTTGTGGAAGTTCCCCCCAAGTCCACAACATCTCAGGGTTGTCTTTGCTCTGATTGGTCAGCTCTGAGTCGCTCTTTGGTGTTGAAGACCTAGAATTGTCATGGCTGCTGGGAAAATGAAAGACACTTAATTATATCCATTTTTACTCTTTTTTTTTTTGACAGATAACGTACCTTTGAAATACATGATGAATATATAAATATATATAAATGAATATCTAAACAAATATAACTATACAGTACATCCTAAACAATTCACATTTTATTATTTCAAAATGTCATAATCCACATTTTTCTTTCATCAAGTACTTTGCAGCATTAAGTGAGGGACAAATTGTAGATGATACCTAAGAGGAGTGGAAAAGTGAGAAGTCGTCTGCGGACAAGAGATGGACAGACCACAGGTTGGAGGGATTGAGAGAGTTTCCTTAATCATCTGACTAAAGAAAGATAGAAAGACACAGAAAGACACAGAACAAATGAGTAGACAGAAAGAGGGAGTGAGGAACAGTAAATAATCATTATGTACTAAAATATATTAAATGCTTTGTACAAGATAAATGGAACATAACAAAGGAAATAGGGGATAGGAAGAGTTAATGAAACAGTTACGTGTGAGAGTTGATTTGTGTCAAAGGAATACCTCTGTGAACAGATCCAATCAGGGCTGTGGTCTGTGTTTGTGTTGGCTGTCGACTCCTGATCTCCATACGCCGGTCTGAAGACAAACACACGCACGCAGGGAGATGTCACCTCTATGCAAACGCACATTACTTCACAGCCTGTGCACATTTAAATACACAGTATATCATGCATCAAGTCTAAAAAGTCAAACAAGCAGCTTTGTTTATGCTCATGAAAATGTTCAGAAGAACTGTGTGTTTATCTTTTCCTTACTTTGGAACTTTGTATCCACACATTTTTGCAGTCTGTAATTTTCAAACGCTAACATGTGGTTCAAATTCTTAAACAAAGAGCCATTGAACAACTGGCTGGTCTTCAAAGGGCTGCACACACAATCACCAACGCAAACTTGCATAAGAATGTTGACATGCACATTACAGTAATTCTCATCTACGTGAATTGTTCAGAATCATTTAATTTGAGCCATCAACATGATTCATTATAATATCTTGCACACCATCAACAACAACAACAACAACATATCAACAATACGAACTAAACTATCTGTCACTTGTACTCACACATACACACCTGTTGTCCCCCTCTCTCTCCTCATCTGAGCTCAGGTCAATAGTGAACATGTCCTGGTCCTCAGAGAACTCCTCCCCGCTCTCCTCTCTCCTCCCTCCTCCTCCCCCCCCGCCTGCCTCTGGCCTCTTCTTCCTCCTCTTCCTCCTCTTCTTGATAATCCCTCCATCACTCGGCTGCTGTCCCGGGCTCTGGATGGGGATTGAGCTGCAGGGGATGGCATCTATATGACGTGATACAGTGGCAGGTAAACTGTTAGGAAAGCACAAACACACAAACACACACACACGTTTTCACATGTTCCCAAATTTCCTTTTTTTTAAACAGGGCCTACCATGGTGACGAGAACTGCGCCTGCCCAACTGGGACTCCATTAACTCTGCCCCCGTTGACATGATGGGTGATGTTGCTAGGTAGGACGGAACTATTTCCTGTCAACATAGAAACGAGACGTCGTCATTCAAGGTCATTGGTCATAAGGCCTAATTCACTTCCTGGTCAAGATGCAATTAACTGCATTTCATGTGAAATAATTAAAATCTGCAATGTGGGAAAAAGTAGAAAATAAAGAGTCTAAAGCAGCAGCTAGGCAAATAGAGACGCATGCGGATACAGAGAGGGAAAGATGCAGACTGACAAGTGCCTGCCACACAACTCAATTAATTTTGAGTGGTGAGAGAAGGGGCTCAAGGTGGGCACTTTTCCAGGTCATCTGCGCTGAGCATATATTTAAATGATTTTAGATGCTTCATTCTCAATCTTAACTACTTTACATAACTTACTTTCAAAGCGAGACAAAAAAACAATAATAATTAAATTTGTTAAGCTGAGCCGCAATACATTTCTTAATACTTCTCCTTACCCTGCAAAAAAAGACAAAATGGTTTAATGACTTTTAATCATTAAATAGAGGCTTTCAATGTAACCACATTGAGATAAATGACATCATGGGGATTTGTTACCAAACATATTCAGAGATTCCTGATGTTCCAGCCTATAGAGGAAGTCTCCTGGGCGGGATTAACTACACAAGCCGCAACATGTCCTCAGAGAGAGTAGAGGGAAATGTGTACTGGAGGAGGGACAGCAGATTTGGCTCGATGCCAAATAGTTCCCTAAAAATGTTGTTGATCTTTTTCCATTCAAAACGGAGCTGTTTGCCTGTTTCAGCCCAGTCCGCGTGCAGCTGAAAGCAGGGAAAGTGACTTTGGCGTAGCTATAAATATCCTTCTGCTAGTTTTCCACTGTGCGGAGAGAACGTTAGGAGAAGGATTTTGACCGAGGGCCTGGACAGTGAGACGGACGTGTTTTAGAGAATTTACAAATAATTCTCAGCGTTTCTTTGAATTCGATAAACTCTAAAATGCATTCAATTAACATACTTTGTTTTCCCATTGAGAACTGAGGCTTTATAATATTCTTGTAGGAAAAAAAGTGCACCCACGACTGTTGGAGAAACTCTCCCAATCAGACAGTAAGTCATCAAAGGAGGATTAGTGCAATCTATTTCTTCAGATTAAGAACTAGATCCTTTCAGATTAAGAAATATTCCTCTTAACTCCGAACTGTGAATTGTAGCCAACTCTGTTCCTGCTTACCACTGATACATTTTTCCTTCCTTCCCCGTCGTGTCCCTGATCCTCCAACTTCCCATAAAGCCTTGCATCCATGCAACATGATCTATTGCCGCTGAATAGAAAGCAATTTCGCTGCATGGGGCTTTTGTATTGTTTTGAGAAGTTACCCAAATCCTCTATGATTCTACTTTAACTGATAACTCATACTTTGAAAATTGGAATAAAAAAAAGTGTCCGAAGACAGCACAAATTTCCAAATGGTCCTTCACCATGTTTCCTTTGGTAAAGACATCAATCTTGCTGCCAGTATCAGTTTCTTCATCTGATCACATCATTTGATCTGCTTTTGAACGTTTCAATTTTTGAATTAGTTGACTTTGTCTCTTTTCTGTCTCTCCTTTCCATCCCTACACTTCCTCCTTATCGTTTACTTGTCCCACTGTACTGTGTTGCTTACAGTAGAATGGATTTGTTGCACCAAACCTGCACTAGTTCTGCAGGTTTTTAAAGGATCAAGCTTATTTGCTTATGGAATACATCGAAACATGCAGTTTGTGGCATCCTGACAAATTCAATTATTAGTGCTGCAAAGCAGCATAAATTGCTGTAGCATTTGATATTTCAAACTGGATTTGCTAGTTCATATATAATTTTTAAGCTTTCAAAGTATAAACACACTTAAATCAAACCAGGCCATTGTAAATTGTAGCCTATAGGCTGCTGTTGACAATGACTAAGAATATGAATCCCAAGAGACGCTCTCATTTACTTATAATGGTTCCATTAAGGTGATGTTGATTTACAGAAACGTGTGGTTTTGCATTTCTGTACAACTCTAACTTTATTTTGTAAAATAAAACAATTTATCGCCAATCGCCAAACTAATCCTGTATGACTATTAAAAGAGTTTGAAGTATAGAGCAGCCGTTTCCTAGAACTGCTGCTCGAGGTCTCATGTTGCATTGCGGACTACTGGAGAAGAGGGGCTCAAGTCTCACAAGCAGACCTGAGATAATGACAACGACGTGTATCTGTAGCAATCCAACCGAGCACTTTCTAGTGTTTTTTATTTTTACCCCACCGGCACATTAGATCTTTGTATTGCTGAGTTATGATCCAACCTAGATTTGCTTGTGTTAACTGAGAGCAATGACTCACCATTGTGTTCTCAGCCTCTTCAACGAAGAAGGCCTCTCCGTTCTCCCCCAGCTTCATGTGCAAACTCACTGGCTCTCCGTTAATTTCTATGTCCACCTGCAGAAGAGGATAACAGTTCTTAAAATGTACGTGTTTTTAATCTGAATGACACTGTCGATTTAGGATTCTGAGTCAACATATTCAGTCATGTGTATTGTCTGTCTTATCATAGAAATTACTGTATTTTTGTGTGTGTGCCACTTTTAAATTACCCATAAATATGTAAAAATGCTTGCATTAATAATGCAGCATTGTAATGTACTACTGTTGGATTTTCAGCTATTACAACATGGTTTCTGGCTTTATGAAAAACATTACTGGGTTACACATACAAAGTTAATCCGGATTTTTCCTGTTATGTGTACATTTGTAATAACAAGCATATCTACATATTTGAATGCCAAATACTTTGCCTGTAAAACTTCTTTTTTCATCTCCCTGTGCTTTCATGCTGTTGTTACAATAGAAGCGGGAGCAACGGCCTCTGACAAAACTACACCGTACGTGTGCGATTGAAAAGAAAAAGAAGAGTCAAAGTGTGAACGAGGCAGCAAACCATAATCTCACCACTTTCTCACGAGAGCGCAGCACACCCATCTTGCCGAAGCGTACGTGGAAGGGGGAGCAATGCAGGGAGCCGTCGGGCTGCCGGACCACGATGACGTCTATGCATCCGGACAGCGTCGCAGGGTTCAGTCCCCTGTAAAGCTCCTTGACCTGCACAAATACCTGGCCCGCCAACTGACCCACGTAGTTCATGGTCTCTAACTGGAGACAGATCGGGAAGGAAAGAGGAAGGTGGAGTTTAGCTTGATTTCATTTCCCAAAAGACGACTTTACTTTATTTTTGTTACCATTAAATAAGGTTTTATCTACATTTGCATGGCACGCAGCACACTCAGACAGGGCAAATCCCCCCCAGTGGACCTGTTAACTGTCAGGGATCAAACTCTTGACAGATGAGATGTTTGTGTACGGCCTTCCTGCCACATTGAAATACATTATTGATCCACTGGGTCCAATGAGTGCCCACACATGCCGGCTGAGCAGTCTTCGTGGTCTTCGTCATAAACAATGACTTTATTCTTCTGCCGTTGCTCAGCGTGTTGTTTTTTCAATTTGTACGTGGGTGCGTGGATGTAATAACATTCAGCTTTTCCGTAGAAAAAAAAAGAAGCTGGTTTGTATATTTTTGGAATGCAAATGCCCTCCATCTGGGACGAGAGTAATCATATGTTTCTGTGCCAGTCTCTGATCCAGAGCCTCTAATGCTCTTTCTAGAATGCCAAACACGGCCCGGAGAGGCAGGGAAACATATTCACTGGGCTGTGAGATGAGTGGTTGTTGATTTTGTGTTCAGAGAGAGTAAATAATGAGAAAATATATTTCCAGGAGAAGTCATTAGTATCATTTAAAATAAATGAATAAATAAGTAGATATTTCATTCTTTTATACAAATACTTGAACAAAGGTAATCTGTAATTATGTACAATGCACATGTCAGACTACATTCTACACCAGCTTATTAGTGCATTTATGACATCGATGAGCGCATGTGTCAAACTGATTCATTTTTTGTACATTGCAGCAGAAAGAGAGGACTGAAAAGGTAAGAGAAAAATATTGCATTTCTAAAGGAAAGGAGAAAAAACAAACAACGACGGAGCGTTCTGGAGAAATGGGTGGTTAGTACATTTTAAGAGGAAACTTTGAATAACGGATAAATGTATAAACACACACACACACAGGCACAAAATATTTTATCACAAAACTAACTGTCTGTCCCTTTTTATATCCACCTGCCAACTGTTTGTGCTGTCCCAAGATACACCCCCCCCAACATACCCACACATTATCACAGCGTGCCCGTGGGATCGATGGCTCTATATTTTGGCAGACCATGTGAGAACACTAACATGAAGAGAGTGATATATTAACGCCCATCAATTATTGTTAATCTCAGAATGAGCCTCTTTGCCGCTAATGACCCAGCATTATTCTGTTGCACTCCAGATCCGAGGGAGGGTGCACTTAATCTTAACATCAGCTAAAACTAGTTCAGACCTGTTCGCTACAGCTACACAACACACTACCACACTGTGATTTAACCGATGTGTCCAGACTGAGCTTCATGCTACTTCTGCTTACATCATATCAATGTATATATAAATGTATTTACCGTGTACATAAACGTGAATCAATCTCATGTACCTAAAAATAAACAATTAAAATAATTAATAAATATATATAGTCATATAGTCATATATAGCTTTGCTTTTTCCAGTTAAATAAGCCCCAATGAAACTGTTAAGACTGAGATGCGTCTATTATCCACTGCAACAATGCTGCTTGTGGAATGTAAAATGAAGTTACCACTGTTTGCTGTTTTGTCACTTGGGCCCATTGTGTCCTTATTCACTTTGACATATGGCCCTATAACTCAGAGTGGGACTTTTTAGAATTTTTGCATAACTTTTTTTTTTTCACACATGCACGTCAAAACACATTAATAGCCATGCCACAAATCTGATATCACTGTCAACATAGACCACGTGCAAACCGATGGGTCCCTTAACACACACACACACACACACACACACACACACACACACACACACACACACACACACACACACACACACACACACACATCGGCTGAGCCTTGCCCAGTCCTCCAGCCAATCACGATGCTACTCCATTATATAATACCCAATCACGAGACAATGCACAGGCTCCCTCAATGTAATGCGGTACCATTTCAGTATTGTATTACAACCATAAAGGCAACTTCTGCTGTTATTTCTGAGACATGAGAGCAACAACACTCAAACCCCACAAACTGTTCTTTAGTGTCACTCACTACAGCACAGACAGTGAAGCATCACATAAACAGAGAGGCGGACGGAGGTGACAGAACAGCTAAAGGATTTACAGACAGATCATGTGAACATGTATACAATCACATGTATGAAATGGCTCTGGAGCAGCTGTTAGATACTTTTGTTGTGACTGACACAACAACCAAATCACTTCAAGGGCAATCGAAGATCTGTATTATATTGTATTTAGGTTTGACCGTATCCTCAATAGGCAACATACTTAGATGGACGTGTGTTTTTGTTGACATGAAAACGCCTGTTTTGAAGCTGAATGAATGGTAGATAGCTCTCAGGTTGTGATTGTAGAATCATGCAGGCCACATGTAAACATCTGCACACGGGGTGAGGCGCTGCAGTCTGCACCGGAGCGTCATTCAAACAGCCGCACATTGTTCAATGGGCAATCGACGCGCAAGCCAACACTTACAAATACCGAATATATAGACTATTACGATGTTTAATATGCAACTAACGGCCGGCTTCCGTACGATCCAGCAATACTACTTACATGAATTATCGATTTCGCGTTTCGCTCCGAAACCTTTGCGCCAAACAAACGTTCCACCAACACGTCCTCCCGTGTGTTAGTCCGTTACGCCATCGGATGGAAACATGGTCGGTGACGCGTTTCTCAAGTCTAATATTGACATCTCCTCCACTCGAGGCTGCTTCGCTATTTAAACCACCGATAGAATATTCCTCCCACACTGCCCCCGACCGACCGAACAGAGCGATCTGGTTGGCTGAGGCGGCGATGACGTAACACAATGTTGACAAAAAGATGTTACCTTTTTTTCTATTTATTTCTTCTATTTATCAAGCTTAAGTATGATTGTAAGCGATGTTATACTATTTCTGCATTTCCTAAACCTTGGCTGCAATCATTTTAACTTAAGTAATATATTACTGTCTATAAGGGTTATATAACGGATTTACCGGTTGTCGTTATGACTTTGTTAATGGGTAATAAATAAATTATTCATATGTTATGGATCAACTCCAACCCCTCCTACACGACTAGTGTATGGTTACCATGTTGTGGCAGTGTTTATTTCTCAGTCAGCCACCTGGTTTGTTGTTTAAGCTTTAACCAACCACGACCCCTCACATGAATATTTGACCTCTACGTTTTTGGAAAAAAGCTCCAGAACATTTTGACCAAATGTTCATATCAACAACGTTCTAATATTTACACCTGTAGATCTGACCATTAAAATCCCCTTCATAATGAGTTATTATCATCATCATAATGGCAAACAACCATTGTTGTTTACTAATGACTTATTAACTCTTGGGGATAAAATATTCAACATCCAAAATAAATGTCAAGCTATTTCTTATTAACAATTTAGAACTGATTCGTAAGTATTTATATCAGATCAACTAATTATTAAGTAATACAAGTGGAGCAAACAAGAATAGCAATATGACATTCAAAAGACTGGCATCTGTAGTCGTGAAATTTCTCAGTCTCACTTTTCAAAATGTAAATCTGTACTGTTGCCCTGACACATTGAGGCCATGTGAATTGTTCATTATTCTTAGTAGGGTTTTATTGAAATAACAGAGTCAATTTAAGCGAATGAATAATGGTTAACTTAAACTGTTTGCTTAATAAATGTAGCAAGTCATGAAACGTGGAAATCAAATGTATCACAACAAAATACTGCAACATTTCACCAAAAACAGAAATTATTCAGGAACCTCCACTTAAGACACGATTAAAAAGATTTTAGGGAATAAACTTGTTTGATAATGTTGGATGAGAAGATTGATTAGGCACTGGTTTTAAAGTGACATTGATCATATCATTTTACACTCAAGTTCAAGGAAAATATCAAACTGATTTAAGGAAAATTGATGTCTACCAAAACAAGGTTACAATGTTTTTATTTATGTATTAATATGAATCAAGGGTGGAGGATGAGTTCCAGTGTGTCTTTTTTCTGCAGCTGTTACTTCTGTATGTCTCTCCAGGAGGCAGCAGGGTGAACTATTCAGAGGCTCCTCAACGTTGCTCTTTAGGCGGGTGCCAACAATGTTCTGGGAGGTTTAATCACAACCCTCCCGTCCATAGTCGCACACCTCCTCTCCTCTCATCTCCTCAGTTTACAGTCATTCTTTCTTCTTTGTAAAAGCTGACGAGAACTTGTCTGTGCTCAATTTAACCGTCAATCAGTTTCATGGGGGAGGTCGTTTTGAAGGCTGAGCAAAAATCAGCCAACGCCATGGAGCACTTCATCAGAATGTGGGTGAGTGCCACAGGGCGGTCTTTTAAGGTCGTGGAACGGTGTTGGCTAACTCGACGAATGTGAGCACACTATGCTGGGACAGTGATACTTAAAAAAAAACATTGCTGTTGACATCAGTTAGCTCGATGGCTCTTAGTACATTATGTTATGAGGGCAAGCACTTTACTTTATCCACTCTTATTATTAATTTGATGCTCTTTAGAAAATTACAAGAAGGCTGCAGACTGATACCAATGCAATGACTGTAATAGTAAATAAAAAGAGGCAATGCAAATGTGTTTTTGTTGAAAAAGTAGACTGACGCAGAGAGGTAAGTTGCAGCAGAGAGCAATCACAAACACGAAATCAATAATGGAATAATTTCTAGCGTGTCAACGACATTTTCGATCTGCTAAAATAGGCATGCAAATGTTCTATTCTTATTCAACAGTTATGATGCTGCCAGGCCAAAATATACTCCTGAGCATAGTCTGAGCAGTAAAGCCAGCCATATATTTTGGTGTTATGTAAAGGTTTAATGCATGACTGAAAATCAAAATCATTAAAGTTAGTTTAACTTGTATTGTACGTTGCTAACTTCTGTAATCAGATCATAGGGCGATTATGTAAGGCGCTGTTCCCTGACCTCAGTCGAGTCCGAACGCATAGTTCCCAGTTAGAGGAATAAAAAAGCTTGCCTGGCGGCGTCTCATTGCTTTTGTTGTTGTTGATGTTGCTCAATGATTCTGAGAACCATCGACGACCCCGTTACACTCCCAACATAGTAATGTGATACAACACTTCATACAACAATCACGCACAGCACACACAGTTACTCACTCAACATGTGAGCAGCAAAAGAAGTTGGAAAGACATTCAAGCAATGTGAGAAAAATGCATTTTTGGGTTCATGTGTGCGTGTGTGTTAATGTGTGAAAATCCAGTCACAACATGTAATAAATTCATTCATTTAAATTCATTTCCGCTGCCAATCAACATTTGCATATACTGTTTGTGAGAAACAGCTGAACATTCACTTTGTAGCTGATCCACACACACACACACACACACACACACACACACACACACACACACACACACACACACACACACACACACACTCAGCAGCAGGCAGCTGGAGTGGGAACAAGGAAACACGTGTTGGGTTTTCTAAGAACTGAGCCATTCAACAGGGAGCAACCAGTGGCCAACTAAAGGTGGAAAGGGGGGGGGGGCTGCACAGAGAGAATATGTAGAAGCAGAGAGAGAGAATTTGCAGAATGTTTTTGTTAGTGGGAATGGGTGAAGACAACGTTATAGAGGTGTGAGAGTGAAGAAAACCGATTTATTTACATGTGAAGGTGGATTTGCACCAATTATGTTTGATTAAAAACAGTAGGATTAAAGTAATCTATCATGGGTAAACAACTCAAAATATTTCTAGATGGATTAGAAAACTAGTTTAATATCTAACTAGATTAATTTGCTTCGCTAATATTAGATATTAATTAATATATAATATTAATATATTCATTTCCTTGATTACAGTTTATGTTTATGAACTGTATGTGTCCATATATGTGCATGTTAGCATGTCTGTCTGTTTTAGTTGGTGCATGTGTATGCGTGTGCTCTAAGATATATGTGTTCCGGGTACTGCCAAGCGGGGTCGACTACAGTCGGACACGTGAGAGGGAGAGAGAGAGAGAGAGAGAGAGAGAGAGAGAGAGACAGAGAGAGAGAGAGAGACAGAGAGAGAGAGAGAGAGAGAGAGAGAGAGAGAGAGAGAGAAAAAGGCGGTTTGCTGTTTCAGGGGTTGTCTGATCGCTCGCAGGAACTCTCTCGGGTGAGGAATGCATTCTTGTCATTGGAACACAAGGGGGAGTTAATGGAGGTGGGGGAGAGGGGAGGATGGGGCAGGGGGGAAGGGCTGTGTGAGCCAATCGGAAGGCTGCCTGAGCACCACTTCACCAGCAAACAATTGAACCCACTCCTAAAAGAGTCCCAACAGACATGCAAAAAAACATATACATAAAAACTACTTGGTTGAGTTTCCTATGTTTCCTTACTGTGCTGCCAGAACCCACAGAGCCGCTCACCACCTCTGCATTTTGGGACTGTTACGTAACAACCCGTTGTGGTGTAACATGCCTGTGTGGGCTTGAGGTCATGCGGGGAGAAGTGAGCTGTTGATCTAGCACATGGTTATGTTGTAAACACACGCACAGAATGGTCGGATGTTGACGTATCGTTTGATAACAGTCCTTTTAAAAATTAAGATTTTTATCTGTCAAGTTTCTTTGTAGCGCACACAGTCTGCAAAAGCACAATTCCACTGTTTTTTTCTGAAGTAGACATTCTAAATCAGAACTTCCAAGTCAAGGACTCAGCCTCTCTTTCTAGGAAAGCAACTGAAGGACCACTGACCAGGCAGGAGGGGCTCCCTCATCTCCTTCTCTCCCTCATCTCCTTCTCTCCCTCATGTCCTTCTCTCGCTCATGTCCTTCTCTCCCTCATGTCTTTCTGCATTTTGTACAGGCCTTTCAGTCCAATTAGTACTACTATGAATGACTGTTTTTTCTTTTATGTTTCAATCAATGTTCTTTTGTAGAACATAAAGCATTATGTTTGGATGTTTCTAATGGTTTTATGTGAAGCACTTTGAATCGCCTTGTTGTTGGAATAGTGCTATACAAATAGCATTGCCTTGCCCTACTACAGGTTATTCTAAGTAAGTTTGTGTTGCACTTTTTAGAACAACTCTCCTTTACATATGAAAGCGATTCCACCCTTTCTTTCAAACTTTCTATATAGCTGTTATTACGCCCAACTTAGCTCAAGATTCCGCCCCATACAGCTTGCTTCGAGATTCTCTTTCATCATCAATGTAGTCTTTCAAGAAACACTTTCTTAAATTAACAAATTGTAATAGAAACAAGGCACAAGTTTAGGTTTGTTACCAAGGACCAGCTGTTGAAGGGGCTGCCATCCTCTCTGTGTCTGCTGAAGTCCAGATCTTTTTCCTCCATGGCCCACGGCTCCATATCTCCACAGATGCAAACAGCAGTTTAAATTCCCTACCCTCCTAATTCTTATTTAATATTTGTATTGTCCAGGTGGTACTAAAGCTCCTCCGGGTGGTCCTGGTTGAGTCCTTAGACTCCTAAATGTGAGTAGTTGATGCTTGTGCGACATACTGACAGTGTAAATTTATCTGCGAGTGTGTTCTGCGAATGGAGTACTTGGAGGAAATGTGAGAGCGTTGAGAGCTGCTGGGGCTCTGCTGCTGCTTGCGGTGCCCTCTGACGCCACCGACGTGTCCAACCAACACCTGCATTTGAGCCAAACGACAAATCACTGCATCATTCTGAATTACACATACATTATCATATATTATGCTATTCTACTGGTGTTTTATTTCTCCAGAATACTACGTTTGTACAGTCCTTTGAGTTCAACCTCCCCTTATCATTAACCCTAACCAGGGAGGGAGCGCTATCATTTCAGCGGGATGGAAGAGTATCAGGTGGGAGAAACTGACTTCAGCACAACTCCTGCTACACCCTCTCATATGCAGTGAAAGGGCTCACTGTTGTGGTCACACTGGGGTCTAGTACAATTAAGTTAGTTACTTTTGTCTAAAATCTAAAGCCGTTTTTGTCCAAGAGCAAGGCCAACCAGGAAGTCCTGATAATAAGGCTTCAGAGGGGGCATCTGGGGTCGGTAGTGTGGAGTCTAAGGACTTCAGATGCTCCATGTATAGTCTCAAATATCTTCACAACAGATCCTGCCTGCAGGATACAGCTTTCCATGACAGGCCAATATTTATGAGATTCCTCATAACTATCATAAAAATGTGCAAACACACACATTTAGGCAATAGGCTGCAGTACTTTTGTAGAGCGGTTCTTCATTATCGTTGTATTATGACGTTCAGAGTGAAGAATACAAGGGAGAAACAAACACACACAAAGGCAATTTAAAATATCTGTACATTTATACAATGAAGCCATACAAAACTGTACATGACATGCTTAAAACACACGGTGGGTTTGTGTCTTCAGTTACAAATAAAATCACCATACAGTCTATTGAGCATAAAGTACAACAAAAGTTCTAGCACAAAACTATTTAATGTACACACTGGATAAGTACTTTCTCTTTTACAAAATACAAATTTGACTAAATATATTCAAAATATTTAATATCCAAAATAGAAAATAAAAATAAAACACTAAAATGTCTGTTGCCAAAAATAGGCTACAATTGCACACAAATGATTGTGTCCTCGTTCTTTCTCCTCTTCTTTCTTTGGCCATAACACGTATTCTCTTTGATGCAGAACCTTTTGTTAAACACTCTAGACCCTATGTGTCATTCAGTCATATATGTTTCCCGGTCAGGAAGAAGAGCGGTCGGTCCTCCTTGGCGTTGGCAGTCTGGAATTCATCGCTGAGCCTGAACCTCCACTCCTCCTCCAGCTCCAGCCTGCCCACCGTCTGCCTCAAGGAGCTACGATCTGCACTGATGACACACAGAGTCGCACCTACAGGGAAGCATGCAGAAGAGAGATAGATCATTTAAATGTAACATGGAAACCATAAGCTTTTCTGACTTTATATAGTGGATAGTGGGGGGACAGGGTTCTGATATAGGCAGAGGTCCTTGGCAGGCATTGCAACGGTGATATTGCAGATATGTGGTTTGTTTTATCAGCCACTTGGCCACGGGACGTCTCATGGGTTTTATCGTGACAAAAAGGCTAAAAGTAACACATTTAGGTATTCAGAAAGACTAACAAATATTCCAAATATGTCATCTGAAACCTGCTTTTGTACCTTTCAGGAAGGTGAACTTCTTAAGGAACCCGGGTGTCACAAACGAGTCGGCGAAACAGAGGAGAAGGCCACTGAACAGCATCCCGGTGGTGCTGATGTTGACAGAGTGAGGTCTGGAGCTCACAAAACACACCGTCACCTGCAGGAAGAAAGAACGCTGTGACCGCCAGACAATGTGTGGGGAGATGTATGGGTGATGGAACCTATACATCTGTTCAGAAGTTGATATTTTACCACAAAGAAGGAGGCTGCGTTTCCATACCTCAGGTCCCAGGTTGAGGTAACAATCCACAGACAGTACGGGGTGCGTGTAGTTCTTGGTACTCAGTGGAAACAGCTTCTGTCTGGTGTGTTGAAGGTATTTTTCCAGGAGCAGCTGAGCTGGTGTAGCCAGGAAAAGGTGCTTGCTGTCTGGGGCACAGATGTACTGCGAGGGCCCCACTGAGGTGGGAACATCTGTTGTCTGGTGAAATGAGAAACTCTTGTTTGATAACGTTTGATGCCCTTATTTGTTTGTGAAGATCAACAATGGTCGAATTAAACATTTAGAATTCCGTGGACACGTGGATGTGTTGTCACGTGTCTCCAGGATCTACCTTGGTCTTGATAATGAATGTCCTGTATCCTCCAATGGCAATCTGCTTCTTCATGACGCTGAAGCTGTTGAAGCGGCAGACGAGCAGGCCGGCACTGTGTAGCCTCAGGGTGAAGTCCACATCGTGACAGGTGAAGCGGTTCTGGTCGTACTGGACATTCTGGCTCCGGTCGACATTGAGGAGAAGGAAGTCATGAAGGTGACCTCTGGAAAAGGGCTCCCTCAGTTTATTACCTGGACGAAACAAAATGAATGCAACCTGAAATTGAATCTTTTCAAAAAGCAGAAAACGTATTACGCGTTCCACTTTATTATTTCTTTGTAAAGTAGCTAAGAGATTTAGTCACACATTTGCGACCACTTCACATGTAAAATTTCAAAAGACAAATCTCTATGCCAAAGCATTACACCTCGAGGCGCTATGTGGCAGGTTATCTGAAGATGCACACTGGCTTATAGGGGTTTGTTAAAAAGATCTGAGGTAAAGCTCGACAGACCACGAGAAATGTAATAATGTTTTTAAAAAAATATCTGTAAAAATTAAACCAATTGTACAGGCAATAGTTAAGTTTGTTATAGTTAATTTAAATTTTTTAAATCACAAACCCTGACCTGTGAATCCACGGCTGCTCCACTTCCTGATCCCGCACAGTCCGTAGTGGGCCAGCTCCGGACAGGCCTCCATGTGCTGTAAGATCTGCTTCAGTGACACAGCGTGCTCCACTGAACCACTAACCTCAGCAGAAATGATAAATGAGTCATTAAACATAAATGAACATATTCTTTCTTCCAAAGCAGCAGCCGACATTATAGATCTTATCAATAATGTGCTGGCATGTACTTGTGTGCGTCGAGGTCCACTGCGTTCCACATGACGCAGGAGTCATCGGCCAGGATGATAAAGGGCCAGACGTCATCCGTCGGGCCCCCTCCCTCCAAACGCCGACTGCGCTCCAGCTCCAAGTTGTGATACGAGAGCTCTTTAATCAAGAAGTGAGCTGCGCCTGCAGGAGAATAGAAATCCGATATGAAGTACTTTATCTGCCAGTGTCATTAAGTATCTATAGATGTTCAACATGAACAACATACCTATTCCAGCTCCGTTGAAGACGGTGGGCAGTACCAGCATTATGTGGTTGGGCCAGTATTTCTTATACACAGCCATCTCATACTCTTTGACCACCAGGATATGTAGATGTGAAGCTCCGTCCATAGCATGGTACAGGTTAAACAGACCGTGCTCATGGCGACCTGTGGTTGGGGTGAAGATTGGACTTTTGATGCAGTCTGGGCTCTGCGGGAGAAGAAAATGATACAGAAAGATCAAAGTATCAAATCGATGTGATGTGATCCCCGCTTTTGTTGAGCATTCCTCTTAATCTACAAAATCCCACTCTGCACATATCCTTATGGGAATAAAAAAGAACCACTGGGATGCAGTGATGGGGACAGTTTGTCATGGTTTAGTCTGGCCTGTAGCACCACCCAGTGGTTCTCAAGGGTGTTGCACTATGCTCAACCAACGGTAATGTGTTCTGCTACGTGTGTATTCAGATATATCAACGCAAAGGCAGGCCGGCAATCTTTCTAAACAGAAATATGAATGAATAAAATCACGAAAAAGAGTCCCGCATCAGACATTAAGTCTGTATCATAAAAGTGGATCAACAGGAAGGGTGACTCTAACCCTCCAAATCTACTGATATCCTCGCTAATAGCTGTTATCTTTAGTTAAAGATCAGCATCAAAAGTGTTTGTAGAACAATTGAACAACTTCAGCCGTTACTTGGCTGCTTTATACTTTTTCCTCCAGGACATTGGCAGCTAGCAAAAGGAAATGTAAGTATTTGAGACTCACCCAATCAGAGGCGAGAGGCAGACGCATGCTCTCCAGTTGGCCACCTGGCTGGCTGAAGCTAAAGTAGTGCTCTTTAGACTTTGGGATGATGAAGTAGAGCTGGATCTCCTCCCCAAGCAGTAGATGGGTGAATGTGAAGGCACGAAGTGTTGACTCGTACATCTGATTGCAAGATTGGAGAGGACGTACATTATTAGCGGTGACCTTTCAAGAAACGGCATCAGAGTGTCAGTTATCATATTGTGCTGTTTGTGTTCTGTTCACCTGGTATCTGGGGTTGAAGCCCAAGTACTGATGACACTGCTCACAGTGGTGGTATGTGTTGTACGCGGCATATTTAGACAACTTGATCCTAGACGTTCGCCTACGTAGGTACACGTCCTCCTGCCGCGCGGGGTGTCCTTTGCCAATTTAACAGGGGCAAAGACAGATTAGGACAATAGAACATATAACTTCTTGGGAATTGGAATTACAAGCAACAGACATCATTTTGGGGGGATATAGTTACACAGTTAACATGTTGACTAGTGTTTTTTGCTCTGCCTACCCTCGAAACTGGGTGTAAATCCAGGGCAATAGACAGAGCTGATGTCGTCATATTTAGGGTCGTGGATGGTGTAGTCAAAGGGCATCGTCTTCATGATGCCGGGGTTTGGCCAGGAAGATTTGGGCGGGTGGTACAACACGCCCTCCCCCTTTTCATCTACATAAACACAAACTGCATGATGAATATTGAAGATCAGGAGCTATTTTTTGCACATACTGAAAGACGTATTCATGATAATATGATTTTAGCAGCAGTGCTAGCAAAAAAATGAAACAGTAGCAGTAACATTTTTGAAGTTGATGGTGGCTACTGCATCAAATGTACTGACTGTAGATGTCTTCTTCATCGTAGATGTCCACCTCCATCAACCTGATCAGCATTCGAGACAGAATACCCAGGAAGTGCAGGTACGCTCCCGTCTTACCCACCTAAAAGTGGAAGGAAATACGCAAACAATGTAAGTACACAGCCAAGCATGAGCGAGAGCTGAACAACAGAAAAGATATAGAGAGAATTGACCTGAGGGGGGCCGCTGAGCAGCAGTCTGCGAGGGTGAAAGTTGTCACTTCGACCTTCAGTGCGATTGCTGCTGTCCATGTGGTAGGACCGGGGGACCGTCCACTGTCGATAGTACAGTGACTGTTCTGTGCATGTCATCATCTTACTCAGCAACGGCCTGAACATGAGGGATGGAGTTCAGAATTAATATCTCCCAGTGAGCATTCAATATCTCCAGGACACACGTTGACATGTCGCTGAGCTAATGCACTACACCTTTACTGAGATTATCTATAGAAAGCTAAACCCTCTCATCAAATTTGTTTGGAAAGTTTTTATCACATTGTTGGACTAGATTGCTTAAAAGGTTCAGTAAAAAGAAAAGGTTTCACTTGTATACGACAACATCACATCAATAAGTAACAATTTAAAAGATAAAACTACAAAAAAAAATCACTAAATGTGTCAGTAGTGTATTGACAAACTACTCAATATGCTGTGTATTTAGTACATGCTTAAATAATAGTAACTTTGCATTTTACAATCAACTTTTACACCTTTAAAATGATACTATATTGCATGTACTGGCGTGCTTGTTTTACCTGAAGCTGCTTGCCCATGCAACAGACATGTGAGGCAGGAACGACGTACATCGTGGAAGCCCGCTGCTGTCGCTGGCTGTGATAATATCGTAGAGGGCACGCGGGAGGAGCACGGAAGGCGGACGACTCACTCCCCTCGCCCAGGAGCAGGTGTGATTAGGGGAGGAGGCTCGCGGGGACAAGGAGCCGGAGGAGGTGGATTTGGAGTGTTGGAGGCGGGACTGCGTTTGGGGTATGGCCATCTGAGAGAGGGACTGCTGCTGGGGAAGCGTTTGAGGGTAAGGTTGGGAATTAGTTTGAGATAGTGACTGGTTTTGAATCGGAGTTTGGGGCGGTGGCTGAAGCTGGGGGATCGGTGGGGCCGGGGAATGACTCTGCACGTGAGTTTGGTGTATTGTAGCTTGAGGATTCTGAAAAGACTGAGGCTGGGGTTGAAGTTGAGACTGTGAATGCGAGGGAGGCTGAATGGGATCCACGGTCCCCTCTTTGGGGACATTTGGAGAGGTGGTGCTTTGGGTGGGGAAGGGATCGGAAGGTCCGCTGTCTGGACATGACTGTAGCTGCTGGCTGCATGACAGTGGGGATTCTCCTTAAAGGAAGGGAAAAGGTTTAAAAAAAAAGTTACAATATAGCTTCAAAAAGTAGGTTAGCATTTGACGCACCTAAGTATCCAAGAACAGTTCATGTCCAACCCTTCTCACCATTCTCCTGTCCTTCCTCCTCCTCATTGTCAGTGCTGCTGAGCTTCTCTGCATCGCTCTCCAGCAGGTCACTTCCTGGTCCGAGGTTGTGTGGGGGTCGAGACTCCGCTCTCACAAGATAAGCAGCTAGTCCCAGCTCTTGTTCGAGTGTGGTTCGCTGAAGGTAGGAGTAGCTTATCACCCTGAGATCACAATACTTCAATGACCTGTGGGCAGAGAGAATTCCCTGTTTAAACTTACAATTAACAATGGCTTTATTAACTGTAACAGATTTAGATGTAGAAAGGATTGGTTCAACACATAGTAGTAGTAGTAGTAGGAACTTCATCATTCTGGTCTACACATGAAACCTGTTCTCGCTTTTATCAAGTTAACCCGTGGTGATAGAACTACAGTGGATGGAGCCTTGGGCACAAAGCGTTTTTAAAGTTTGTACATCATAAATCGGGGTGTTTTTAATCAAAGCACTCTGTGCGCGTGTACCTTGGCAGTGATTCTCCCAGCGGCTCAGCTCCTGACAGGATCAGGATGCAGGGCAGGGCCTCCAGCTCTAAATAGGTCTGAGGAACCCAGTCAGCATCCTGGATCTTCAGCCATGTCTGCAGGACACAGACAAGTACAGTCTGTCAGTGTCTTTTTATTTGACCACCTGTAACATAATCCCTCCATAAAATAATTCATCCTGTATTACATCATATTATAGCCTGCTAATAACCTTGATCTGATCAGTGAAGCTTTGTCCAATATTCAGAGCTTGGTTTGGATTCCCCAGTATGATTTCAAAACTCTCCTCCAGACCCAGCTGCCTCCTAACTCTGGACAGCCGCCGGTGGGCCCATGCTGCCAGAGCCAAGGAGGGGATCCGCAGGAGGACCATGTGACCATGGTGGGCGGGACATTGCTGGGAAGCGGTGAGCAGTGATTGCACAATCTCCAGGGTCTCCACGGAGGTGTGTTTGTGGAGATTGTGGGAGCTGCCAACTCTGCCGGACGCAGCCATCAGAGCTATGCAGTACTGTTGGATCAAAACTGTAGTCCGGATCACAGCACTGTGCAGTTTAGGGAACCTGGCGATCAGAGAGGGCGTAAAGGGTTCTTGCTCTGCGTTTGTGTAGGCCTTCAAGTATTTTCAACCGACTGGTGAGGAATCCGGTATTTGTGTGGATTAAGCATGTGCGTTTGTGCTACCTTTCTTCCAGGGCAGATGCCATGCTTTCAAAGGAGGAATCATGACGCATCAGAGGCAGGCTGCTTCCCGAACGGGTCGACTCTAAAAGCTCTGACACACCAAAGTAGCGTGTCTTCTCGTGATACAGGTCCACATCCTACACACAAACACACAAACACAAAATGTTATGGGTGTAAAATCCCAATCAACCTCCAGACCACACGTGTATGTTAAATACAGTGTGTGCGTATCACGCTTCCACCTTACGTTACTGAATGCAGAGGGCCAGTGGATCTCATTGTAGGGGCTGATGCGGGTATACTGTGTCTGCAAGGCGAAGGGGAAGGACGTGACGTGAAGAATCAAGATGTTTGGAGTATCTCTGACCTGACAGGAGTTCAACAGCTGGTCCACCAGACCCAAACCGCTGTCTGGGCTACTGTGGGATGCGCTGAATGAGAGACAGAGACAAATACTCACAGGAGGAGAATACACACTTCACTCTGAATCGTCTCTGGTCTCTTTTTCATTTCTCAAGCACAGACACCGAACACACACCTTTCAATGTCCCAGTGGGCGTGGTCATGGACAAGGATGTAGAGCGTGTAGGAGTTGCTTTGTGCTTCCTGCGTCAGGCTGTCAATTCGTGCCTGAGCGCTCTGATCCAACTTGACCACGTAACGCTCAGCCTCCCGTTGAGACACACATTCCTGGTCTGAACCCCCAAGCTCCTGAAGGACACCTTGGAGATGCAGACAAGGAGAACGACGGCCATTGAAAACACATCTTGTTGAAGCCACACACGCCAATTACAATTATTCTTCTTGTCATCCCTCCCTGAAGATGTGAACGAATAAACAGAACTGCAGAGAAAAAAAACAAAATTTATCATTTCCGAACCAGAATTCCAGAGGTGAAGAACGGTCTGCTGGAACGTGACCTCTGAGGACGGGACCAGGATGAGGAAGCTGACCCTGTCGAAGGAGCCGAGATCCAGGTTCTGTGTGCTGGAGTCTGCTATGGCACAAACATGGGACAGCAGCTTCCTGGCCACCGCCAGCTGAATGGGACGAACCTCACGCCACTCTACGGAGTATTCTACACACAAACAGAGACAAATCCACATAATCACACTTGAAAAGGAAAGGACAATAAATGCCATCTCTGCCTACTTCCAGTGAATCAAATGAATCCAAAGGAAAAATCGCTGAAAATATATATACTGTATATATATATATATTTGCAAAGGCAGTTTTGAAGTGTGGTGAGGCATCGTCCTCCACACACAGTGTATGCTACAACCTGTCCACGTCTCACCTGAACAAGTGTCTTTGGGACTTGAAGCTCGCTCTTGAGGGCTCGGTAAGTCTTTTGAACCCTTGGGACTGTTTGTGTCTTTGGGACTGTGTGTGGTTTTAAGACACCTTTCCTCAGCCGACTCTTGACTGCTGGATAAGGGAGATGGCTCACTGCTGTCCACAGTGGCACCATCCAGCAGGGAATCCAAGTCACCATCTGGAAAAAAAACAAAAGGAACACGTTAATGTATGTGACTAAAACACGCATTAATATGTCTGCACTACAAACACACATACACAGGTGCATGTAAAAAAAAAGGCAAACACACCTTCTTGGGAATTGCAGTAATGGATGAGTTCCTGGGCAACACCAGTGGAGAGCTGGTGGTTGATTTCTTTCAGACCCTCTTTGGGGGAGAACATACTCTCTGCCAAGGCACGACACTGATGTCTACCTGCAAATCCCGCACACACACACAACATCGCAATTAAAATCCGCTTCATCCTTTCTGTTCATTTCTCAGGACGAAATAACATCATGCACACTACAGACACACATATAAAAGCGATTCCCACCTGTGACGACCACACAGGACTGTGTTTCCTGTCCAGCTGCAGTGACAATTATCACCACATAGTTGGTGTTTTCAAGCCGTCCTTCCATTAATCTGCCAAACATTTGCTGGAGGCCTTGTGCCAAAGATCCAATATTTTCCCCCAACACCACAACACCCTCTCCACAGGAGGATGCAGCCAGCTGGGCAAGCCAAGGGAGCTGGCTGGGGGTCAGAGGTTGTTGGCTCTGGGGAGGTAAGGAGAGATGTTGGGGGAGCCCAGGCAGCGTGGATGTAGTCTGGAGACAGAGTGGAAAAAGAAGGGCCATTTGTTCATTTATTGAGTATTTCTGGGCTGACTTGTCATCAATATTTTGGTTGTGCAATATGCTGCATGACAAGAACACCATGTCAAGCTTGACGTCGAGAGACACCCAAGGGCAGAAAACTGGGAATGTGTACATGCGCATGTTGTAAATGGGTTTACCTTTTTGAATTTCAAAATTTCTGCCTCTAGTTATTTTTTCTCAAACTTAACTTTTAATAAAAAGTCACTTCTATGACATCTCACCTCCATGCCATAGTGCCTCCCTTGGCTGCCTGGTGTCTGAGGCTGCTGATACTGTCTGATCTCGCTGAGATGAGACTCCCTCCATGACCTCATGAATATCTGTTCCAAGTCTTCTATTAGCGGCACCTGGTCAGGTCCTTGGATTAACAAAGGTGAGAGACAAAAGAAAAGGTTACGTGTGGTAAAAAATAATTCTAAATACCTTGGACTTAGTGGGAAACTAACAAAAAGTTGATTTGGTTATAGCTGTCTGCCTCCTAGTGGACATTATGAAACACCAGCCACATCATCAAAAGTCAATTACTTTCCAAGTCGGACTGAACTACGTGTGATTACCGACTTTGTTCGGTGAGAAGGCTTAGCACTGACCTAGCTGAACGAGGTAGTAGACTGTGAGTAGAATCTGCATCTCAGCGGACAGCGGCTGAATGGGTGATGGTCCATAGTGCTGGTAGACTCTGGGGAGGGTCTGAGAGCTCAGATAACAACTCTGAAGCAGAGAACTGAGGAGCACTTCATCTGCATTTCCAGTCAGCTGAGGGAGTGAACCATGACCTGCATTAATGAGAGGTAGACAGATCAAAGTGAGGAGGGTAAGAAGAACTTGGACTTGGGGCTGTGGCTCAGGTAGCGGGTTTGGTCATTAACAGAAGGATTCTTCATTGTGCCAATTCCCCCCTCATCCGTTCCACAGATTGACGTGTCTATGGGCAATATGTAAAACCCACGATCGCTCCAAATGTACATGGAAGGGAAAGTTCCTTTAAACAAAGGAATATGCTAAATGAATGTGGTTATAAGTTGTCATGTGTCAATTAAAATGAACAGAGAAGTTAGTGTGAAAAAAGCCAATGCAGAAAACATTATCTCAGTACTGAAGCTCCCAGCTGCTGTTTTGATAACAAGTAAAGGACGTAGAAATCTCACTAGGAACAAAGTAAGATTAGATTTTGCTGTTTGTGTATCTTTCAGGTAGTATATGGTAGTCTAACATTGAAACAAACTCAAATAAAGACCCGTTCAGGATGAGCAGTGGTGGCAAAATTTACAATTTACCCCCAACGAGAGAGGAACAATAATAGTGATAGGAATATTTAAAAACGGAAATAAAATAACAGAATGAAAGTAAACACACCAGATATTAGAAGCAGATGAAGCGATAAAGGAGGGCGGAGGTGAGTGAGTTGACAGGTGATACTAAAGGGTGAAAAGGTTGAAAGCGGAGGGGGGAAAGGCTTGAGGAGGTGGTTGACCTCTAATCTGAGGTCGTGGGCGAGGTAAACTGGCCATCTGTTGGGTGGTTACCGAAAACCTCAACTGTTCACCTGCTTGAGAAGGTCCAGTAGTGACAGCTGGGCGCACGATGATCACCAAACACCAAACAGTCAATAGAGACTTTGACTTATTAGCTAGACCACTCAGTCACGCACGTCTCCTTTTATATCACTCGTCATAAATCACTGATACAGTTGGTCATCTGACCTTTAAAGATGACTGGTCGCAGTCTGCAGGTGTGTAGCAGTTGATCGGGGATTGTCACAGACAACCCTGGTGGAGAAAGTGGTGTCAAGGAGGATCCCTGCAACAAACTCAACAGGGCTGTGGTCTCTGGAGAAAGCAGGGAAATATAAACTGAATTTACACATAGACACAAACTACTGCAAGAAACGCACAACATAAATAAATATGTATAAATATAGACATAAATATAACCACATAATGTTCCCATGTCTCCCTTTGTTTAGGTTTTATATATCTACAAATGTAGCTTGTCCCCCTTTTTTTTACCTGATCTGGCTCCATTAGTGAGGACAGAAGACACTGGTATTGTGGACAAGGCCGATGACGAGGTTGGTGTCTTCGCTGTGCTCTCTGACTGACTGTTGGAGGACGACTCGGGCGACCAGCCCTTGTGTCTCTTCTTTGGAGGTCCTGCATTGGCATGGGACCCTGCAGAAAAAAGGATAACATCACAAAGCATTTAAAAAGATAATTGTTCACACATTTGAATACATTTCAAATACATTGTCCTCAGTCCCATGATATTGTATTTTTCAGCTTTGTACCCAGCTAAGAGATGTTGTTGTTGCAATATCATTCGTTGAGTTATTTTATACGCTTTATTCTGCTTCAGGAATGACTTTCTGTAGAGCAAAAGATAGATTTTTGGAATTTTGCTCGGCTACAAATCAACAGAACACATATAATGTTTAAGGAGGAACTTGCATTATTAAAATAATGGAAAACAGTAGTATTTCAGTCATGCATTAACCTGTCTCATCCTCTTCCCCTCAACCTCTGTTGAAATGCAATAATAGGGAGACATAGAAAAGGTCCAGTTGTTAAAAGGGCCATGAAAAAAACATTGACAGGAAGGAAGCTTTTCATTCAGCGAGAAAGCACGAAGAGACAGAGAGAGAGTTTTATAACTTTGGTTAATAGAGGTGACAGACACAGGGAGAGGGACAGAGAGACAAAGGACAACCCCCAACACACAATGTCTTGCTCCTGTGAGGCAGGGGTGTTACAACACACACACACACACACACACACACACACACACACACACACACACACACACACACACACACATATAAAGATACAGACAGTGAGGGCGGCTGGAGGTAGGAGAGAGAGCTCCCTTTCAGAGGTGTGAAGAAAACCCGGGTTTAATTACAACAGACAAAGCCAGATGGCGGTGAAAAATCTGAGAAATCTGTTTGATATTAGATTACTAACAATGTCCTGATAACTAGTTGGTGAGTTATCCGATTTATTTAATCAACTTATTAGTTTGGCCATATTTCTGTTCTGTTCTGTCTATATATATATATGTATGCTTTAAATCTTTGCGTTACACTATTCATGTTAATCAAATATAATTCTGTCTTTGTGTATGAGAAGTGATACTGATATTATCATTTCATGGGTTTTTAACAGTGGGGCATAGGATTGCAGCCATAATCTTCTGGGAAAATGAAGTTTCAAAACTTCAATATGTAAAATTGCCGGTACATTTGAGTGGGAGTTGCATGTCTGAGAAGGACTTTTTCAGCAATCATGATGCACCACAAAGCCAGGAGTGATTTGATGGCAGATGATTCCTCCTCTCATTCTGTTTCATACTGTACTTTATATATTAAACCTAAAACCCCACACAAACACCAAGTAGTTGAGAATAAACACCTCTGATTCCGCCACCAAATACATTTGCATTGGAATTTGGCAGTACTCGAATGTAAATGTCATATTTCAAATTATTATTATTGTGTCATATACACACATCTTTCTCAATATCCAATGGATTATGCAGCGGGGGGGGGGGGGGGGGGGGGGGGGGGGGGTCTGTACCTTTAACTGAGGGTCTTCCAGGTCTTGACTGGTTTAAAGGGGGCAGGGCGTTGGAGGGAACCACGTGGTTGCCATTTGTCTGCGAGTGTGGGACGACGGCTATTTGTGGCAGACCAATCGGGTCCACATTTGATCCTGCTGTTTACAGGATGAATCAAAAACCTTAATAAACATTCTGTGATTATTACAGACTGTAGACGAACCTCAACAAGTCAATGTTGGATTTAATGTTCGCTTTTCTGTGTGTTTGCGTCCGGGTGTGTCACCTGTGTAGCTGCCAGGTGTGTGCGGTGGGTGTGTCAGTGCCATGTTTGCTAGCTGTTCATCGGATGTCCCATGTGCTTCTGAGAGACTGGACCCCATCTGTCTCATCCTGCCATCTGAAACACACATAAAACGCACACGACCGAGTCATTTGATATCCAGAGAGACAGATCCTTTCCAGTAGCTACTGTTGGAACGTTACGCGTGTTTTTGTGAGCATACAACGGGAGTCTGTTTTATGACGAGTTGACTAACAAGATAGAGGGTTTTTCTGATTAAAGCCAGGAACACAACAGATTTACAACCATGACCCGATGTAAAAAGACCAAGTTATCCAGATGACCTGAATTCAATTAAATGTGACGGCCGCGCAGCAAGGGAGAATAAAATGAATGATTGGAAGGTATTTCATAAATGAAAGTATGTGGTAGATGGATACCGTCTCTGTTTTAATCAGCAGGAAATAACCATATATGCTTTGCACTTCTATCTTTTAGACCCCTCTCAATGGTGTAGGAGATGTTTTCCTAATGCAAGGAGTGAGTCAAAGCTATTCCTCTGATGGTTAATCTGCACTGTATTCCACCCAGGTCTGACGCTGCTCAGCTTTGGTGTCGAAAACAGTTCGCCATCGCTGCGTAGCAACGGACTTCTTCCAGGAAATCAGTAAGTATGACGCATAATCCGGACTCCTCAATATCAGAGCTTTTGAACGTTTTGAAAAAGATGATCGCTTGTAGAAAGATTTCCTATTTATTGTAACCACACAAACAACAGAAGTTTTCTAAAACAAAGACCTTTCAACTCTTAATTGAGCTTTCCTTCCTTCTCACAGAACGCTTCAGGAGGTGATGTCCTTTCCAACCCTTTTAATGTGATGGGATAGCTCCAGGCTGTCGCCTCTGTGTACACTCTTCATTTTCTGCTTCACTTCGTCCACTTCCACAATGAACAGGGCCACTTCTCAGTGTGTCTTTTGACGTAAACATTCATGGAAAATTCCCAAATCCCGGAAAAATGACCCTCCTTTTACCGTGTCCCCTCCAGCAGATGGGAGCTCCTTTGACCAGCACGTTCTGGTTGTTCCGACACAGATGGTACTTCAGGTGCTTCTGTTTTTTGGGCTGGGTGCTGAGCTTTAGGTTAATGTGGTTCGAGAACTCTGTGAAATAACGAAAGCCTTTCTCTCCACAGCCAATACAGTTCCCTAAAAAGCCTGGAGGGAGCATAGATACAGAAAAAGGTTGGAGTTTGATTACGACAGGCTGCATTCACAGTTACCATTGCGATCTTGTCTCAAATGCATTGTCCTCAACTTAAAAGGAATAGTTCAACATTAGAATTAGGAGTGATACTATTGTTTTAGTGTTTTTAATTGTGGTGGAAATAGTGATGTTTCCCCTTTGTTTCCAGTGTTGATGCTAAGCTAAACTGAACACATATCATCCCATCTTTATAGTAAGATTCATTTTCTCATCTCAGTCAAAGGCAAGAAAAAAGGTATTTCCCAAAGTGGTGAAATGTCCTGAATATTGAAATTTTGAGACATTTTTTTCTTTTTGAGACTGTGTCTGTGTGCCTCACCCAGCAGTGCGTTGTGCCCCCGTTCATCTGGCAGGAAGCGGCGGTCCACAGCGCACACCAGCAAGGTCTCAGGGAGGGAGGGGGACTTCACCCCCACCAACATAAACCCAGTCGGCACATCCAAGGGATCGGATCCCACTGAGGACAGACGCAGGTCTTTGGCTGCCTGACAGAAGCCTGTGGAAAGAAAAACACTAAATCTGGAAGCTTTTTCTTTTGATTTATATTTTTCTCTATTGAATGAACAATGATATACACTATGCAAATAGCACGCCTGTCCGCTTTCTGGTGATAATTCACCTTTGACTTAATGTCAGTTGGGATTTCTTGTACAGCAAATTACTTTTTCTCTGTCTAACTAAGCCATGACCAACCACACATACATCCGACAGAACGCACGACCAGCCAAACTAATAATATCTCCCGTTCATCATTGGCATGATTCCCACATAAATAACGTGAACACTTATTAAATGCAAGGTGGGACAATACTGTATTAAAATGAAACTGCAAATCTAGGTCTAGGTGTTTGTTTGAAAATGCAAATTGCCTGGTGCCAATTGTGACTTTAATGCAGTAGTTTGAGTGTGATGTTTTCTTTGTTTTCTTTCATATGTACATGTACAAACCATTTACTGTGCAGCATCCCTCAGGTGGGGGCTTCATCTGATAGGGTATTGGGGGGCTGTTAGACTCTGAGCCAACTTCCTCATCTTCATCATCATTTTCAGTACGGCCTGTTGGAGACACACACACCAAAAACACAACATTTAAAAAATAGAGAGGAACTATCCTCTTTGGCTTATCACACCTTCTCCTTTGCATCTATGCAACCCACCATCATGTGCCAACGGCTGCTCCGTCTCAAGGAACAGCTGTGAGAAGACAGGCCGAGGCACCACGGTGTTGGACCTCAGCGACGCCTCAATGGAGTTATGCAGGACCTCCTCAAAGCGTGTGGTCCGCAGCTGGCCTGCATAGGAGTTCCCCATCGGTGTCCTGCAGACAAAGAAAGTGACCTTGTGTTGGATGCTCGAGATATACTCGTACTGAGAGTCAAGGTTTGCTACTTTCAGGTCCTGTAAGACGTACCGGTTTTTTAATATAGTGTAGGATTTACTTTTACAGTGGTGTCATTTGCAGCTTTAAAAGGAAACAAGAAAAACTGAATCCATCTCAGTGACATTTGAGCAACGTGGTCCTTTAGAGAAAAGAGAGGTAAAGAAAGAAAGTAGCATGACAATAAAAGACTTTGTATATCATACATAGACAGAATATAAGTTAAAAGGCAGAGAATACATGTAATCCTCAATATTGTCAAGTCACACACACACACACACACAGACGCACAATGTCCAACGATGAAAAGAAACAAGCACTCCACACGCAGAAACACACACAGACCCACGTACGCATAAACAGTGGATGGCATCTGTCCAGATAGCATGCCATAAAATCAGCTGCTCTGACAGAGTCAGGACACCCTGACCTAGACGCCGCACTGTTTTTATGCTTTCTCTCTGGTTTTCTCTACGGCTTGCCTCTCTCATCTGCTCTCCAACGGACGGAAAACACTCACAAAAAAAAGATAACTTAAGCAAATCTTTCATTTTCGCATTTTTTAATAATACCCACTGAATACGGTTGTTCTAGTTTAACATGCCATCATGAATTCATTTATCTTTAATTATTTGGTCCTATTTATTTTTCACACTAGAAGAATATAAGAGTTAAAGCAATTTTTTTAATTAATTTAACTAAATGCGACGTTCTTATTGTTCTTAAAACACATGTCATTTGTTTATAAATGTGACATGCAGACACACACAGCTTGTGAGATTTTAATTACGTGCGTGGTGAATAATGACATGCAGCAAAATAAAAAGCTGAGTGACCATAAACATCGAATCACCAACGGATGTGTTGAATTGTAGGCAAACTGGGTAAGTGAGGAGGGAGATAACTAGTCTGGATTGGAACGACCTAATCGCACTTCTCTAAAGCTCTGAATGCTGGCTGAGAGATTTACCTCGTATAGCATGAGACTCACTGACGAGTCAGCAACCAGCAGGTCATCTTCATGAAAAGACCAGCGTATCAGATTACAGACTAAAAGCCACTTAAACTGCAGGTTAGCAGCTTCCTGTCAGATGGAGGATGTCGTCTCCTTAAAGACCACCAGCGAGCGTGAAAGACTAGATTAGTCAAACCACGGTCCTGTGATGAGACATTTAAATCTAAATGCATTTTGAGTCTCCGAAGGGACACAACTAGGCACTGTAACTCTCAATAAACAAGTAAAAAGGACACTGATTAGTTTCTACTCTTATTCTGTATGTAGTCTGAAACACCATCGTTCAGTAAGAAGTATATAAAAACAGCCAGCTACACTAACTCTGTAGCATTTTATAAAATAACAATGACGATCCTATTAGATCCAAGTTGTGTGTTTCATATTCTCCGCCTGAGGAGATGAACACACACACACATGCACTCGTTCTCTCTCTCTCGCTCTCTCTCTTTCATGCACAACACACACACACACACACACACACACACACACACACCTCACCAGCCTCCTTCTGCTACCACACTTTCATATGTAAAGAAGCAGTGAGACTTTAATGCCTTGCACCACTTTGTGGAGAGAGACAGAGGACGAGAGACAAAAAGCCCCGACAGAACACAGCCGGCAGTGAGAGGAAGTAATCACACCTTCTACCAAAGAGCAGACGGATCTTTTTACAACCAGAGGAAGAGGAGACAGGGCGGGAAACGTGGGGGATGGTGTATTCCACCTTTTACCAAAATATGAGCAAAATACGCTCAAATTTAAACCGATAAACCTATATATTTGAAGCCATTCCTTAACGTTCTACTGCATGGTTAATATTGGTCATTCCAATTAGATGAATAGTTTAGAAACTTGCAGATACTCATAGAGAAAACAGCTTTTCTGTCAAATATGAATGAGGATCAATATTGTTTCATAGCAAAGAAACTTTTCTGCAAGCATTGATAGATACATAAGATGCAGGTTTACGCCATTGTTGAGCGCTATGCTTTATAATTGAAGAGCTGTGACGCTGCACAGAGAAAGCGAGAGCTGTGATTTTGATTATTTAGCCCCAACGTTCATTTTAAACTGGCTGCACTGCAATAATCAAACCAGCATTTATTCTTAAGGAATCTTCCTACCAAAAACCACAAGACATGAGCGAGAAAAAGAAGACACGTAGCACAGATGACAGAAAGAAGCTGAATGAGAAGGTTTTAATGAAGCTTTGTGTTTTCTCCGCCCAGGTCCCCCCTCCTTCCTCTCGCTGACATGGAAGTGGGAGATCCTTTCATCCCCCCCCCCCCTCCTCTTCTTCTCTGCGGTCTTTCTTTCACCCCGGGAGGAGAGCCACTATTGTGGTGTTTTATGACCCCCAGGACCCCCTTCCCACCACCAGCACACAACCTCACACTTACAAACCTGGAGTTAGGATCCTCAGAGCCCCATGCAATCCACAGGTGATAAGCATTTACAAGCATTCGGTCCTTTTAGGGAGCTCTTACATAAATAGGCTTTTCGGGATATTATGATTTGCTGGTTTATAAACATCTATTTGTCTTAGCTTTCTATGAATCACTATAACTGTGAAAATAATTTGTTATTTGTGCTTTCGAATATACTTGCAAAGTGATTGGAAGAGGTAAATGCACCCACAAATCATCGTCCGGCATCACAAGAACACGCCCACCCCCCCAGGGAACTTCTGAGCCGTAGAGGCGGGGGTCTTTAACATTAGGGGATTTCTTCCTGTCGCAAGGGCAGCGGTGACCCGCGACCACAGAAGTAAGAGAATCCTTGTGATTGGGGATGTGTTGGGTGGCTCGCCCAAATCGCAAAGGGTCACCCCCCCCCCCCCCCCACACACACACACACACACAAACACACCCCCACACACACGCTCTCCCATGGGCTCAGGCTCAGTGGACACAAAGGGCTTGTCTTGGGGGGTGAAAGGTCATCCTGTGAGAGGTCAGATAAGAACCCCAGGCTCTTTCTCTGTTGGCCTGGCTCACATACCAGTCGTTCACACACACACAAACACATTTAGCATCACTGCTATTCTTTCTTTCTGTTCACTCCTTGACAACCTCCTTCAATAGCTGATCATATTACAGTCACACACCCAACAGCACACACACACACATACATGCAAACAAGTAATGAGTGAATGCATGCACACAATTATGCATAATGTGCGTGCATGTGTGTGTGTGTGTGAGAGAGAGACACACAGCAAGGCAAAGGAACTTAGAGCCGTGTCAGCCGGTCTGTGCCACATCTATTTCAGCTCTGAACAGTATAATTAAAAGAAAAAAACTTCCAGCTCTGCGGATGTTCTGTGATCACCAAAGAACAGGCAAACACATATGCAAAGGGTGTCAGTTGTACACACACACACACACACACACACACACACACACACACACACACACACACACACACACACACACACACACACACACACACACAGACAGACAAGCGGACCATCACATGGGCTCATCACTGACCAGTGACCCACATCAAATGCGCTCATTCACAAGTTGCCCAACAGATCGATGACCAGCTAGCCAACTGTTCCTCCCGCCATTCACCTACACAACAACACACACACACACATACACATGGAACTGGTCGGCTACTCGGCTATCCTGTCAACTCTGCAAAAACACGGAATTTCCTATCAGGGGCCGAAAGGCCCCCCTCCTACTAATAAATCATTTATAACATTCTCCCCCTATAAATATCATACATATATATATATATATATATATATACATATATATATATATATATATATATATATATATATATATATATATATATAGACAATCGGTGCAAATAAAGAGTGATGTGTGACATGATGTAAAGGATACGTTCTGCTGGTGTTAGTGTAAAGAAATAGCTAGACGGTACCCCAATGCTCCAACTTCCTCAATATTGAGTCCCTGCTCTGCCTGTATTCCTTTTTCTCCGTTGTTATCTTGCTCCACGTCCTTGAGCAGTTCTTTTGCCTCGGCTCGCTCAATCTTGCATAATTCCAGAACAAAATGTGTTGTCTACAGGCATGCACACTTATTCTGTAGGTGTATCTTAGTATGGTTTTGAAGATTTGAGCTACAAAAGATACATCACAGACTTAAATAAACTGGATTAAGAAGAGAAATGCTCACACATTCAGCTCAGCATCAAAGCAACGTTTAACACATTGCATTTCAACCAATTTCCAAAAACGCTATTTGGGGCTCTTTGTTGTAATTTGCCATAATTTTACAATTTCAACATGGAAAAACCATCTGATTTAAGGACGTACTCTTCCAGTCATCTTATCTTTAGGAAAAACACTATAAAGGTATAAATGTATTTTTAAATACTATCCAATACCCATTGGGGTGAGCAACATATTGTAAAGGTGGCTACATAAGGATAATTTACTGTGAAATAATTAACATTTTCTGATAAATGTTTTGCTGCCAGACAAAATTGCTTCAAAGAAATTTGGGCAAAGCGTGAAGTTAATTCAAGATCTGCATTTGGAACATCAGTGGCTTAACAAAAAAACTCTTATATTAAGTTAAAATACAGACCAGGCATATTAAAAAAGAGCAGGTAGTCCTTTATGACGTGATGGAATCATATTCTGTTGCTGCAAAAGTCGCACATTGCAGCCAATGAGCCCGTTTACAATAAGTCAACCGAGTGTGATGAAAGGTATAAATATGCGCTCGTTAAATAGGGAGCATTTTGAGGAAGAAAATACATTTACAGTTAAATCCCCGAACTGCGTCGAATAACTGCCTTTTAAAACGCAACAACGGTGAAAATAAACACGGTGTGAACAAACAGTTTCACCTGAAAGCTCCCAGCAAAGCAGCCGCACTTTACGACTAAAATACACATTTCCACCTCCTGAAACAGCTCGTTGCTTCTCCCTGTTCCGTAACAGCATCAGCAACAACCGGCCAGTGAAGGTCAGCGTTTCATCACTAAGAACAGCGGGAATGTAACGTGCGCTACCGGCAGGAAAGGACTTACGGTAAAACAAATAAAGACAGGACAAAAAAGGCGAAGCGCGAGCTGCTGAAAGGACCGACCTGCAGAGCCCGCGGGGGGAGAAGCGCGGAAAGTGTCGTTCGGCCCGGGCGTTGATCCGGCGTGCTGCCTGTCACCACGTCTCCAGCGGGACTGGGTGTCGCGCGTGTCATCACCTCTGATCCTGCGCGAGGAAAAGGTTCCGCCCCTATTACGCAACAGAAGTGGTACGGTCCGAGAGGTGGGAGACTTAACGCGACTTGGGTTTAGAAGGTAGATGTCATACTTTTATTCATTATAATAATAATAATAATAATAATAATAATAATAATAATAATAATAAATGCATGTTCATGTTAATCAGTGGGAAAGAATCATTGGATGAGCATGTGACAGGAAATTTGTCCTCCTATTTGTTGTGGTTGTTGGTCACATCTGAGACCAAGTGATCCCACCATAACAACAACAAGGCCCAAAAACATGTTTTGTCCATCAGGGCGTTCACCGTCCATAAATAACAATCTTTCCCATTTAGATAGTCAGAATAATTTAAAACACAACGAGCATAAAATTATTGGGCTTTCCCAGAATTTATTTTTGTGGTGAGAGCATCAGCGTATTGGGCTTATTCAGAGTAATTAGTATTTTTTTTTGCTAAACGTCATAATGTATCTGCTTGACTGAAAGGTATGTTTAGGTATTATTTTCATTATTTTTATTTACTGTCACTTATACAATATGGGCGGTATTTCGATAAGCAAACACTAAACAGCACACCATCTCTTCACACAAAAAACACTTGAAATGAAAACCAGTATACTGTGTGAGTTCCCATTACATTAGAGCGGTTTGTGGTAACCTTTGGACCTTTGTTGCCCTCTGCTGGACATAAAGAGGAGTAACAGCGTGCAAACAGCAGCGTGATGACTGAAACCTTTTCAACAGTAGTTTTGATTGGCGTCACTTCAATGCCACCGCTTTTATCACCTAATTCCTACATGTAGATGCCATGGCAACGCATCCGATGAAATACTTTTATGAGGATTTTTGATCCCATGTGCCATGGACAGAGATTTTTTTATTCTACTTAGAATCTCGTCACCATTTAACCCAGCTCTTGTCCAAAAACAGCAGAATTATGAAGATGTCAAGTGAAAGTCATGGCCTCAGTGGACAGATCCTTCACAGCGGCACAAATGTTCTTTTTTTATTCAGCACCTACACTCTCTCCCAGGCAATCTGTCATGCCGATGGGACCTTTGCATTGACACCTTCAAACAATCACAGATCCTCAAAATGAGCCATGGACACATAGACACTAGATGACTGTGAACATAAATCAGTAAAGGCCTTGATTCCATGAAAGCTTTACTTTATTCATGTCACTGATTTATTTACAGCAGTTTAGTTTAGACTCCCAAAACAAAAGGTTTTCCAAAGTGGTTCACACAATGATCATAAAGTCATCTTATTTATTAGAAACGATTGAACTGATTGGTTGTCAAGACTACGCCTTTTATATGAAACTGATATCTAAATCATTAAATGCAGGGGATAGAAAAAAGGCACAACCACTTTCCATTGTGGTCCTCCCTCCTCCCAATTGCAGCTTACATTTTGTCACCGGGAATCTCATACTTCATCCTCTCCGCTGCCCCAACTGGGCAGTGCCAATCTGTACAGTGGCACAGCCACGCAACGCCAACACAACGTCCCCTGATGGGAGAACAGGTGTTGGACAGGGTCCAGTGGAGCAGAGCGGAGCGGGCTGCCGTGATGTATCAGATGAACTGGGCAGCGGCGTCTCCTCTGGCCCGAGGGAGGGGGACCCCGCCATTGATTAAGTGTGCTGTGTTGGATGTGTGCGTGCACAGAGGTTCTGTAAGGTCGGCAGCAGTACAACAATGAGCCACAGCAAAACTGATTGGGACCCAAAGGCCCAAAAGGGAGAGAGGCTAAACTGGGAAATCTCTGAACAAAAAAAAGAAAAGGACACATTGGCTTGACGTTGTGGTCATATGAAACATTGAGGAGTCAAGGTTTTTGCTTTTGGCCATTTTATATTGAAGATGAATAAATTAATACATCTTTTCCATCAAGTCCAAAGGAGATCCTATTCCTCCATTCTTATCTATTAACGGTTAACTTTTAGTTCATCAGATCAAACAACTTTTTTTTTTTTTGGATTACATCAAAATATGTATTTAAATTTTAGGTGGGCTTAAAACCGTTCCCATGGCCCATTTTTGTTTCCTGACTCAGGCCTTAAGAAACTGGTTTATTGGGTTTTTGGGATCAATTTCTTAAATCCCTTTACTGCTAATTTTACAGCCAATATGACACTGGATATGGTGATTTCTCAGTCGCTGTGGAGCCATATTGGCCCAGGCATGCTTGTACTTCCTCTTAATGGGTTGAATATAATATTTTATGTCCCGTTGCTATAGCCACGGTGCTTAACTTGTGATGTAAAAATAGTCAGGCCCATTCATTTTAGTATAAATACTTCACTTCGCTTCAAGACCCAGACTGAGCTGTATGTAAAACATGTCTATTTGAATGTGCCCCGGCAGAGGGAAAAGGTATTGCTACTTTACACATAATGACGGCCCAGGTCGTTTGGCTGAGAATAATGGTGGTTTCGCTGTAAAGCATATCACTCTCATTAGGTTTTTACACACTGGTCGTGCATAACTGGAGATGCACTTGTCTGGACACGCGCACACACTCACACACACGCACGCACGCACACACACACACACACACACACACACACACACACACACACACACACACACACACACACACACATGCATATATTTACATACAGAGTGCACCCACACACAGACACACAAACACCGGCACACACCGACACCCACACACATATCCATCTCCAAAGTCATTAAATCCCTTTGAAAAGAGGCCTCATTTGTGGGAAGCAATAAAATTTTTAATCATTTTATTACCAAAAGAGTATTTAACAAGTGGGTAATGAAACGCCAAAGGCAGGTTAGCTGAGTTTAACCTTCATAGAGGAAGCCATGTATCACATGCTGCCCCGAGGCATGGTGGGACAGAAATGTCATCCTCCATTATCCACCATACCTGAAGTGTGGCGTTGCGCGGCTGGCTGGCAGGCAGGCAGGCGTCTCGCTCTGCAAGGCGAGGCTGACGGGAAATTAGGGGGAATTCAATTAATGGACATTTTTTACGCACCAGGGAGAGGGCACAGCTGCACACACACACACACACACACACACACACCATAATGCGTGATGCACACCCAATGTAACAAATATAACACACTTGTAACTGCACGAAGGTCGACCTCAAAGCCTATCACATCTCACACTGTGAGGGGGCACTGGTGGGACGGGAGGGCAGCACATGTTCTTTCCCAACCGCTGTGCCTCAGAACGCAGTGTTGATTTGGCGAAACGTCATTTCTAGGAGACGGGGTTTGTCTCTTTCGTTAGCTTACTCTCCACACTTCCGCTATGTATAACTCTCCCTCCCTCTGCCAGTTGAGTTGGTTCTGTTGAATCTCCGTCTCGCTCTTCCTCTCTCCTTAAGGTGAGGGTACAGCGGGGCCGCTACACTGCTTTCCTTCAGCAGGTCAATTAAGGGGACAATGAGGCAGAAGGGGACACTCTCAGTCTGCCACCATAAAAGAACCATACCTACTTACCTACTTACCTGCTCGACGATTGCTCGTATCGTCGACGTGCAAGTTTGACTGTGTGTGGATGTGAGAGGAGACAGAGGGAGGGAGAGCCAGGTAGAAAAGCAGAAGGGGAGGAGTTAAATCGTGTGCATGTTAAAAATAAATAAATGAAAAAGTGGTTTTGCCAGAAAAGCAATCGCCAAGTCCTTTGACACACAGGAATAATTTATGGCTGATAACAAAAACACTCTTTTTTTTTCAATAACAAGCTTCTGTGGTACTTGGAGGGACTGGCCCCCAAAGTTAATTGAAAAGTGTCCTGGCTCTCATTTGCATAAGAAACACATTTAAAGGTGAAAAATTATAAATAAATATGTAGCCACCTGTGAAATATGGCTTTTGGCCTGCTGGTCATTTATAACTTTGCCTTTAATTACGTGACAGGCTGGGGTTCTGCAGCTGTAATGAGAGGCTGGAGTGATGGAGAGGAGTGTGTGAGAGACAGAGGCTATAGGTCATTTAGTGTATGAACAGACAGACATACATGCAGACTCACACAGATGGACAGACACACACACACACACAGGTATAGAATGATGTTGTAAATGTACAGGCACAGATGGACGGTCACACACACGTTTAAACACAGATACGCACACAAAATCTCAGTACGTCACAATAATAACTGTTAGGGTGGCTTGTTTATTCTTTCCGCAGTGAGCTCATGCAATAGAACAAGGAAGTGGGAGATTGTGAAGAGAAGTATTTGTGTGTGTGCTGTTAAAGTAGTTAGATTTCGTCTTTATGTCACACGCAAGTAAAATACATTTCTTCCTTTCTTTCTTTACTCAATTGAACATCAGTAAGAAATAAGTTGAACGTCAAAGGTAAAAAACATTTTGACACCCTGTCAATTCCCCTCCACAATCCTAGGAAGAAGTGAACCTTGATCAATATTTTGTATAAAATAAGTTATCATGGATCATTAATGAATCATCACTTTCCCTGTTTTTTTCAACTTACCGTTTGGGCTTCCTTCTTATTTTCAAATCTTGCAACACCTCCCTCATTTACTGCATTTTAAATTCACTTAAGAAAGCATCCAACTTCCCTGGATGTGTTATTTTCAGACACATCTTTCGAACAGACATCTGTAACGACATGATAAAATGACCCACAGAGGAAGACGGGTAGGCGTCGTATGATCATCAGACAGTTAGACAAAAGCCTGGGTGGTGGATATGCGGCGTGTGGCACTTCTGTCCCCTCCTCCCTCCCTCCTTCCCTCCCTCCTTCCCTTCCTTCGTCTCTTTTATGCATAAAGAAAACAGCTTGCATTGCCCTGCAGGTACTAGCAGAGCGCTGAGCGCTTTCACTTTCACCTTCACACCTTCTCTGCGGTCACTCCCCGGTGGAGCTCGCGTTGCAGCAGCGGCCCTTCCTGTTCTCTCTCTCTCTCTCTCACTCTCCTCATCTCCCTTTTTTTTAACCCCCTTTCTCCCCCTCCGAATAGCAGTAGGGATGGAGGGA